TAAGTCTCAAGTAGGGTATCAAAGATGTTTTCTCTTGGTTTTATGACTATTAGATTGGGATTGTTAGATATTTTGATGCTAGACAGTAGGATGATATTATTGTTTTAGTACCGGTAGAGTGCAATTACAGTTGTTTTGGCGTTGTATTTTTAGTTTATCCATGAAATTGGCTATCAACAGTGCAGTTCAAATCTTGAATTGTTTGTGGTTTTTTTAAAGTGCCCGTCATGGGTTATTCTCAGCCTATTTTTCAAATTGTAAGTAGCTGGTTTAGTGTACCGGATTATAGGGGTTATTTTGGCTGCTATTGAAAGTTGTCTTCGATTTCAGGGTCCGTCTTTAATTTTTATTGTTTTCTCATATTGTACTGCCTGGTATTTGTTATTTTTATTGTATGCTTTTCGTTTCATTGATTTCATTGGGTGTTTGGTTGTATTAAGATTGTCATTAATAAATAGAACAAAAATAGTATAAATTGAAGTAATTATTGGGAGGAAACTTGACGTCAGATCATATTGGAAGATATTCTGAACTTGGATTATTATTACATAGACTGCCGGTACGCTACAAAATTTGGCGAGTGCACGCCAGGATATCTTCTAAACATAATATGTCACGCAGAAATAGAAAGAACGCTAAAATGAAGGGAGAGGATGACTTCGTTGCTCGAATGAAGGTACTGGAGGCTAAATGGACAACAATGGAAGCGCGAGTAGAAGGGAGCGAAGGAGCAGTAGATGAACTTGGGAATGATGTAAAACAGTGTTATGACAGTGCGATGGTACTTAATCAAGATGTGAGAGATTGGCGAGAGGAGCTGCAAGGTGCTGCATGGTTTTCAGGAGAACGTGATTGAGACATTAGTGAAAAGCAAAAGTGCCGAAGTCGGTTTGAACGAATCCGGAGGAATAGCTGAGGGGGCAGGCGAAATGGCACCACAGAGTTCTGTGATGAGGGAGGACCAGAGTGACAAGGCAGAGCACACTGAGTCAAAAGTTACACCACCTGACAACAACTGCGGGAGTAGACCGATGCCGGAAATGGAGTCTCCACCTATCATGGCCAGGTATCCGGTTGGTTTTTCTACCCCTATGACAAAGGGTTGTACTAGTGCATGTGGGATTATGTTCAGGCCAGAAAGACAGCCGGAGAAGTTTGATGGATCGGAGCCTTGGCGCTCATTTCTGTACCATTTTAAAGCTATAGCCAAGTCTAATGGTTGGGATATGGACACGATGGGTAGCGAATTGGGCCTTTGCATGGTAGGCAATGCCCTGAGTCATTTTTTAGAATTGTCTATGGATGAGCGTGAATGTTTTGAGTCGATCGTACGCCATTTTGAGAAGTATTTTGAAGTGGAAGGTGGTATTGAAGCGCTTCGAGTCGCTTTTAGTCAGCGCGTGAAGTTGGCAAGAGAAACCTATAATGAATTTGGCGTTGCATTGAGACAGCTTGCTAGGCGAGCTTATCCATACTTGAGACCCGCTGACCGAGATGACTTGGCAAAATTGCAATTTTTGCGAGGATTAGACGACAAAATTCGTTTGCACATCGGTCTTTTGCAACCCGCCACATTGGAATGTGCAATGTCGTTGGCTACCAGATATCAATATTATGAGAAGTCATGGGAACCCGCAAAAGAGGTGATCAAACCAAGGGCTACTGTTGCAAAGATTTCTAGCGATATGGCCGAGGTGACATTTGGAGCTGATATATTCCAGATTTTAAACCGCCCGGCACAACTGGAGGCCTTAGTTGCGGAAACGTCGAGATCCCTCGTATCTCCGACTTCTCGTACTTCTTGTTTTAGATGCGGACAGGTGGGGCATAGGACCAGTGATTGTCGCAGTCCACAAGCTCTTACACTACCGTCCACACCATGTCCCCGCTGTAAGGAAACGGGTCATTGGGCTCGAGATTGTCCAAACAACACCGGCTTGTTTCCGATGTGGACAACCAGGGCATATTAGCCGAAACTGTTCCCAGACCACTGAACAAAGACCAGTAAGTAGTGCTTCTACTCCAAACCAGTCTTTAAACTCGGAACAGCAGGGATGAGGTCCGCACTCCCTGCTAACATGCTTTTAGATGATGATATGGACCCACTTCTCTCGACTATTTCTTCTCTTACATGGACTAATGGATGGCATGTCAAGGCTTTGGTCAATAACGTGCCTGTTTTGTTTTTGATTGATACAGGTGCGGGTGTCTCGCTCATTGACACCGCTGTTTACTCGATGTTACAGGAAAATTCGGTCATTCCAGCACTGCATTCTTTTCAAGTACCACTGCGTACTGCCAGTGGCGAGTCATTATTGTCTCATGGTGCACTTGATGTCAACCTGACGATTGAAAGCTGTTCTTTGGAGCACACGGTTGTTGTCGCTGATCTAGGGTCACGGATGGGCATTCTAGGTATGGACTATCTTGGCAAATGGGACTGTGTTCTGTATCCCTCGTCGGGTCGCTTTGTTCTTGAGGGACAAGATGTTACCGTGCAGCACCAAACATCGGTTCCTTGCTGTCGTGTGACTGTAGAGGAGGATGTGGTTATACCAGCCGTTGTTGAGCCAGTGGGTATAGGCAACATCAATTTGGTCGCTTCGCTGACGTTGGTTGACCCATCTATAAAGGAGGTACCCGTTTGGATGAACAATGAGACGGACTATAATGCTGTCCTACCCACAGGATCTTGAAATGGCATAGTTCAACCATACTTTGTCCGTGAAACAATGGTGGCGCCAGTCTCTGAAAAAGCGGAAAAAATCAATGGATTACCTGACCATCTTCAGGACTTGATTACATCGACGGAAGGACTTTCGGCTGATCAGTACCGACAATTGTCTTCTTTGTTAAGAGAGTTTAAGGACATATTTGTCGGCCCCAATGGAGAACTCGGGCGTACATCGGTTGCTCGCCATCACATAGTAACTACAACACCGCAGCCTATTCGGCAGGCTCCGCGACGTCTGGGCTGGGCAAGGAGACAAATAGCAGAGGATGCTGTTGACAAGATGCTGGATCAAGGGGTTATTGAGCTGAGTGACAGTCCATACTCGTCACCCATTGTTCTGATACCAAAAAAAGACGGCATTACTCGTTTTTGTATCGATTTCAGACTACTTAATTCAATTACGTACAAGGACGCTTACCGTTTACCTCGTATCGATGACATCGTGGAGTCCCTTAGCGGGTCAAATTGGTTCTCGACGACACTTGACTTGGCTAGCGGCTACTGGCAGGTGGAAGTTGATCCGTCGGACAGATCGAAAACTGCTTTCAGTCTTCCGGGAAAAGGACACTATCAATTTGTAGTCATGCCCTTTGGTCTATCCAATGCACCTGCAACCTTCGAGCGGATGATGGATCGAGTGTTGGGTGGAATTATCGGGAAAAGATGTTCTAATTATTTGGATGATGTTTTAGCCCACGGATCCGATTTTGACACTTCATTGAGCAGTTTGCGGGAGGTTTTCCCTCGACTTCAGGGTGCTGGTTTGAAACTCAAGCCGACTAAATGCCAGTTGTTTCGTAGATCAGTTACCTACCTGGGGTACGAAATTTCTGCTGAAGGAGTTCGCTGTGATTCTCACAATGTAGCAGCTATAGTCGAGTGGGAAACACCCCAGGGGGTATCAGATGTTAGAAGTTTCTTGGGAACTGACCAACTATTATAGACGTTTTGTACCAGGTTATTCCACTATAGCGTCGCCTTTAGTTCGCTTGACTCGAAAGAATGTGAAATTTGAGTGGAGTGGTGACTGTCAGGAAGCATTTGGAATCATTAAGCGTCTTTTGACATCTGCTCCCATCCTGGCTTTTCCATTGGTTCAGGGAGAGTTTATTTTGGACACCGACTCAAGTGGCTCTGATACTGGTGCTGTGTTATCACAATTGCAAGATGGGGAAGAACATGTTATTGCTTATTTCAGCAGAACTCTGAAAGGGAGTTGTTGGCAGTGATTCAATCCGTACGAAATTTTCGCTATTATTTTGGGGGAAAGGCACTTTTTGATTCGCACTGATCATGGTGCCTTGAAGTGGCTTTCAAATTTCCGAGAACGCGAAGGTAAGGTGGCTCGCTGGATCTCCACACTGTTCACGTATGATGGTCTATCTCGTCAAACTAGACGCTGTAAGCGCCCGGACTGCCCAGATTGTGTGTCTACTTCACAGAAACCTGATATCAATGTTCGTGTGAATGTATAATGCGGACTTGCCTGGGATACCAACAAGCTGTAACTGGATGGATACATACACGGCGGAAAGGATTCGAACTTGCCAAGCCGAGGACCCTCATCTTTCTGCAGTTATTGCCTGGAAGCGCCGTTCATATCATAAACCCCAGCCACAGGACTATATGCATGAATCTCTAGAGACCAAGCGTTATCTAGCTCAATGGCATTTGTTATATTTGACTGGTGAAATTTTGTATCGCAAGTGGATACCCAAAACATTGACTAGTGTTCCCGTGTATCAATTTTGCATTCCTGGGGCATTGAGAAGAGAAATCTTCCAGCATTTACACAGTGCCTGTACCTCCGGACATTTGGGCTCTATTAAAACATTTAAGGGTGTTCGTGCTCGTTTTCATTGGCCTGGTTTTAAAAGAGATATTTTGCTCTGGTGCCGGTTTAGCAAACCTTGCGCTGCGGCTAAGATGACTCACGGGCGCAAACAGGGGGATCTACGACAACTGCTCGGCGGATCTCCCTTGGAACGGGTCGCCATGGATTTCTTGGGACCACTACCACGTACCAAGAATGGAAATGAACATCTTCTGGTGCTATCAGATTATTTCACCAAGTGGGTGGAGTGTTATCCACTTCCCAATCAGACTGCAGAGGTAACAGCCGATGTGCTGGTCACCCAGTCGAGATTTTGAATCTCGGTTGTTCACCGAGATGTGCGACTTGTACGGTATAGTCAAGACGCATACGACACCTTATCACCCTCGATCCGATGGATAAGTGGAGAGGTTTAATCGAACGATTCAGCAAATGCTCAAGCCGTATGTGAACGATCATCGAGACGATTGGGATGACCATGTTCCCTATCTGTGCATGGCTAACAGAGCTACAGTGCATGAAAGTACGCAGTTTACACCCAATCGTCTTATGCTTGGCCGAGAGATTGACCTCCCTATCGATGTCATGTATGGGCGTCCGACTCAAACTCCTCTACATCCTTGTTATACCGAATATGTGGAATGGTTTAAAGATGTCACTGAGGAATCTTTTGTATGTGCCAGAAATCATTTGAATCAAGCTGCCTTGCGACGGGAGAGAAATTTTGATGTTCATGTGCAACCACAAAAGTTTGAAGAGGGAGAACTTGTATGGTACTATTACCCACTCAAGAAGAAGAAGCTGAGTTCTCCATGGCAGGGTCCTTTCACAGTTAGGAGATGTTTCCCCAATCACACTTATGAGATACAATGGAACCCAGGCGACAAGACGCGTGTGGTTCATGTGGATAATTTGCGACCTTTTATTCATGAAGAGACCCAGGAACCAAGTGCTTTCTTAGATGATAGCCCGGCGGATTCGGGGGAACACACACCAGAAAAGCCGGATTCGGGGGAACAGACATCGGAAGAGGCGAATTCTGCGGAACACACACCAGGAGAGGCGGATCTTCAGCCTTGTGAGGAAATAATACCTTGGTACGAGTTGCCCAATCCAGAAGGACAAACTTTACGGATGTCTAAGCGTGAGCGTAGACAGCCTGCATATTTTAAAGACTTTGTGTAAATATTTTGTGTTGACTACTGCTTCTTTCGTTGTTTAATTTTTCTAATGAAGATGAAAACATTCTTTCATAATGTTCCATCTAGAAGAGGGGGGTAATGTGACAACCCTTGTTTTATCTTTTAAATGATGTCATGTGATAATATTCCTATATTCTGTATTTTTAACACTGAAGACCCTGAGGGCGCTGTGACACTGTCGATCTGTCTTTTGGTATCCTGTTAGCTTATGCTGTGGTTTGCAGCAGTGCAGTTGTGATTGTTTCAGTTAGATTTTGAGTGTTTAAGGGTATTCTATATCTGTAAAAGTGCCTCTAAGTCTCAAGTAGGTTATCAAAGATGTTTTCTCTTGGTTTTATGACTATTAGATTGGGATTGTTAGATATTTTGATGGTAGACAGTAGGATGATATTATTGTTTTAGTACCGGTACAGTGCAATTACAGTTGTTTTTGCGTTGTATATTTAGTTTATTCATGAAATTGGCTATCAACAGTGCTGTTCAAATCTTGTGCACCTGTGGAATTGTTTGTGGTTCTTTAAAGTGCCCGTCATGGGTTATTCTCAGCCTATTTTGCAAATTGTAAGTAGCTGGTTTAGTGTACCGGATTATAGGGGTTGTTTTGGCTGTTATTGAAAGTTGTCTTCGATTTCAGGGTCCGTCTTTAATTTTTATTGTTTTCTCATATTGTACTGCCTGGTATTTGTTTTTTTTTATTGTATGCTTTTTGTTTCATTGATTTCATTGGAGTATTTGGTTGTATTAAGATTGTAATTAATAAATAGAACAAAATAGTATAAATTGAAGTGAATATTGGGAGGAAACTTGACGTCAGATCATAGGATAGGATAGAAAATAGTATAAATTGAAGTGAATATTGGGAGGAAACTTGACGTCAGAACATATTGGAAGATATTCTGAACTTGGATAAATATTACATAGACTGCCGGTACGCTACATAAGTAAAAGTAATGGACCTTTCCCCGAGCATCGACTTCCTTGTTTACTTCGTGACATTGACCAATCAGCAAGATGCAAAAAGTGACGTAACAATGCTCCCTTTTCGCATCCGCTCAGACGCTTTTCTCACTCAGACAGATTCTCAACCGTGAACGTAAACATTGCCTTGTTTTTGAACTCTATTCGTTAGTTTTCTGTTGTGTTTTGGAAGCTCAAATATATATCAGATAATTCAATCATCACTCTGACTTCCTAGGAGTTTTTTTGAAACCCGTGAAACTACCGGGGTGATCAGAGATGCGTTGGCGAGGGTATTCCTAGATGGCGAATTCAATTGCATTCTGGTTCTTTTTTGCATGAGCACTGGCGTTAAACTTTAGTTATCTATTCAACTTTTCACACTTACTAATAGATTACCTGCTAACTAGGAAAACAATATCTTATGGCAATTGATGATTAATTCCTCACACAAGTCAAGTCTGCAAGTAGGCCTACGCCTAAGCCTACCAATAACAGTAGTTTGTCATCTGCTTTCCATTGAAATGAGGAAGCTTATGAATATTTGACGAAATTGATAACGGCACACTATCACTCACCATCAACGAAATGCTATCCGCAAACAGTGAAAACACCAGCGAGATGATTTCTGGACTTGACACCAAGCAGTCCTGCCAATACAGTAGATGATATCCACATTGCGCGACGTTCCGGATCTTTTAAAAACAGTGGAATATAACTGAAGATCCATTTCGTTGTCTATACATAGTCTATACCAGTGATTCTCAAACTAGGGTTTGAGAGCCGCATGCGGCTCTCGGTAATGCTTAAAAATTAATTATTTTCAGAAAAAATTTTTCATTGAAAACTAATCATTGACTCGAAATTAAAATGCTGAAGTCTATTAGTTAGTCAGTATCAGTATCAGTATCAGTAATTTATATGAATTTCCCCGTGTTTATTTGCGTAGCGTTGACTAACCTACAAGATGCAATAGTGACGCAACAGTAAGCGTTTCTCGGACACTCGTACACTTTTCACTTGGCAAGATTTTAGACATGGCTGTAATCATTGGCTTGCTTCCGTGGATTTTCAGTGTTTGTCGCATTCCCGGATATTATTTATAAATCAAATAACTCAATGATTATTTTAATCCCAGAGCATTTTAATTTTGTTCCAGTAATCGGAAATAGTCCCAAAATATCTGGCGATCATCTCAAGCAGTTACTGTACTTTACATCCTCCGCGATTACGACCCGCTTTGACAAACTTATTAGAAATCAAAGCCAAATTAAATGGCTGTTAGTCTAGGGTGGGCAAACTCTAATCTTTTTTGCAATCGAATAATTTGAATATTTTTTTATACATAACAGGGATCCAGTTGGAAATTGATAGAAACATTGAAAAGTCGGCAAAAAAGCGTTTTTTTATTATTGGTTAATGATTAATTTCATCATAATCGCTGATTGTCTTTGTCACCGCGATCGTTTTGGCGGCGATATCCTAAAGTTTGTATTCTATATTCCCGCCCTTTCTCGTTTTTTGCAGGAATAAGCGGTCGCCGAATATCGAAGTTTCATATTTCTAGTATATCCTTGCGTTCACATCAGCGACAGCTGTTGAATACATTAAGGCAGGGATCACCAACGAGTTGCCCGCGGGCACCAAGTCGCCCGCGAAGACCATATGAGTCGCCCGCAGGTCTGTTCCAAACTAAGCTTAATAACGGCTCTTATAAGTAAGCTACATCAATTGAATTTTGTCCTGCTATTTTAGTATAAATCACACTTATATGGGAACTAGAAATGACACTATATTTATTATTGTAACCATCAACCTATTTTTATTTGACCTCAGTAATGTGACGGGTCAATTAACACTCTTCCAATTATGACTTCACACTGAGATCACTTTCCACGAACCCGCGCTTTTTCTTGTCCGTTGGTTAGCGGAGCAGTAATAATACAATTATTGATTCCAAAGAAAATTCCATCATTTTCTCGATGAATGGAAGGTGGATATATTTATACCACCATGAAAACAGCCTGCGTGTGTCTCATTAATGGGGCGATTTTAGCGACGGCAAAACGGAGAGATATTTCACATCTTGTCACGTAATCTTCCGCGCTAACTACCCACTGGTCAGCACAGTACGGACAGAAAAAGCTTGCGATTCAAATCATACAGCAATCCTATTTTACGAGACCATCGTTTGTTTCAACCTATCCTTTCGAATAAACATTTTTGACATAAACTCAGGATGGGAGGAGATTTACATATTTATCCCGGGGGAGAAGATAGCCGATAGGACGGCTTAACCATATGGCGAACCACGGCCTCTCGTCCGGTTACCATTCGATGTCGGGTATGGGATTAGTTAGTTATTTGTTTCCGGAAGCCTGGACTTGATGACGAAGGAAGCCTTAACCGACCAGCGGTTACGTGAACCACCCTACGGCGGCGAGGAGTCCAGTAATCCTTTCGCACATAACTATCCCCGCATGGGATTCTAACCTGCGAACCTAACGTTTAACACGATTGTTCATAGCGGTGCGACTCACTCCACCAGGAACAAACATGGAACACGCCTCACTGATGAAAATCTGCAAGACTCGCTCAAAGTTACAGTGTCAAGTTACTCGTCGGAGTATAATACTCTGCAACAGTTGATAGTACAACTGTTAAGTCCATTTTATCTTAGACTTGTGCAGAGTGTTGAAAATCAATTTAAAAACACTCAGTTTTGAAATACAAGTGTTATTGATAAAAATTTATTTGCAACGTTGTGATAATCGTTTGATTTCCTGAATAATCCTAAAGTTTATTAGTGTCTATACTTCACTAAATACAAGTAATTATATCAATAATTATAAGTTAATCGAGCAACTGATTTTTTTAGAAGTGTACATTGAACTGGTAGCCCGCAGCTTAATCTGTACCCAAAAAGTAGCCCTCGGCTTCGAAAAGGTTGGTGACCCCTGCATTAAGGGCTGATTTTCTAAACCAAATTAATTTTATTCTGAGTTTTATTCCCTGTCTTGGATTTGATCTTCCTTATCAACGCTTGTAAATTAACCGTGCCTGTTTAAAGTGAACGGTAACCGAGATGCAGATATTTATTAAAACGATACTTGAGTTTCTCGTGCTTTCTATGGTGTTCGTGTTATTAGATAGATAAACCTAGCAAATTTACGATTGCGTGAATCTTGATAGTTGATTTGAAAAAGCGATTAAATAAGTTGGCAATAAAGGCATTCCTAGGCCTTTGTGCCTAATCGAGGGTCAGACGCTAATTATACCTGATTCTCTCAATTCTTTTTTTTTTCAACAAAACAACACGCCGATGGTTATTATAGCTAAAATACTTACTGAGTAATGTTCAATTTTCTTTACGGAATTTGCAAATTCAGCACTTCACTTAATGCTTTTGATTATGTCATGCTATAAGACTTAATTAGTACTGCCCAATTGCTTCAAAATTTACCAATTGAAATCATTTTCGATGATAATAGACGCAACAATTCGCGAACGAGTCAGTGTGCATTGTCACAACGAAATTCACGATTAATTTTACGTTTTACTCTTGGCTCAGCGGCCATGTATGGTCAAGTACAATGTTACATATTCGAAACATCACTTGGCCAAGGATGGAAGGGATCACTAAAGATCTAATACAAAGTGCTTTAAAGGGAGTAGGACTTGACATTTCTTATCTGGTTACAATTTAATGAGTGTTTTTCATACAAGTAACTCATACCAGCTTTTGGAAAAACTTCTGGTCATTTTTAAATCCATGCTATTTACATAACTAGAGTTTTCTAACGATCTAAAATCGCCTTTTTCACAATGAAACACCGAAAAGGCATTTTAACATTTAATTTCAATCAACTTTATGTTCGGTAATGCAAAAAATGGCTAATGATATGTCACCAAGCATGCGGAGTTTAAAATCTGGGAAATTCATTTTAAATACCTAATCTGGTTTGACGTTTCTAAATTTACGGAACGGTCGATACGTTTTTTTGCAAAATAATGCATTGAAACGATACGTTAAGTGCAAAGATAAGCATATAACACCATAACGCAAAAACAACGGCTTTTCAAATTTGTCTTTTCTTTTTCTGATAGCGAGCGCCGTTCGCACAATTCACGATTGAGTTGGAGACGCGCGAGTTCGGTTTCCAAGCAGAGCGGCGCAGGTCACGTGGTACCGGATATTCGAATAGTAAAATGGCATTCGAATATTTTATTATTCGAATATTTTGCCCAGCTCTAGTTGTTAGGTGTGTTGTTGTTACGAGGACTTGGTATTTTAAATACGCGCTTAAGGTTTGTTGTTATTTTACCTTGCGTTGCTTGTGTGCGGCTCTTCACAGCTTTGAGGTTTGAAATGCGGCTCTGAGACTAAAAAAGTTTGAGAACCACTGGTTTATACTATACGTACAGCCAACGGAATAATACGAAATAACTATTTTCAACAGCCAAACAAAACGGAAACGTATAATCTGACTTACAACTGACAGGAGCCAAATGGACGTTTTTGTTTTTTGCTGTCCAGTAAACAAAATCACGTGACCCGTGCAATTCCTCCGGGGTTTCCGGTGCCTTTAAACTCCGATTGTGACTCCTTTCTCTACTGATAAGTTCAGTTGAGACCGGATTAGAGGTCGGAACCGAATCGCACACCTTCGCTACTACCCTACCGTGCCTTTGTGTCACTTCGCACGGTAACGATAGGGTAGGATAAAACAAATAATGCTTAACTAATGTATTATTAACTTGTAAACATCTTGATATCACTGAATTGATATTACAGATTATATATGGATTATTGAACATTGGAATACTGAAAAATGGAAACTACGTCGGATATTATGGATTACAATTTGGAATAATAATGATTGTAAAATTTTTTTTTCCCATTAGGCTATTTCTATGATTATTACTGTATCACATTTAACACATTTGTGAGCGTTTAAAAAAATAAAAAAAAAAAAAAAGAAATAGGGTATCTATAGCTTTCCCCGCGAGATTGACTTTATTTGAGAAAAATCAAAAATTTAGGCAGTATTTTAACATGACATTTTTGGTTGACATTATTTGGACAGTTACGGTACCGGTACAGCATTTATTTTCACATTACATTTTTGTTTGACAATATTTAAGCACTTACGGCATGTACTTCTTTGGACCTCAATTCTGTCTTACAATTACATCTGGGGTCTGGTATAGTTTAGTACCACATGTACTTCTAGTTGACCTGGCTCAACAATTTTTGCATATATCAATCCTAACCCCCACCTGACTACGTCACCGAAAAATTACGTCATTTCGACTACACAGTGGCGTAATAAGGCCCACCGAAGTATGCGGATGCTCGTCCAAAAGGCACAGACGATCACCCGAAATCGAGCAAGCAATTTCTCTCGTTTTCTCGTCACAACGATCATTATAGGAGAGAGATCGCCGGCTTTAGCAAGTTCGTTATCGGCGGCGCAGATGTCATTTCGGAAGATCGTAATTATACTTTGGCAATTTCTATGACGTGATGGTGACGTCGTAGTGACATAATTTTTGGATGGCATAGCCTAGTCCTGTAGTCAGGTGGGGGTTAGGAATAGCATATGCAAAATTCGTTATGCTACGCCCACCGGTAGTACTTGTGGTACTAAACTATACTAGACCCTACATCTGTACATTGTGTGTAGTACGGTACCTGTATCACTTGATAAAAGATTTGGTTATTTTTTAAAAAATAAAAAATATATCAAATAGCTCTGTAGCTGACTTATCAAAACTTTGGGTATAGCCTAGCTGTATAGGGTAAGCTGGTTCACTTCACAAATAATTTGTTATTATTGCGACAAACGTTACTTATTTTGGTGTCTTGCTAAATATTCCCTTTCTAGCACAAAAAGTGTTTATATCATATATATAAATAAATATTGGGACATTCTTGAAATTAGAGAATTGTGCCTTACTGAAGATTTAGTTTACCTAATAAATTTGGAATGTTTATTAATTTTGTTACATCATTAAATTTTAGAATGTTTAGTAATTCATAGTAATGGTGAATATTTTCTCATCTTTTGATCCCGATAATAATTCTCAAAATACCGAAGATGTTGAAGACGACATTGTGGATGTTTGGATGTCCCTTATTCCAAATGGGGTTCCAGATCATTATCTGACTCGAATATTGGAAAACTATGGACATATTGTATCTATAACAAGAGAAAAAGATTGTATGGGAAATTTGACAGGGAGACGAATGTATAAAATGCATTTAGAATATGAAATACCGGGAACTTTACAATTACCGCAAGGACACAGATGTCATCAACAAGAATTTAAAGTATGGTATGAGGGACAAGAAAATGATGAAATAAATAATCAAAATCAAAGTGATATCACGCCAAAATGTTATATATGTAAAAAAACTGGTCATCGTGCCATGGATTGTTGGCGAAGAAAAGTGTGTCCGTTATGTAAAGATTGGGATCCCACACCTCATAGTGAAGAAGATTGTAAAGAACATAGGAAATCTAATATAGAAAACATGACGCTGGAAGAATTCATGATTGCACAAACAATGGTCCAAATGGGACAGAGTCAATTAAGTCCCAGCAAAGCGTCCAAAATTGAAGAAAATTGTGAAGATAATTACCACGAAGAAAATGAAATAGAGAAAATAGAACAATCAGAGTCCTCGGATAGCAAAGAAACTACTACACCTTATCCTGAAATAATAAACATTAGAACACTAAATACTATAAACAAAGAAGACAAAAATAGTCTAGAAGATATACCAGTGAATCAAATTAATTATCAAACACAAATTCATCCTGAAAAACAATTATCTGTAATAATAACATCTGGCCCAAAACCTCACAATTCTCAACCTTTTATTCAACAAACCCCAGAATTACAACGAAAAAAGAAAGCTCTGGAAGCTTTAGAGGCAGCACACGTTGTCACAAGTCAGTCTGGCCCAGAATTACAACAAAAAACAAATTCGCAAGAAACTTCAGACGCGACACACGTTGTCACGAAAAATGATCAAACAACATCTCGTCGTTCTTACATACTTGCTGATTCCCAAGGGAGGCAACTCAAACACCTGGTCTCTGCCAAAGTCCAAGAAGGTACCCCTGGTTGTCCGATTTGGAAACTGCATAACATATTAGCATGGCACAGTGTTGACAAGTTAATGGACGTATTAATACTCTATGTCGGAGCAAATAACGTAGTATCAAATCAACCAGTTGAAAAAGATGTTGATAGATTAGTAAAACTAGCGAAACAAAAATCACAAAAGGTTATTGTTAGTGGGATCATTCCTCGTTATGACCATCTTGAAAGCGATCACTCGCGACATACTGTTAATAGGCAGTTGAAGAAAGTCGCGGAGTATAACGGAGCTTTATACATTGAACCACCAACAATTTTCAACTTACAAGAAGGAGGAATTCCCATCGATATGTACGATAAAGATAAAATTCGTATTAGCAAAAAAGGAGCGCAAGAACTAATTCGAACTTGGGAAAGAAATGGGGGAATAAATATAATGAAAAAGAAAAGGGAAAAAAGAAAAGCAGATGACGAAATTCCCACTGGAATTGATAAAGTTGAAGAGGAAAACAAATCAACTACCATCTCAAACTTTGATGAAGTCCAAGCTGAAATAGGTAACTTAACATAAAATTGCTTCTAATATTTCATAAAATTACATTTCGTATGTAATATTTGAATCAATAAATACATGTATCTCAGAAGCAACATGACACAACTACTCACCATAACCCTTCAGAGGATTTGTATTAAATGGTATATAGATTTAATAAACTATTCCACATCCAGTTTTTTACGCATGTTTTACGCTTTAAAATCTGTTTGTTTATACTTTATTGATGAGAGATCAGAAGCTTGTTTTAGTATGATTTAAATATATTCTGCTGCCTGTTTCACTCACTGTTACAAAGCTAATTTAGGCATCTTAGATTTTATAATCTAGCACAGTGGTTCATACCTGCCTGTACTATTGTGTTTGATTTTTTAGTTTTCTAAAAAAGATTACCGGTACCTAATATTGTTTACTGCCTACTTCTTAGTCGACGAGTTATTAGATAAATATGTGTTCATCTCTGTGCTTGAGTGAGTTTTCTCATTACGTTTAAAAAATAATTATTTGGCATTACCGTCTATGCTTTAATAACCAAATTATTATATGGATTATGTAAAAATACAGCTTGCCACCACTCTAACACAAAGACTTGAATTCTGTGCATATAACACTAACAGTTCTCTGTTGTAAATGCATGGCCTTGATGGTGAGAGAGTCATAACCAACCAGCGGTTATATGAATCACCCTATGACGCCGTGTACTCTTGCCTTATAGCATTTCACTACCTAAATTCACCCCATTTCACATTAAAATAATAAAAACAAAGTTAATTTTCCCAAACTTATAATAATGATTTTCGTACATTTCATTCATTCGTACAGCCTGATGACCTGCACCAAAATACTTTGGAAAAATCCATCCCCGATTCCTCATCCTATCACGGCCTCTAGTCCGATCACCAGTTCATAATTAACCAGCCATTTGTTTTTGGATTCATGGACTCGGATGTGGAAGAAGCCGTCACTGACTATCGGCTACGGCCCAGGGGTCGGCAAATTTTATGTCGTTCGCAGGAAAAAATTCAGGATTGCTGGTTTTTTGCGGGTCGCATATATTTTTTGAAAGTTAAAAACGGAACACACGCGAAAAACTGCGACAATTCGTGAACTCAACTCAGTCGTCTTATTAAAAAAATATTACAATGACATTCAATGTGACACTGTCTTGTTGCTGCATCGCGCTGGATAGCTTTACGACGCCAAGATTGGAACATTTTCTAAATGGGCATCACCAAACCCACTTCTTTGCTTGTTCTTTGTAATGCTCATTTTCGAAAATAATGGTTTGCACAAATATGTACTTCCAAACATCGAAGTGAATATTTTCGCATGATTTGTGAAATTTTGATAAATGTTTTCTTTAAGCAGATACATTCTTACAAAAATTAAGCAGTGATGAATCTCTCGAATAGAATATGAATTTTATTTCCTTATTGCTTTGCAATACATTCGAATATTTACTGCGCTATTGAACCCCTGCACTCAGCATCAACTTTTCTGCGTGTTTCCATTTGTCTAATTATAATTAAATTGTAGGCTCGTTAAACGAGTGGCTGTTCACTAAATTGTTAGGATATAGTATAATTTAGTCTAAACGTGTCTCACGATAAATTCTGTTACGTAAAAAATGTAATTTACTCCTCGAGCGTAGATTATAAATAAAAAAATTTTCATCGTCAAAACCGCCGTTTGGATATTTCCCCGGCCATAGACTTCCTTGTTTACTTCGTGACATTGGCCAATCAGCAAGATGCAAAAAACGTAACAATGCCCCCTTTCGCATCCGCTCAGACACTCTCACTCAGACAGTTTTTTAGGCGTGGTCGTGAGCACTACCTCATTTTCGCGTTTTTGAATTATATTCGTTTTTAGTTTTTAGTTGTTTAGTTGAAATTTAAATATAAATCGAATAAGTCAATGATTACTTTGTCTTTCTATGATTTTCAGTTTAAATACAGCAATCAAAAATTAGTGTAGGAATAGCTGTGATAGACTAGGCTAAAATTCTTTATCGGTACCTTTAAAAAACAGATTGTTAAATGGTGTGTATTAGAATGATAGTTTGAAACAAATACCCCATTTTACAGGCAACAACTCGCGAAACCACTCTTAAAATAAGCACCGAAAATTTTAAAATGGTTAAGTATGGGAAGAATTTTCCGCGGTCAAAGATCGGGGAAAGGTCCATTCAGTGAATCGTCCCAGACCAGATTATTTTACTTCTGCCGTATTTTGCCGACCACTGGGATACGCAAACTACCTTACCTTACTGCGAAGACGAGACCAGAAATCTTTTCGCGTTTGAAAATCGCCCACATGATTCAAGCCTGCAAATGCACACAGAGTACAGAATTAAGTGCGCCGAACATAAAACAGCTTCTGCGAAATCGCCCCCCTATCGCCCTCTTAAACTTTTTCGCCCCCCTCTGTATCGTTTTCGCCCACTGGGGAGCGATATCACCCACTTTGGGAATCATTGCTCTAACACATTATCCCCAACAGACTATAAATCTGAGAACCCACGCAGATAATCAGAGGCTTCGCAATACACCAACTACCGCACACTCGGTATGTTTGTTTATTATTACCATTAATAAATCTCTCATATTCCCCATTATTCAGAAACTATTGGTCCAAAAAGGCGGAGGCGGAAGACTACAAAACAACCAATTCTGTGGAAATTTTTACTGGATGCGCTTAATCAACCTGAGAAATATGGAAAAATGATTCACTGGGTGGATATCAAAACAGGCACCTTCCAGGTAAAAATATTTATCATTCAAGCATTTTTACACGTCCAGAATAACCTTTGAGCATGCCATATGGAATTTATCTTCATTTTGGTTGGGGTGCTACGCCAGTCTTGCTTATCAATCTATATTGCCTTATTTTGTTCATAAGTCAGGTCTTGTAATGAAATAGTTAGTTGTCATATCAGTCTGAAGTAAATTTTTACTGTGCCTTGTTTGATGTGCCATGAATGAATTTGAATTATTTCGGCATTTTTTTCATAAATTGGCTTAACTTTTTGTCGCAAATAACACTATGTAAGAATCTCTGTCGATGCGGCTCCATCATTCAGGATAATATTATTTTGAGTTTCTTCAATTCTGCTTTTAAATTTATCTCTTCATTGCTAAGGAAACTTAAATATTTTTTTATCAATTCAGTTTACATCACGTCACAAGGAAGAACTTTCGAAAGACTGGGGTATAGCGAAGAACAATCGATGTACAATGACATATCAAAAAATGGCACGAGCGCTTCGGAACTACATTAACAGAGGAGAAGTGTTGCAGAAAGTCAAGCGAAAACTTCAATACACATTCTTACCGGAATTCTACCAAAGCATACTTCCTATGGTGCGACAATAAAGATTAAATAAAAATCTCCATGAAATACTTATACTGTACATGTTTACAAAACTATAAAAACGAAAACAATATTGGTGAATATCATCGCCAAACACTGTGCCTGTGAGGTTTATGTGAGTCACCCATGGGTGTGTACTTTAGTGTATTTGGAGTTTCGTTACGCTGTCAACCTCTGTCTGTATTTTGAAGTAGTATTTCGTGTGACTATTACTCATGACATAGCTGTTAGTTAGAAGATATGCATACCGCTCAATGCACCATACTAAGGAATTGCTAACAGTTAAGTTTTTTTCACGTTGCTTTGTATTTATTTGAATATGGACTGTTCGATTTGCTTTCAATGTTTGCATGACGCCATAGATGAATACCACATATATTGCCGGATTGGTTGTTGGGGCCAACTCAGAGGTGTTGTCATCCACAATCAACCAGCGCTCAACTCAATTTTATATGTATGCTTCGGCGCTTCGCACAGAATGACTGATACAGAATTCCTCTCCAATGTTCCTTAGCTTATCATAATTGGGATGTAGTGGTATTTACTTTTGAACTATAGTGGAATATATGTTACACAATGTGCTTATGCCACGTTTTATTGATAAACGAGACTGGGACTAAGTTTTTTCAATACCTGATAACCATAATATAATGGTTTATGTTTCATATTTTTCGTTTATTCTTTTCCATTAACCCATTGAATAGTTTTTATGATGACTGATATATGAATGTAGTAGCTGAATGAAATGTTTCGCCACCGATTTCTACAATATATTGCAGGCTGTTTGTGCCTCGTGGACTGGTATTTTAAGTTTCAGGTAGTTATCCCAGGTATACAATGTTCCTCCAATAAATTTTTTGAAGACTTCATTGTGGGGTCTACCACTTTACTTCAACTGTTCTTTGTGTAATTAATTCTAAATAATCCAGCTTAATCTGGATAATCTTGATTTAATTAGGCTTCTACCACACATACAAGAAAATATGGACGAAGACTGTTATTGGGGTCATACGTTCTCCGTCTTGGATATTTAATTTTGACCTTTTAATCTTTATAGTGGGAATCTATTTTGTGTACAATATTCTTAAACTTGCGAATAAAATGAATTATGACATTTTACAAAATCGTAGTTGATATATTTTTTAATTTTATAACCTAGGACAGGGGTGTGCAACCTTTAATACATCGGGGCCAAATACAAATAACTTGACGAAACCGCGGGCCGCACCTTTACTTAACATAGGATTTCTAGTAGTCGCGCACACAACAATTTTGGTTTTTTATCTTGTGATGTGCGTTATTCGCTTTGTACAAGCTCAGATATAGACTTGCAACACAAAGGAGTTTAATTATTCACACGTACTACAATTTATTTTCTGGAACTACGCAAACTGTTGTTAGTGAGTTCGATGCAAAAAAGATACCGCTTTTAGAATTTGGAATCCCACCTTTTCCCACTGACATGCACGAATCACCATGAACATTAACGTTGTCCTAAGTTATACTCGTCTTCCAGGTATCCGTGCATCTTGTTTGTCCGTTCGTTGTTGTTTTGTCTTATGCCAGAGCGACCAAAATAATAATAATCGATTAAAACAAGACAAAGAAAATAACGTGGGAATATATAAATAAATTAAGGAAGATCTCTCAGATACGCCATTTAAAACACGAAATTACCAAGAATTTGTTCACCAATTCAAATTACAACAGTGATTTTCAACCTTTAGTGGCTCGCAGCCCCCTTCCAGAGCATTTTAGTACTCCATTTGGCGCATGGTTTTGCCCCCCCCCCCCTCCCCCACAACTGCTCTGTGACCTCATTGGCCACGGGCCCCCTGGATGGAAACCACTGGTATACGCTATCTTGTCTGTAGGCAAGTAGCCACTGTGTGTACGTGATAATAAAGTTTGAATTACTGGAATCTTCCAGGGTCGTCATGGATTACCATCGCACCGCCAAAAAGAATAAATATTTCATCGCTATCCCTATATCATATAGAATAGGTTTTTAGGTTCATCCAATGGGAGAGAAAAGTGTAAGTACTGTACAATACCTTGCTAAAGCAAGTGTTTTATTGGGAATGGCACATCTCTTGGTGAACAATTCAGTATCATAAGGTATTCAGACAGAGATTGTACGTTTGTTAATCGGTCAGAGGAAATGTTTGAAATATTTTTGGACAACCGATACAACCGCTATATCTACGCGACATTCCAACTCAATCGTTACTCGTAAAAGGCACGGTCACCATAATTGGCATTAAATTGAAGGTGACATTACGTTTTTTCAATCCAATTTTCTTTAAACGCCAACACAGTATAACTCTAAAACCGTAACCTGTAAATCTTATCTGTGCCCAATCATGATTGCGATTTTGTTGTTGATTGGCCAAGTGCTAGCTCGGGGTAGCGCTACTTTTATCGGTTTGATTTTCAAATCACGTGGTTTGTTTGCACAGAATTTAGAATTTCTCCACCCCGTCGTCGCCATTGCTCCTGTGGTTGTGTACCGGTATCGCCCTTTCCTGTTTGTCCTGTATCAAAGCTCAGAAGTTTCGAAAACAGCGAGATTATGGCAACGGTGGAGGTGAGCATTTTGCATATATCTTAATATTACTGTATTAGCATTTGCATAACCATATTCCGGTAGTCTATTCAGCTATTACCGTACTGTCCAAATCCTAAATAAGCTAAAACTGTAAAATATACAGATATACCGTATAGTACAGAGTTGTAATATTAGGTGTTTATGTTATATATGTATACTGATTAAAGGTATACTTGCTATTTAAAATTCTACTTTTTAACAGTAAAGGCTGGAAGGTGTTATTAATTACCTAGTCTATGTCTCTTAGCCCGCCCTTCACCATCTACTTAACAGATTTGGTGTCAGTTTAGGAAGTTGAATCCAAGTATAGAACTAATTATCATGATCATGTCTATATTTATATATATATATAATGTTATATATGTATATAGGGTTTCACAAATTAATACTGTTATCATATTCACTTCTTAGTGCAGTAGTGTCAAAGGGATGTATTAGTTCTGTAGTTCTATAGCGGAATGAATGATACTGTAATAAGATGGAAATTAGATGTTTAAAGATTTATGCGGAAGATATACTAAGTGCTTGTTATACTTTTAGCTTATTTTAGAGTCTAATAACAATATGTGTTTACTAAGCAATCCATGAATTGACATTTGAATGATATTTTATTTGATTTTACACAGTATCAAAAGTCATGTGATAGAATAATCTCCTGTTTATACTTTTGTACTATTTCCCAATTAGTTGACTCGAATCTGTTAATTTAAGAATCTTTTTTCTCTCCCATATTAAATCTGGTATTTTGTATTATATATATAGGCTATGCAATATAGATCTTTATCAGCATATAAATATTTAGTAGGCCTACAACAAAGCAAAAATATATTTTGTTGAATCAGATTTTTTTTAGAGTTAATTTGAGTTTAAATGCTCCCAATTTGAGATACTAATTAGGCATTCAATTTTTTTTATCATAAATTGCATACTATAGCATAATTCCCGTTAGCTAAGGTTTGAGAAGGTTAATTAATAACTATGACTAGTTTGTGTGCATTATACTATCTCAGCAAAGAGTGTATTTAGTGCAATACTATCTATCATTTATTCAATATTTGCTTACAACAAATCTTATATTGCTCAATTTCTGTCTCAAAATTGGGTAATGAAATATGAGACGCTGGTGATTGTTGTAAACAGAATTTGTTTTGAAGTTTGATCATTGAATCAAAACCTGCAATTTTTTTCAAATTTGTTGAACAATTTTAAGGAACATTGTTAGTTAGTTTATGAGCCCTTATAAATCCTGTTGGCAAATTTTGAGGATTCATGTAAAAATACAATTGAAGGTTCAATGCAAATATTATTACATTATTTGAATTTAGGGATTATAGTGGCAGCTGTAAATAGGAAATAAAAAATCAAACTTTATCAAGTGTATTTAGCAAATAGAATATACTTATTTTAATCGGAGGCAAAAATGACTTGTTTGAATAAATTAAGAGTGACTAATGACTAATACTATTATCACTTATATAGTAGTATACTGTTTGTTTAATTAATATCTAATGCTAACACTGCCTTGAGCACATTTTTACTTCTTCCGATCATAGAAACAATGACTTTTTTACTTGTATCATTAGAAATTCAGCATTTGTTTTTACATTTGAAAGTTTGCCAAAAGACGACAATGTTTCACTTGTGGGCATAAAATGGTTTACGACATACCCAATCAACTGATCTTAGATAGTTAATGATTCCATTTTCCAGTGTACATGCACACCCATAAAAATATTGAATTGTCATCAATTTTGCTTGCATGGTCCTCTATTAAAGATATATAGCCAATGCATTTGGTAAATAGTACACCAAAAAAATAATGTATAAAGTAGGACTACTGTCTGTGGTGATAAAGTTCAGAGTGAATAAAAAGTAACTAGAGTATATTAACCATGATCCAGGTATAATTGCATGACAACAATTTAAAAATTCTGATGAAAGCTATTTCTGAAAGTGCATTATGATAACGAAATTTAAGCATCTATAAATTTTTTCGAGTAGTAATGTTAAATGTTTGCAATTTACAATAGCTATGTTTCTCTGGGCAATTTTTCAATTTTGTCTGGCTAACTGAGGGATTTGGCTTACATTGCCAGTCCCAGTCATTTAATGTTATGGATAATATGTTGATAAGAATAAAATAAAATTATCACAATGTAGTTATTTGTAATACACATTGGAGTATTTACATTATTTACATACTGTACTTACACATTATGTTTCTTCAGTTTCAATTATTACTTCCCAGTGGTCTCAACTACCCTGTTTTGGAACCTTTATTTCTGCCTTTGGCTATTTTGAAACTTATCAACCATTTTTGTTATGTTAATACTCACTATGCATAAAAACTAAAGAAGTACCAGATATTAGGCGTGGTACAATTAATGGTACTCCTGAAGTATGCGTACCAAGATGGTGGGCAGACACTGAAATGTAGTATGTGTACCAGGTTAGGGTTGGGCCATAATTTTAAGTACAAATACTACGGGAGTCGCTTGGCTAGTCCCCAAACTCATAATTGAACTAAAATAAGGAAAATTGGAATACGGTGGTACACATACTACATACCGGTGTCTGCCATTTTGGTCCGAATACTTCAGGAGTTAATTAATTATGGAGTAAAATTTCATCACCTAAAATAATGGAATTTTTCCAGCGTTTCCTTAGTTAGGAAGTGCTTTTGAATTTGACAAATATTATTTCTAAATAATTATGATCACCTTGTTTTGACCTTTCATCACCATCAAGATAATATTAGCTGGGCTGACAATAATATCAAACATGTATAGGTGTTGGTAATTAGCAACTTTTTCTATTTCCTAATTAGTAATTATAAATAAGAAAGAAAAAGGGACTCCACAATATGGATTGCCCTGTTGTCAGAAAGTTCTTATCGTTAGGCGGTGATTGCGCAGAGGAGCAAGAAAAGAAAGGGTTAGAAAAATCAGTGAAAAAAATGAACGAGATTTTATCCAAGTCTAGTTGTCATAAACAGGCAAATAAAAATTCTCATTTTTCTCTTGTTGAGGTTGAGATCATCAATGCCAAGACAAAGCAGAAGATGTGCACTCTAGAAAGGGTATGCTGATTTTTACTTTCCAATTCATCGCCATTAAAATTAACTTGTGAAAAATATATATTAATTTGAATTGTTGAATCTATTATGTATTATTTTAATTTCATCGAGACATCTTGTTTGTTGCCTTATTACAAGACTTGACCCTTTTCTCACAGTTATCAACTTAAATTAGTTATTCGTACACACTCGCATACAAGAATGACATTTCAAAATTTCAATGCATCATACGTCATGCCTTCATATTATCCAACAATCAGGTAATCCTAAAATGAGACTAGTTTAGAAAATGATTGTAGTAAAAATATTCCCAATATCACTATCTCTGGCTACCACCATTATCTGCTTTCATTTGACATTCTTTCCCATTAAAAATTGTTATATTACATTTAGGTCGGAAACACAGTGGGGATATCAGTTTTAAAAGAACTTTTTCAAAAAAAATGTAAGATTTTTCATTTATTTTCATTTTCTTAGCCATTTTTATGTAATTGCCTTTCTATACTCGTTACGATTTATATCAAATTTTGTCTTGATCATTGTCAAAATATTTTTGTGCATTGATTTGATGAAGGATGCTGAATTTTTGCGAGCATATTGTACTCTAATAGAAACAAAACTAGTCTTTTTTCAAAGAGCAGGGGGCGACAAAGTGTTGAAGTCATTGGAAGGATTCAAGGATCATAGAAGTTTGAGAACTTTTGTCTTACAATATTCATAATCAGACTCATTTCCTTGAAAAAAATTAGTATTTTTCCAGTTCATTTTTCAACTTTTCCAAAGGGTGTGCTTCAAAATACAATTTTTTTTTAATTGTAGATCCTCAGTTCTATACATCACGTCAATCCTTTCGACTTGAGCCAAAAGGAAAGTCATTGAAAGACAGTGATACATTAGCAGACTTAAACTTAACAAACGAATGTATATTATACTTCAAGGATCTTGGTCCACAAGTTGGCTGGTCAACTGTGAGTCGATTTTATTTGGATATTAGGGTGCTTGCATGATGGGTTTATAAACAAAATTAAGACGAATTCATTTCTCGATATAGAAATTCCTAAAGAATTTAAGATGGAGTGTAATTATAGATTCAACATCTTTGAAAATTCTTGTTCATTATTAGTGTTATGACACTAGAAATATTGCCTAGCTCAATTTGGATAGAGAAATATTTTCTGTCTAAATATATCACAATATAGGATGTTATTTATAGTATGATTTTAGTGTACTATAATAAACCAACATGAATGTGTAGGACTAATTTTAATTTTTTTTTTTTTTTTAAATTATTTATAGCAACATAACTGATCCCTTTTTAACCTTGCCTTTTATTTATATTTTTTCATGGGAAGCACAATGGCTTAAGGCGGCATTGCAGTGTACATATATCTGATCTCTGATTCAAGTCAATCCATGCCCCATACCCACCCCCTTGTTCCCCATTCTTCGTTCATGTTATATTGTAAATTTACCTTATTTCTCCAGGTATTTTACTGTGAATATGCAGGTCCTCTGTTCCTGTATTTGCTGTTTTACATTCGTCTACCTTTCATATATGGCAGTGAATATGCATTCAAACCAAGTGAACATCAAGTTGTACAGTAAGTTTAATTTACAACATTGCTCTGAACATCAGTTAATGTGAAATATGTTTTTGCAAATAGTATCAAATTGTATCCTTTTAAATTGATGAATTTTGTCAAAATTTTCGATGTTATTTTATTATCAGTCATCAGTAATTTATTTTTTAACCATACTGAAAATACAATTTGCACGAACAGAATATAGAAAATCAGTTAAAATGGCATTTCAGGGCGAAGGAAAGCGCGATAAACCAACACTGCTTATTGAGCAGCAAAACTTATAAGTATAACAGTAATTAAAACAGAAGAAAAAATACTTTAATATTATATTAGATATTAAAGTATTCGTCAAAGTGCCTGATTTGTTACATACAGAAAACGACTCTGAACACTGTCAAGTAAAGTAACCATGGAAACTGCATTGCAGAGAAACCACATCACTGAATACATGAAGCACTGCAGAATTATCCAAGAATGTTGAACATGTTTAAATAATGAAAAACCTAATAATTATTTTGTTTACAGAATAGCAGCATTGTGTCACACCATCCATTATGCAAAGAGATTACTGGAAACCAAGTTTGTCCACAGATTTTCACACGGTACAATGCCAATCGCAAATATCTTCAGAAATTCAATATATTATTGGGGATTTGCAGCATGGATGTCTTACTTTATCAATCATCCACTATACACTCCACCATGTTATGGAGATACTCAGATTTACACTGGATTAGCAATATTTATCGTAAGTAAAACATTTGTGAGCCATAGTTGAGAATTCCTTTGGTATTGTTGCAGGACTGTGGAGTAGGAGTCAAAAATTTGGTTTTCTTGAGTTGGGATTTAGGTCTGACTTAGAAATTTTGTCAGGCTGGAGTCTGAACCAAATTCTGAATGGCCGATGTCTGGAAATTTTTTGTTGATTGCATGGGTTGAAGGATACGAGGTTGCGTGTGAAATGTGTTCCCCAATTAAAATTATGTAGTCATTGGAAATGGTACCTATTTGTTCCTTTTTATTTATCAAGAATTTATCAAATCTGAAAAACAAAGCACATTGAGCGCAATCTTATGGGTCCTAACTGAAGGTTTTCTCCATTTTATCTCCATGTCTATTTTTTGGCCCGAGCACTTTACAAAAAATTTTGAGGATTGTGGCACAGACTTTTTTTTCAGTTTCCATTGTGAATAGTATTATATTATCATTTAGCAATAAGTATGGAGTTTTATTTACTTGATCTTGTCAATAAAGTTGGGTGTGAAGCTGAATTTGACCTTTTCTGGTCTATTATTGGGAGTTGGAAACAGACTATTCCTTTATTAAGAATTTACCTTATATTGATTTTCATATTTTTTTTCAGTTCTGTGAACTTGGCAATCTGTCTATTCACCTTGCTTTCAAAAGCCTTCGTCCAGCTGGTTCGACGAAGCGTCAGATTCCCAAACCAACTATGAATCCCTTCACCCTTATGTTTAATTTGGTATCGTGTCCAAATTATACATATGAAGCTGGGAGCTGGATTGGGTTTGCATTGATGACACAAACAGTTGTAGGTAAGTGATTGTAAAGTCTGTATAAATCTCGGATGTTTTTATAGTGATGCAGCGTAAAGCCAGAAGGAGATGCGATTGAACATTCTGGAAAGTGGTCAATCCATTTCGTCATCTAATTAAGATTCGACTTGAGGTCCATTATCAGTGATTTGGAATCACTAGCCTTTTTGGGTCTGGAATATTGGTTTTAACCTTTTTTGGGGTGGACCGGAACCCTAATGAAACCTTTCCCTTATACAAGAGACATCATTTGGAACCATAAATATATATAAAAGCAAACCTAATACTGGCAAAACAATGATTTTGAAGATTTGTAAGGTTATTTAATATTTGAGATTTTTATTTAAATGGTATACTGTATACATACAATAATAATATAGACTCTCTGATTTTAATGTAACTTGTGAAACCCCTGGACTGTTGTACCCACAGAACGCAGGTTGAAAATTACTAGTCTGGATTATTGATTGTGCATATGGACTTTTTAGTAGTAGTATAGAGTTCCTCAATCGCTCGATATGGGGGATGAAATTATGCAGCATGCCTTCTGCACAGCCATTGTCTTTTCAAGATGATAAAAAAATGTTCGTTTTGCAGGTCTTCTGTTTGCAATTGTTGGATTTATGCAGATGGCACAATGGGCACTTGGCAAGCATCGCAATTACAGAAAAGAGTTTCCAGATTATCCTCGAACCAGAAAAGCAATTGTTCCATTTATCTTATAACTTTAATAATTTGAATATTAAATAATTGAAGCACATATTTACTCTGATTCAAGAATGATTAATGCAGAGTTTGCTTGCTGGAATTTTTTGATTGAAACTATTTTGGTACGTTTTAGTCTGTTTGGTGCTTGAGATTGGTAGCCCTGTTTAGCAACAGTAATTGTTTTTTTTTCGTATAAAATCTCCTTCATAAAACGCATTGACGGTATGCAGTGCTTTAGTGACAACTCGCAATTAACATTCAATAATATTATTTTGAAGTATTTTCCGCGATAATTGTCCAATTATATTATGGGATTATAGGTATTTGACTATGGTTTTAATCATTCTGTTTCGCATAATATGTTTTTTCTTATGATACCCGAACGATTTGTTCTTTGTGTTTTTGCGATTATGACGTGTTTGACCTGAAATAAATTTGTTATAATTTTTTTGAGTTTGTTGTTGGAAACAGGTTCCTACATATTGTTTTATTTAGACATTTACTTCCGTGTTGGAACTTATGCCGTTCCTCATTTGACTCGCTGCTGCGGGGTATTAAATCAGTATGCTGTGATAAGCGTTGCGTTTGATAGTTTAATTCCTCTGCTTGGGATTAGAAGCGATGATATGTACGTAAAATTCTGGCTTCAAGTCTGTGCATCTGAAATTGATTGAAACGAATAACAAGCTAACCAACCCCATATCAGTCATGATTGGTAACCCGACTACAGCTTGTGGTACGCACTGAGGTGTTAATACACCTCAATGGTGGTAAGCCATATGATAATGCCACGTTATCGTCTTTTCTCTCCCCCGGGATACATATGTAAATCCCATCATCAAAAAGGAATTTTTGCGATCAGTATTGCTTATATACAGTATGGGCAAACAGATCATCCGGACAAAAATGCTTACTGTTTCGGAACGAGTTGCCGTGAAGTACCGTACCGGTACTCTTGGGTCTTGAGTTAACATATTTTCTCGCCTCCCAATGAGGATAACCTCATTGTGCACCCCAACAGTGCAAGTTACACCGCAAACAATTTTAAATCGCTTGCCTATACGTCCTTGGAGTTTCTGGTACCTAATGAGACCGAACTAAAATACGTCGTGGTGGGGTTTAATGAAAAAAGTTTGCTACCATTTTAATATCCGGCTAATAATATTTTTGACTCCCCACACTACCTTCAAATGTATGTTTACTTTGAATCGTGGCGACGGGAACGTGTAACCGGATGCAGTTACAATTCTCAAACCCCTGTTGGCGTTCGTGTCGTAGAGTTAGCGTTTATGGTACCGGTATTGATAACTCTTTATTTGTAACTTACAGTTCCTGAATTATTCTATAAACACCCTATACTTTCTATTAATTTGAAGGTTAGGCTAAGTAAGATCTAGCATAACAACATCTGAACACAGAAACATGGGGTCTGATAAAGAGCAGGGGGTCTTAGTGACTGGAGGGGCCGGATTCATCGGAAGTCACACGGTGGTCGAGCTACTTGAGAGAAATGTTTCGGTGATTGTTATTGATAATATGACAAATGCTACTGCGAGTAAAGACGAAGAAGAACTTCCGCCTGTTCTACAACGAATCAAAAAGATTGTTGTAAGTTTATTTTTTTGCATGTTCCAGGATTGGATTTTTATATTCATTAAATGGAAATGATATAATCGAAAATAAGAAAGGTTTTAGCGAAGTAAACGCCGTAACTGCTTGAATACCTGAATAACGTCTAATAAGAATGTGATGTAAAATGAACGCTGTAACTGCTTAAATAACGAAAATGTAACATGAAATCAACGCATGAACTGCTGTAATAACGCCAAACAAAAATGTGATGTGAAATTTTATCGTATTATTTGAAAAAAGTCTGTATGGCGCAGAAAGAAATTCCTAATACAAAAAGGCAAAATTTGTGTGAGCTGGAATCTTGTTCTAAAATTTCAGAATTCACAACAAGGTGAAAAACTTCATTTTGTCAAAGGAAGTTTTGGTGATGTTGAACTGCTCGAAAAAATCTTCACAAAATATGCAATATCAGCAGTTATCCATTTTGGTGGCTTCAAAGCAGTAGGAGAATCAAAAGAGTTGCCAATGATGTATTATAGTAATAATGTTGGTGGTGGGTATCGAATTAAATCACCGCCTATATGTGTTTTGGGATTGGGACCCTAACCCCGAGTTGAGATCAAACAGAGTCCCAGTAACTTTTAAACTTGAAGTAGTCCCATGCGGAGTCATTGTACTCAAGTTGAATCTCTTCTGTTTGAGTTACATGATGAGTATGTGTCATAGAAATAGATAACTATGAGATATGAATTCCATTCCATCTTGTGTTAACCGAATTTTCAAAATTGAAATCACTCATGGTGGTCGCATCACAGTCATTCAGCTGAATTTTGGTCAGTCAGGTGGGGGTTGGGAATGCAAAATGCAAAAATCCTTTCGTCGCACCCTCTAGAAGTTATAGAAGTGCAAAACTACACGAGACCCGAATTCTAAATTTCGTATCCATCCTTTGCCCCAAAATGAAACAGTTAAAGAAATTTGTGAAACGTAACAAACATGTATTTTGGTCTAATTAGATGTTTCGATGAAATTTTCCAATTTCATTTTAAACTCTATAATAATTTTTTATATAAGAACTCTAGGAAACTTAAATATTTATTAAATAATTTTTAGGAACTTTGAAGTTGATACAAAGTATGCAAAAGCACAATGTAACGAATATGATATTTAGTAGTTCGGCTACGGTTTACTCTGCTCCCGGTCCAGACGATTTGCCTTTGAGTGAGAAATCACTGACTGGAAATTGTACCTGCCCATATGCCAGGTATTATATTGTTTTGGGTGAATTAAACTTTTTTGCTTGCAGCGAGCGTCATTTGTATTCTTTATCTTTGAAAGCTATCTTGTAGACTAATATAATCATCTTATCAATCTATTGATCAGTTGCAAAATCTTTCTAAAAATTGATTGTTAGTTTCTATTTGTGCTCTGGAACACAAATTATTTCAAATTGATTATCAGTAGGAGCTTTAGGCTATTTAAGATTGTATATGAATATCTGATTAAATTGGTTGCTTGGTGGAAGTATTTTAGTGTTATTCAGGGTTCATAAATTTTTCATGCTGTCGCTCTTTTTATATACCGGTACCTAGTTTTTACTCATTTCTCACTCGAATGCGGATAAAACTCTCAATTTTTGATGTTTTTTTAAATGCTTGTATTTGGGTGATTTAGAAAATTCCATTTTAACGTTCCCATCAGTTATATTATTTGCCACATTCAATAATTCAATGAAAAAAACTAATGAAAGTAAAAGAATAAATGTAATATACCGGTAGTCAAACAATTCAATAAATCACAGTAAATTTACTTCAAATTGATGCTGCTCTTGGCACCCAGAGAACCACTTTGGCCACCTAGGGTGGTCGAGAACTCAGTTTGAGAAGCAGTGAATTTGAATTTATTTTAATTTGGCGGATGCTGAGGTTCTTTTCTATCTTGAAAAGTTTTTCTGTAGTAAGATTATCAATTAGGTAAAATAATCTAGGAATTCAGCATGTTAACCGCCTATTTGATTTATTCAAAATAGGAATAGGATTTCACATTTTCATACATTACACTAAGTATTGTGTGATAGAGCATGGGCGGCAGTGTTAACTCTAAGCAAATTATGAGTGCGAAAGTGCTTCGCAGTCCAAAAAAAAAGTGCGAAAGTGCTTTTGCCGATTTTAACAAGTTAGGTGCCCTAGCCTTTCATATAACCCATTTAAAACGGCATAGATACTCGAAAAAGCGCTCCTCCGGTAATATTATGAATTAAAGGGAAGCCTTTTCGTTAACCGAGTTCCCTTTAAGCGAATTTATGTTTAATTAAAACAAGCGAATTCATCGGCAACGAAATGACATCTGCTAACACCTGCCGCGGACAAAACTTTCATGCAATGTATCACGGTGTCAGTTGCTTACTCGCGTAAACAGCAAAGACTTTCACATTTGTTACTCCTTCCATCTAACAGACACGAGGCCGGCTGGAAACCATATTAGTTACAGGGTGGATCGTTTGTACAAATCCGGTGCAAAATAATCCCCCCCCAATATAAATAGCAATCAACTAATTAGGGTTAGGTGCGCTGGAAATTCAACTTTTCGATTCATCCCTAAACCTAATCTGATAATTATTAATTTGTGATTTTGAACCACTTTGAAAGTCGCCACCGGCTGTTTTAAAAGATAGGTTAACCTACATTCCCTCCAAAATATTATGCAGGATACTCCCCTGTTTTAGGAGATAGGTTGACCTACTTTCCTTTCAAACTTTTTTCTCCGAAATATTACACAAGATCACTTTGAAAATCCTTCCGTTTCGTGAGCTAGCGTGACCTAATTTCTCATTTACATTTATATTATACTATTTCAGAGCTTACCCAAAGACAAGTAATTTTTAAATGTCCACATGCCTTGGTTTGCGTGCGAGTTAGTTTAAATCGGGCAGAAAACATCATATATTGGCAAAATGTTTAGTAATGTCATGTACTTTCAGCATTCATAAATAGCACTCTTTGTAATGCTGCTGACCTAGTATCAAATATTCGCATCACAACGCCACTTGCGAGGTTTCCATATATTTCAATTACACTAATAGGAACGATGACATCAAAGAGTTTTCTTTTGCGAAGGTACACTAAATATAACGAGGGTGATTCTTGAGAAAAACATGAATATAAAAAATAAACGAATGATATGATAATGGATCCCAAATAATTTTGAGAGTGTCTCGAAATACCAATCCATTTGATAAATAATTTTTATTCGACCACATGAACGCTGATATCCTGAAAATTAATGTTGAAAGAGAATTACGCATTCTCAGATATCGGACATCCAGTCGCGATATTTAATCGTTCATATGCACAAATCTCACATTAATAGTAATTGCTACCCAAGTTTGTAAAGTTTAGAAACCAACAAACAGAAAATAACTAACCTAAAACACAATTAAAATTCAGTCGGCAATAAATTCGTCGCCAAGACGATGCCATACAAAACAAAAAAGATTTGGTCGCGAGAGTTCCGTGAGATGACTGCCGTTGTTTTTTTAAGCAGAATGTAAAAAAAATTATAATTAATAAACAGGAGTTACGACGCCCTTTACACATCGTGTGTATTAAACTTCCCTGGTAGGTACTTTGGTAAGTACTATTATTATTGTACCTATACACCTGTTGGAGTATTTCGGACAATTTCGAATTTAAAATAAATGAAAACCAGACATATAATAAAGACGAAAAATTAAATGAACATTTATTGAAAAAGTTATTATTCAAGAAAGACAACATGATCGTACAATTCCGCCAAAACCTCGATGTTCGCAAGTGAGATGATAAATAAATACCTCCCTGTATTCGATCAATTAACTTTAGCGTATCGTTGTTCTGCCAACAAACAGCCGGGTGCAAAATATTTCCGTCCTATGATATGCTCACAAATATTCTCGATATTAATATCATACCCTCGCGTATGTACTTTCTATTAGCTCTTTAGTGATCCCTTCCATCCTTGGCCAAGGCATGTTTCGAATATGTGAACATTTTATTCGACCATACATGGCCGGCGGGATGTTAAAATTGTAAACAAGAGAGAGGTAAAATCAATCGCGAATTTCGTTATAACGGCTCGTTTACGAATTGTTGCGCCTGTTATCGTCGAAGATGATTACATTTGTTGTATTTTGAGGCATTTAAGCAGTAATAATTAGGGCATGACATCATCAAAATCAAGTGATATCTTGAAATTGCAAATTCCGTAAATAAAATTGCGAATTATTCGGTAACGAATTCAGCTTTAATGACCGTCGGGGTATTGTTTTGTTGAAAATTATTATTAATTTGAGAGCGCCAAAAACATACAGTCCATACCGATGCGACTGCAATTTATATGGTCGCAATTGGTGTGGCGCGTTTATTAATAGTGTAAAATAAATTAAACGAATATCAATTATAACCAAGCCTGTCAGTGTGTTTATTTTCTGTGGGCAGGAATCGTAAAATACCATCTTGAGACAAATTCACTTCTATTATAAAATCTTAATTTTCAGTTATTATCCTTATACAAATAACGTGTGGCAACTTTTCAATTTATCGTCGATCAAAAAACCACCCCACACTCGTCCAAACGTGTGTTGAGCTTGAACGACAGGAACTGATTCATCGAGGACCTTAATTAGGGAGAATATGTATTTTATTGGGAATGCAAAATAAATGTAACAAAACGCATTTTTTGTGATATAACTTTGTATTTTCGGAAACGGGTTGCCGTGAAAGGTAAAATTTGATCTAAATTGATTGCAAAAATATTTTATTTTAAATGTAACAAAACACATTTTGCGATATAACCTTGTATTTTCGAAAACGGGTGTCCTGAAAAGTAAAAATATGATCTAAATTAATCGCAAAAATGTTTTATTTTAAATGTAACAAAACACATTTTCGCGATATAACCTTGTATTTTCGGAAACGGGTGTCGTGAAAAGCAAAATATGATCTAAATTAATCGCAAAAATGTTTTATTTTAAATGTAACAAAACACATTTTTCGAGATACAACTGTATTTTCGGATACCGGGTGTCATGGAGAGTAAAATGTGATCTGAATTCACCGTAAATAATGTTTCATTCCAAATGTATCATAACGCATTTTTTAGCGATATAACTTTGTATTTTCGAAAACGGGGCGTCACGAAAATTATTAATTTAATGTTTTATCTATCGTCTAACTAACGTCTGGAACACATCATTTTCGGGGAGAACTCTAACGTCATTTAATTTAAAATAGAGAATGTTTCACGCATTTCAAAACGGAAAATCACCAGTAAGTAGACACGGATTCAACCCTCCGGATTCAGTATTCTATATCCCTGTGTCAGAACTTTCTGAAGAATGGAACAAAGAACCCGTCAAACCGCCGCGGAAGATGGGGAGTATTTTTTGCACTAATAATTAGGGCGTGACAATATCAAAACCGTCAAGAAACTGGTGAATTTGCAAATTCCATAAATAAAATTGTGAATTGCTCGGTAACATTTTAGCTATAATTATCGCCGGGGTATTGTTTTGTTGAAAACACGTTGAAACTTGAGGGAATTAGTTACAATTAGCTCCTGACCTCTATTAGGCACTCGAGCACTCGAAAAAAAAGCACTCGAGCCCAATCTTTTTAGCATTAAGTCGCATACATAAAATATCCTGTAAAAGAAGTGCTGTTCATTAACGTCATCTCGTCTTATGACCACGCAGAAATGCTTTTATAGCCGAATTATTCAATCACTATTTCAAATCAACATTCAGGATTGGCACAATTTCAGATTTGCAAAGTTGATCACCATAGAAATACATGAGAAAGTTAATTATCGTCTCAATAAATATCTGCAATCTGCATCACGGTATGGACAATAATATTACCATTCGCATAAAATTGGGACGGTAAATTTACAAATCTTGATAGGTCATATTGAAGCCAGCGCAAATGTTAATTTGAGTCCTCAATCTCTTCAACAGCTGTTGCCGATGTGAACGAACGGGTAAACCCGAAATATAAAACTTCGATGTCCGCCGACCCACAAGAATTCATATTTGTAAAAAAGAGAGGGCGGGAATATAGATTACCCAAAACCTGGATATCGCGGCCAAAACGATCGGTGAAAAGAACAATTAGCCATTACAACGGAATTAGCCAGTAAAAAGGCTTTGTTGCCGACTTTTTAATGTTTCCACCACGTTTATTCGGTACTCCTTAAAAAATATTCGATTTAAAAAAATATTGAATTTTGCCCACCCCTCCTCGCATATCAATGAGAAATAGTTGTGTAAATATCGCAAAATTCCGGAAAATGCCACGGCCTTTTAACATTGTGATTACAATAAAATGGCACTTAATGGTATTTTGTGAATTTGTTGATTTTGCAAATCTGTGACATGCTGCTAAAAGTTTCGTCCGATTTGAAAATCGTGCAGTTTGGTCACAATTCATCCAAAGTGACTAAAACAGGTTACTAACACTTTTTATAGTCATTTTGAATTCATCGATATCATTGATAGTCACATGACCACTCTCGTTCAAAGAAACGCCCCGGGAGCGTTTTTTGCGGGAGAAGCGGAATCCGTGTGCTTGTATAATAATCATATTATAAACAAGAATTTTGCTGTTAATGCAAAAGCTTTATCTCCTATGTCTGCATCTCATAGGTTATCGTTATGATATGCAGAATTGAGTTACAAAAGTACCAGTATGTTACTTATTTGTCAACTTAATACTCGAAAATATTTGTTAACTTTGAATTTTTATTCCATTCAAAATCGGAAAAAGTGCTATTTCTCTTCAAAATCGGAAAAAAGTGCTATTTCGCAGTCCCTAAAAAAAGTTGCGAAAGTGCTTCGCAATTTTCGCAAAAAAGTGCGCTAATAGTGAACACTGATGGGCGGCCATCGATGGCGAGTATTATGGTGCTTCTTTTTATAAGGTGTTAGATAGCAAATTGAATGCCATTTTGCTATTTATTCGAATGTAGTCCTCACTATCAATTTCCAAAATTCTCAGCACTAAATTCTTCATTGAAAATATCTTGCGTGATCTTTGCTATGCTGACAAAAATTGGACAGTGATATCTCTACGTTATTTCAATCCTGTCGGTGCTCATGCTTCAGGTGAAATTGGTGAAGATCCAAAAGGCATTCCTAATAATTTAATGCCTTTCATTGCACAGGTGATGCATGCAAAAATATTCAAAATTTGAAATTTTCAGCTTTCTGTGATTTGTGTAAGGTGCTCGAGTACAGTTATCAATCAGCTTATTATTGCATTCCAAGAAAGGATATGTGGGGCATCTTTTTAGGGTAGGATAGGATTTACATATTCATCCTGGGGGAGGGGAAAGCCGATAAGACGGCTCAATCATGGGGCGCACGGCAGCCTCTCATCCTGTTACCAGTCCATATTGGGTATTGGATTACGATAGTTAGCCACGACCAGCATTTAGGTGAACCACCCTACGGCGCGAGGAGTCCAGCAATCCTCTCGCACATAATTCAACCTGCGAACCCATGCAGGGTAAACAGAGGTCCGGTAGCGAGCGTATTCTTCATGCATGATGGGAAATATGTGCTTTACTAACATTTGTTTGAAAAGCTACACAGATTGTCTAAATTAGTGTTAACAAGCAGAATCATAAAGATTATATCATGAATTTGTGCTTAACATAAATACATGCCTCTGAAATGAATTAGAACGTTTGCTGGATATATATATATATATCACATAAAATTGGTGTCTATGCTAACCTAATATAATGCTATGCATGATTTTAAATATTTAATGATTATATATGATATTATTTAATCATCTTATTAGAAAAGTCTGTGATTTATGCCACTAACTAAGATTTATCAAAGGCTGCTACTGTAGTTTATAAGGACTGGAATACCGGCAAATACTGGTGTTTAAAACCACTGGGTGCGGACTTGAAAATTTTTGAATCAATATTGTTATGGAAACAACCAAGTGTATGGGAATTCCACAAAGTATTTTTATTCAAATATTTTGATAGGTTGCTGTCAAACGTAGAGAGCATCTCAACATTTATGGGAATGATTACCAAACGAAAGATGGCACTGGTGTTCGTGACTATGTCCACGTTGTTGATCTTGCCAAAGGACACACAGCAGCCTTAGACGTGAGTTAATTATTAGGAGATGAACTGGATTTTTTGTATTAAGTATGGTAGCTTCATACTTGTATACATTACAAAACTTGATCATTTGTAATGATGATCATTTTGTCAACAAGAGAGCAATGCGAAGGTTGAATGACTATATGGCCACCGCAATGTCAGTAAATTTTAAAAGAATTTAAAGATTGCTACATGGAATGTTTAAAAAATTGTACTGAATGTCATATGGTGGTGTGCTCTTTAATTATGAAAACCTGCAAAATTTGGGTTAAAGAATCCAGTTCCCCCAGCGGCCAAAATGGCGCTTCAGAAGTGTGTGTACCAATATGGAGGTAACAAATTTAATATTGCATGCTGGCTCTTAGTGGTCTACATACAATTACAAGGAAAGATATTAGGGAAAGCAATCTCATTGAAGACAAATAATTGTGCAATTTATTAAGTATTTTTCATTCCAGGTGTTGCCTAAAAAGAATGGGTTTCATACCTACAACCTAGGTACTGGTATCGGAACTTCTGTTCTTGAAATGTTAAAATATTTCGGTGAAGTTGTTGGAAGAGAATTACCTTACAAGTAAGTGTGAATAGGTTTTATTTGCCAAGTGGGTGTTAATCTTTTTTCGACTACATTAATCACTTTTCAAGACTGGGCTACTATTATGTTTGCTGAACATGGCCCACTGATAAATTGTGGATTAAGTGGATATAACTATACCCTGAGTAGGAATGAGCTTGATGCGGATGATTTGAGATAATATAACTAAGTTACTAGTACTACAGCTTTCTCCCAACTGAGATTGCTTGTTATGAGTTTTTTGGAAAAGTTTTTCTTCAAGGCATATTTATATATTCTGACACTCATTTTAAACTTTGCGAAATGATAGAAGGTTTTACGACATACTTTCGTTACAACAAAGGATGTTTTCAAGAGCTTTTTCGGATAAATTAAGAGCAATTGAATACCTCTCCGTGAAACCTCAAATTTAAATCAATTTTGTTATTTGACAGAATATGTGATAGGCGTCCTGGTGACTTAGCAGTAATGTACTGCGACGCATCATTAGCTGAGAAAGAGCTAGGTTGGACTGCAACAAAGAGTGTTAAAGAAATGTGTGAAGATTTATGGAAATTTCAATCCAAAAATCCAAATGGTTATTTACCGTGATAATTTTGAAAAAAAAAAAATTTACTGTATTTTTTAATCCATGACTAAAATGAATTTTTAGCCTGCCGGTCCTGACCGTACCACCGTATCTATATATAAGGTGTGCCGCGTGTGCGTTATATAAATCATGCTATTTTGCATAGTTAGCGCATTGCCCATGTTTGTTTACATTAATTTAATTCAACCATTGTTTACCTCAATTATCATGTTTTAGATGTAATTATTCCTCAAAATCAAATTATTCTTCAATTTCCAATAATTTATTATATACTCTTTCTATGTTATACTTAATTGGTATCCACATACTTCAGTGAGACCTGTTCTGACTCTCATTATATAAATTTTTCAATTCCATCACACTTGACCTAGAGAACTAACAATCATTGTTCTTTGGTGCAATTCAATAATATATATGGCCTGAGATGTGACCAAGAAACGACTTGATTAAGCAATTCGACCATATTTGTTTTTATTTGTCAATAATACCATTATAATAATATTTCAATTACATTTTGAAACGGTACCCTATTATATGAAGTTTTCATACGAAAGTTTTTATATTTAGCTATTAGTTTTGTTTTTAAACATTTTGAATTTGTATGTGTTACAAATTATGATGCACCCAATTTTACTTAAAAACAAAATTCCTGATTTTTTATTTCTTACTCTGCTAGACAAGAATGAAATTCTCGGCCATTTCTGATACAATATTTGACTGATAAATTGTTTTATTTTTAAAAAAGCTTGTTTAAAGATTCCTGCTAACAAAAGCTATACCCTTTTCCGACATTCAAATTGTTCCGACGAAGCTACCATTATATCTTCAATTAGCGATGCTATAAATGTTTTTATTTTATAATTCTTCAATCGCATGCGTAGAAAATTATATATGTTTATGATATTATATTCCTAATTTTATTTACTCGTTACTGTACTACATTAGTAAGTTAAGTTGTCAAATTCATGCAGTTACTCTATTCTTTGCACTATTAGTTTTATTGATTTTTAAAGAAGCTATGGTCCATTTTGGAAATGATTATCAGTAAAATTGAACCCAAACAGCGCCATGCATAAAAAATCGATAATTATGGATGTCTATCTCGATAATTGTATTCTGCAAATCTACATTTCCATATAATGAATGGTTTTGTCGATGTTTTTGAACATTTACTGATGCAAAGTTTATAACCAAATATTTCATCAAAACTGTACCTCGGTCTTCAAAAAATTTTACTATCATACTGATATACATACGCTGTTTTTAGGTAATTTTAATAATTGCTAGATCCTTCAAATATATATTAGTACACAATCTAATGAGTTTTTTTTTGACTTAGTGAGCAGAAGTGAATTGATGTTGTCTCTGTATGGGGATTTAGCTATGCTTTAATTGCGGTTTTGCAACATCTGTGGGAGGATAAAAAGTTCAGACTGGCTAGCTGGAGGTTATTTCCAGGAAGGCCTGCAGCCCCTCGGCACGCCTATCTCTGTGTTATCGGGGCCATACTACGGTACTTCATGATTGGAAATTCGTTTTTTTTTTATTAGGTGAAAATAAATGAGATTGGGCCGTGGAACAGGAGTCGGTTCATGAGATGTGATAATCTGGTCGAAAGTTCTAATAAGAACAAAGGAACTTACTGTATGTCAAAATTTGGTATTCTCCGAGAGACGGGCAAAGTTAAACTTTTATCAACCTGAAGTCTTACTAAGACGTTTTCAAATAGCTTAGAGTTTGGTGTAAATCTTCCCAAACTACAATTTTAGTTAAAAGAGTTTATTTAGGATGGTCACCAGTATGTCCACTATATTTCCATTTTTCCGTTCAACAGCTGAGCATTATTGAAGTGTACCCATTCTAGCTTTCCGCTACACTGTCATGACTAAATTCAGAGATCATACAAAGGTTATCAGTATTATATTTGTTTACTGAAACGATATTTTATAAATGTAGCTCGAATGCACTGGCATAGTAGATATGTACACAATTCCATAAAATATTTTAGTATATTACAACAAAAGGAAAAAAATCCACTGTTCCTTTGTATTATATCATTGCATACCATGAATGACCGAATCCTTCACATTCAATAGTAAGGACAGCATTAAATGACTTTCTATTATACAGTCTTTGCGTGCGTTTCGCAAATAATAAGTGAGTTTTTTGCAATGCCAGCACAACCAAAATCGGATAAATATCAAACAAACAATGATATATTAAGGTACTCAATGCTGCATCCAGTGATGAAATTTAAAATTTTAATCAAAAAACAGGTTGAACTCGCTAACAAACGGTTCATTCATTTTAGAAAATACATGTATGTCGTTACAGAATCTTCATTAACATGACATGCTCTTCATAAATCTAATATATAACTTTTGATACGTTAAATACAACGCTAGTCTAGCGTCTCGAACAAGAACGCTGATTATTACGACATTCTAAGAATGGATCTGTGTAAACCTCACCACTGTTTATAGTCTATTGAATAGGCAATGAGTAATAATTTTGCTGTAATTCCACAAATGACAGTTATCTATATACAGAGATAGAGCAATAGTAGATCAGATCCTCAAGCTTAAACAGTCAACCAATGGGTTATTGGGATGGGTTATATCTCGCCTGTGGGGAATTGAGGGGTTGCTAGTGGCCAATATACAAATTTGTAAGTGCGCAGTAATCACAATAACGCTAAGCAAAGAAAGCTGCCCATGGTGTCAACAACCACTTTAGATTTTTAAGAAACTTCTTGTAAGCATGTTGTTGCGTAGAGGTATATCATTAAGGAGGCGCAACACTATAGGCAGTTAGTTATTCAAAGCAGAGCACACCCAATTAAATCTTACCAAATTTTAATTTCAGGCTTTAGTGTGTGGGAATGAAACCCTCTCTAAAAGTGGGTAATTCAGAAAAAAGGGTTGGGAACCACTGCTCTAGTGGATATTTCAATACATATCTTGCAGAATTGTGGATTTCCTTTTCCAACTTTTTTCCATTCCAAAATGGACTGTAAAGGGGTCAACGATCAGTAGGCCCATGCTAGGACAATGATAATTCAGACACTGCAAAATGGTGTTGCCATAATCATGGCTGATCAGAGCGCTAGTCAATCCATTTTGTAGTAAAATAATAAAACATTATTATATAATCTATTTTCGAATAAAAATGTTTAGTATCGAAATTAATAAAATACAATGAAAAAAATTATGGTAAAATATGACTTAGCGCCGATTTTTGTGACGCATTTAAAAATGCTGGAAAATTAACTGTGAATTGAACAACAAGATCCCCCCTTTGGCTCAATTGTTTTGGTATGGGAAGACCTTCTCCTTGTATTCGCTTCTCGGAATTTGGTTTAATAACATCATAACATGGTATTGTTAACGTTCTCCTGGCATCAAGTGTTGGAATTTGTAGTTCGCATCCAACAAGGGCCTGTTATAATAATAATAATATGTTATTACAATACAAGATAATTTTTACAGTGATATTTTTTCCCTGTGTTGAATCAGTAACATTGTCACTGGTTAAATGAACACTGTCTGAGTCAGAACTCAGAACTTTTATTTTCCTGTTTCGTCAATATGAAATTTGTCATCCACTATGATCAATCAATCAATGAATGTGGATCAATATATACATACATGATACATCCTTTTTTAACTCGAGAAATTTCTACAATACTGGCCTGCCAGAATCACAAAAATCTACCAAAAAGATCGAATATGCATCATCTAAAATACAAAACTATGTATCAATTACACTCACCTCTTTCAATGTTAATGTTTTTTGATATATAATGTCACTTCCATCTCTCTGAAATATAGAATGTGGAATGTCCTTCACAATGAAAATAACGTCTGCTGGTATTGTATTTGCTTTCTCATCTCCTTCTTTTGCAAATGTGATTTTGGTCCCTTCCTAGAATAGAAGAAAAAGAGAAGTTAGCAAGCTCAATCAAACAAAGAAATAAAAGTTTTGGGTCAAATACTGCAGCCCTGTATAACACCACAAAAATGTGAGGCTGTTACAGATCATTTCAGACTTACAAGTAGCCCATCTTTCAAATTCAGAAGTGAAGTGATGGGAAGAAACTATATAATCTGCAACTCTGAAAAATTAGATTTGATTCAATTACATATTTCTACACCATAATTCACTTTTGGCAAAAATTAATATGTTTTGAGATTTTGTATTAAACTTTTTTACATGATTCAAATTTTTTTTATAATTTGCCTATATTTTTGCCTTATTAAAGGAGCAAATCCACCCACCTTCCACCCTCTCTTAATTTCTACGACTAAAATTTTATTTTCTGTTCTGGACGCAAGTCCGCAAGGAGATAAACGTTTCCTCGTAATTCTCATCCGTTTAGTACAACCAGTTGCAACTTCTTCGAGTGATACTCTCAAGTCATGAATGACAGGAGGATCTTGAGGTAACTGTTTACTACGACAACCTCGTCGTGACCTACAAAAAAAGTTAGGGGTAGTTCGAGACCGATGGCAACCACCGAACCCGGGAAAATGCGATGAGGTAGTCCTACTAAATACATCTTGAAATGTATCGTCGAAGTCCATGAACATATCATCCCAATTCGCAAATGGGTCTTGTCCACCAAAAAATGAAGCAAACGTTTCTCTCGGATCATTAAAAGTATAACTACATCCAGAGTTTCCCCCATGTTTCAATCCTTGTTCTCCATATTTATCGTAAACTTTCCGTTTGCAGCTATTGCCTAAGACTTCATAAGCCTCGGCAATTTCTTTAAATCGTTCTTCAGCATCAGTGTCTTTATTTTTATCTGGATGAAATTTCAGGGCCATTTTTCGGTACGCCCTTCTTATTTCCTCGTCATTTGCGCAACGAGATATTCCAAGGATTTCATAATAACACCGACTCATTGTTTAATTCCAAGATATCATCCAGTTTATTTATTCAAAATTCGTTCACTGAAACTGCCTTTGGAATCAGCAGTTCAATTCATAATATTACATAATTAATAATACGTTAAGATAAATTTCTGTTTAAAAAAATATCGAAAAGCTTTATATTGATAAACAGCAGAGTGGAAATGTTATTTAAAAGTTGTTTTTTGTGAAATTTGTCAACTAGCCTATAATACTGTAATACATCTTTATTTCACAAACCTCAAAATGGGTGTTCGGTTTTACTTGTTGATATCGTTACAGGTGAAAAAACAGAAAATCGAAATCAGGAAGTGCTAAACAGCCAGTGAAAACTGGCTAGGAGGCATACTGCTGAAGACATGCAGCAATTACTGAATTTAGAAACATTTTCGTACTTCTTTACAAAAAAGGGCTATTTCTTTCAATCAACTAAAGTCAGAAAGTCCATTGTGTCTAACTTTCCAATCACAGAGCCTAAGTTGTTAGGTGTCAGAGTGTAGGTACTCAAATACAAAAATATGTACAGATATTGTACATGTGAACATGGGACAGACAGAAGAACATGGGCCTTTCCCAGGGTAAATATGAAACGTTACGGTATTCAGCCTATTTTTTATTTTAATATGTGTTCATATAAGTTCATCACATTACACATCCCCATCCAATATAATCCCCAGCATCATTGTATGTTCCATTAATTCATCACAGTATCATCCAATTTTTTCAAATACAAAAAAAAAATATGAAACGTTATTACAATGTCTGAATGTAGACCACCAGTACTGCAGTACGACTAGAAACTTTTGTAAGACACGAAGACACAAAATTAACTATAAACAAAACACCTATAACTTGAAGCTCAAGCCTAAACCGTACAATACAGCAATATATTACGATATTCCAGCTCGCAGAGCGCCAAAGCCCACGACCTTTGTCTGATTGAAACGTCACACCGAATGAGAAGTCAGAGCATTCGTAGAATTTTCTGGATTTCTGTCAGATATTGTGTAAGTCGAAAATCTAACCGTTAGATGTCGCTAGCAGAATTTCTGAGTTTTTATCACGAAACCGAACTCAATGGATGACCCCAAACAAAATTCTCCCTATACTTTACTATTGAAGAATTTTGGATCCTTTTGGCTATCGCAGTTAAACTAAAGCTCACTGGAATACATGATGGTAATTAAAATACTTCATTTACTACTGAATTTTGGAAACACACCTGAAAACTGACAAATAACACTCAAAACCACGAAAACGGGGCAATGTTTACAACCATGATTGAATATCTGTTGGAGCGCTCGGACAGAGTGTCTGAGCGGATGCAAAAATGACAACCACCATAAGAACTATTTGCCTAAAATCTTCTATAAACAGAATTTAACGCTATCACTATATCTCACCAACGACTAACATAGCTCTTAACACTAAATCAATGAGGAAAACGCAATCATGAACACGGTACTTGCTGGATTTCACTCGGAAAATGAATAACTGTTTTTTAGAATTTTTCCACTCAGGGAAGTTTGGACTTTTGCCCTAGAAATTTTGAACAAATATCCAGGATATTTCTTGCTTAAATTTTGAGTCGCCCACACGTTGCCATACCCCGAAATATGTACATATAGACATGGCTTAGGCGTAGCTTTATTATTGTATATTTAATACTGTAGGAGTGTAGACTGTAGAGCAAACTGAACATGTCACAGAATAAGCAATTCGCTGCTACACGTTTCGCAAAAAAGGCCGCTCGGACGTTTCGGCCGCTCAAATTTTGTATTGTAAAATTCATAATTTACAACATGTTACAATGTCACATCTATAATATTTTAGTAGGATAAATTTTGCTACGATAATATGGCCTATTTATATACCAATGCACGGTCTGGTTTGGTTACTAGTTCAAGGCTGGTAAGGGGGAATAATTAACCAATGTATCGTTCGAGTGCATGACGTTCTTGAAACACCCCCGCTCATTCTGTATATCCGAAGATTACACCAGGCGACGTCGCAAAGCTACCTTCTATGTTCTTACGTCAATGTATGACAATAATAACGCTGTGTTGAAATTGTAGACGTGTGGAATTGTGTGATATCAATGAATTAATATATTTATTACACAGAATGCCATTTTTTGTTGTTCCAAATTCAACACATTTCGCTCTATTTCAATGGAAAAAATATTTTCGTTACAATGATGCCATCTTTTTTTAGCTTCAATAGGCAATTCTGTTACGTTTCACGTGAGATCAAACACCGGGATGAACAAATTTGCTCCACTTGAACTGCGGTGCGACACTGAGAAACCCACCTTGTATGTATAGTAAAAGGCTGAATGTCAAAAAGATATGTTTATATTGCATTAATTTCAAATGAACATAAAATTAGATGAACTCTGATTTAGTCACTTTTCAAATATCTGTAAAAAGACTTGAGATTTGTACAAAATTGTTTGAAAATTTTTCGCAACTGTTTTGATACCGCGGGAGGAAATGACAAAGTTTCAGAAAAACAAAACTTGGTTTTAAAAAAGCTGAACTAATGTAATTGTGAACGAATAGTATATGAAGAATACAATTTTAAAATCATTTAATAATCGAGAAAATTCAAATCGATCTCAATTCAAAATTCCAACCTATATAATAAAACAGTTTGATTTTCAACTTCAAACAAATTTGCATTTTATTTAGGGTATATATCATCTCCATTGTAAGGCACCTTAACTAACTTTAATTTACTCTATTAAGATTATATTATTATTATACTACTTTCTATTAGTATTATATGTATACTAATAGTTTCTAGTCTGGTGCCGATGACAGGTAGAACATTACGTAGTAATTCTAAGTTTTTAACCAGAACTGAAGTTCAAAAATGAATTAAAACTTCTGTACATTATTATTAATATGATATTTAAACACGTCGCTTTGTTCAAAATTGTTAACATTTCAATATATGTATCTCACAAAGCTATTCTATAACTGGGAGAGGGGCCGAACATTAAACTCGTCAAATAACCCATTACTCATAATCGATAGTACATATGAAAATAGTATCCTATTTAGCGAAACAAACATCGAATAACAATTTATTGCTGAGTTATTTTAGCGTATTTACGTAATAGTACAAACAGAATCATTTCATTTCTCATCATTACCGAGATTAGTCACGATCATTAACGTCATCTGCTTTTGATTGACACTTCTCGTGATCATCAAAATATAATATATTGCACTGAGTCTTGATCATACATGGGTTTTAGATAAAATTGCACTTGAGGTGTAGTTCATTTTTTATAGTAGCTAATTGTTATTATTTTGCTATTGCCATTTTCTTTGATGTTTTACCTATCAATGATAACCAATCAGACTTTTGAAATTAAAAATGATTTAATATTATTTTTAATTAAGTAATAGTAAAATAATAATGCTTGTGCCATTTCACCTCTAAGTGAATCAAATCATTATATATCCATTACCTTGAAACATTCTGATAATATTTTAAATTAATATAACTGCGTTTTAATGTTTTTATTCGAATAGGTAGAACGTCTGCGAAAAGCGAAAACCAATCATACCGTTAATGAAACTAAACATAAATGGCATATAGAAAGTATTTATAAGCCTGCTTGCTCTGTTGTTAGATTATATCTTCTCAGTGTACCTGTGTATCTATTCAAAATGAGACTACCATCTGTCAGTTTACTTGTTGTTTGCATGTTCGGATTGGCATCAATGTGCCATGGCGGATACATTCCTCGATTTGCAGCGGCCAAAAGGCTAAAATGTTGGGAGTGCGAAGATGCCAGTTCTGATGCTCATTGCTTCAGAGTAGGAAAATGGAAGCAGTGTGGACCGTCACAGGTTAGTGGATTATGACAATCGAAACAATTTTTAATTATATGCAGCATCATATGTTTATGACGTGTATATCCAAACCACCTGACGTAAATACTCGGCACGTGCATTAATGCATAATTGGAACTTGATCTTTTTAATGCACGGACCACGCTAGACTAAATAGGAATTCAAATATTTGCTGACATCGCGCAATTTCGCAACTGACGCCGTGCGTCAACAATATAACATTTCTTTCTATCGTGCTCCCGATTTCGAGTAGTTGCTGACGCATGATGATATTGCTGTAATTTATTGAGGACATCGATCATGACTAAATGAACTTTCTTGAGGGTTGTATTTTATACCTCGACGCTAAAATCAGCGAAATTTCTTGAAGTTTTCGCCATATTTATGCAATTTCGAAAACACAATAAAGATTTAAGTGAGACGGGTCTGAGCATATACATTATGAAAATAACACCATTTACTAAAACAGCTAAGACATTGGTGACGACTCGATTATTCTTAATAACTGCATGTAATCATTGTGTACTCCGTCTAATTAAATTGAAGCAAGACAAAAATAAAGTCGAACTAAAATGGGCTTTGTGAAAACGTAATTTCTGATTCTTTTATTTTACAGTCTTGCTTCGTGGAAAAACGTTATGAAAATGGCATTGAAGTTCACAAACGGGGATGTAAACAAGATTCAGCTTGTAAATCACTGATGATGCAAAATGAATTCCAATGCAATAGTCTGCAGTTCAAAAAGCATTTCCAGGAATATTCCACGTTAGTTAAATAAAATATATATGCATTATTTTGTAGAAGTTGAATTAGTGATAACTTTCAAAAGATTATTGTAAATTTGCGTAGAAATCAATAAATAGTATTTTTAAGTGCCTGAAATGTTTTACGTGCAATTGCAGTTATACCTTATTGCACACTTTACACCTCTCGTACAATTATTACAAATAATTGTCTTGATTACAGTAATCCCATCACTTGTCGACACTGTTGCGACATGAACTACTGCAATCCCACCAGAACTGATATGGCGATCAAAAATAAGTTACGAAAAAAAAACATCTCAAATAAAAAACCACCTGTGAACCGGAACGAACCAGCCACGGGCAACTATCCGATGCCACCAGTATCTCATTACTCCGTTAAAAAGAATCAGAATCCTGTCGTATACCCTACTCCACATCAGGCGAAGTACTCGACACCTTCCTCTAAAAAAGAAGAAGAAGTATGGTATACGTTGCCACATATCAAAACAACTCCTTATGGGAACCCTGACCATCCTACCAATGTTGCACCCGAAGAGAGAACAACTGAGCCCGTACCGACACCGTATCGTGGAAAGATGCCAGCAGACAGGACAATGAATTTGGGACAAGTCTACTATCCGGTAACTGATTGTTTCTTTTATATTTTTGCAGCCTACTCCGACGTTTCTTTAAACGTGTGGATAAGACTGTCATGACCCCAAATTACAAAAATTGTCACCACCAGTGGTTCATTCTAATATTTATCTGATTGAACAAGTATTCATTTTTGGGCAATGCTTTTCATTACCTAAACAATCTATTGATTTTGGCTAACAAACTTAACATTACTATTTTATATTCAGGGTATCGGTTGGATTTCTTTGACTCAGTCGAAAGAGCAGAGAGCCGCCCCACCAAGTGTTGTATACAACCAAGAAAAATCATTAGACGTCGGAATCACTCATGCAACCAAAGAACTTAATCTAAATGATTGATAAATTTCTTGGTAGTTTTAATTAAAAGGTTAATTGTTTCATTTAATGATTGATATATAATTTCATTTTTAGTTCAAATAATTTGTGAAAAACTATCGCTAATTTAATTATCAATTAATTACATTTATTAAAAGTACTTAATGGTATAATTATTGCCAGACGATAAAATCTGTATTATTTGACTTGTTATTGTTAAGTTATTGTTGCATTAGGGTTAGCAGAAGTTTATTATATAAATTGCATGCTGACATGTCTCCGTTAAATTTTCAAGTGTTATATTTTTTAATGAATTGTTTCTGCAAACTCAAATATGATTCTATAACAAATTACTGAAATTGATTTTATCTTATGCTCAAATATGTTTGTGTAATGTTTGGCTAACAAATTCGACAAATAAATATTTTCTTGGGTTACTTGTCCTATTTTTACTTTAAGACAGATTTTTCTCAATATAGAAAGTTTTTCTTATCCGCTATCCGCACCGAATCAGTTGCAGGCAATGAATGGAACTCCATGGGTCAAACGATCTAGAAATTCTGGGCATGAAGGTTGCAATGTTCGCTGTTTAGCATTGCATTTATATTCTGCCATTATTTGTTAAATTTTAAATTTCTGACTCAACAATCGATTGGAAATTGAAATTGATCTGAGAAATTAAGACTCGATCTCTCAATACTACTATACTTATGGACATGATTGAGTTAGCAACTCTTTCAATATTTTTTATTTTGTACAACTGAGATGGGGGGACCAACGAATAGATCCTCACAAATTACGTAAAGGTTCATTCGCTGAATCAGATATTTCCGAGAATCTTGCGGATTACATTTCTGTGCGTCTTATTAATATCATTTGCGACATTACGTAAACTGTTCAACAAAGTTTTGAAATATATACAATAAATTAGACACCGTATAACGTTAAATGTTAAGTTGATATTAGAATGGTATTTATAATTTTATTGTTCATTATCATAGATAAACTATTCATAAATATGATTGATATTAGCTGTAATATGGTATAGTTTAGTTAGAACTGATTTCCATCGCGCCATTGATTACCAGACTTTCGAATCCCTGAAATGTTTATTGTGCAAGAAGGTATTTTCGCTTCCCATCACGGCCATATGGAGCGTTAAATCGTCAACTAGTTCCATGTTCGAATTGGACTTGTAAGTGAACGCGGACCGTTGTCTTTTTAAACGTTTACGACACTCGAAAATAGATATTATAAGGTCACACCCTATACCTTTTATCATCAAATTACCCCCATAAACAAGTGACGACATTATATAGTACATAAGAGACTATTGCATTTATCAATTAAATTACGACAAATGTATAAATAATTTAGGTTATTCAAACAGACAATTCCAGCATCTTGTGGAAACATGTGTTCCGGGACATTCAAATATATATACATGGGACTAATTTAAAAGCTCTTCACTGAAGGGCTCAATTGAATAAACAAGAAATAATAAATGTAAAAAATGTCACCCGAATACATTATATGTTTGAAGACATTGTGAATTTCTATCTGAATGTTGTTGTAATTTGCAAGTTGGTTATGTAGCCGTAAAAGGGAATGGAGACTGTAAAAATATGAAATATTAGCTATATATACCACTGAAATAGACGTCAAATATTGTAAAATTGTAAAAATATTGCAGTTTACATGGTGTCATCTGAACCATATTCTCTCCTTTCGTCTATAATCCATCACTGTCTATAATGTGTGTGTGTAATATAATATTCTACAACAATAATCAAGATTTCTATCAAAGTGATGAATTTTATTTTGAATAAAAGAAAATATATACGAATTGCGAGATGACTTCGCTATATGAATGACGCTTGTTATGACATTTCAAGTACATCTCAATGTTATTGATTTCTAATTTACAAAAGGCCAGGCATGACTAAATTTAAGCTCGTCTTATACCAGAACCACTTATGGATTTGATTAATTGTGCTGTTAAATGCATAAATTACATTTGTCTCTTCAATCGTGGTATTTTTTCTATTTTGAAGATAAAATGTCGGGCAGTTCTACTCCTTATATAGTTTGTTCCCTCATTTAATTTTTCAAATCTCCGAACTCTGTTGTATTAAAATATGAGTACCTATTCTGGAACGTGGGGCAATATTGCCTTTGTATGTTTGATATTTATGTCGATTTCCCCAATCAGTTCTGGATCATTTCTACGAAAAAAGTTGAAATGCTGGAGGTGTGTAGATTCGACTTCGGATGCGCAGTGTTTTAAAACCGGCGAATGGATTGAATGCGGCCCCTCACAGGTGAGTTGTATCATGGTTGGTACCTTGCTTGGTTTTGGAAAATCGAAAAATACTACGCTTATTAAATTTGCGTATTTACTATTTGGACTCCTTTAATACATAAGGTTTGATTTTGAAAATGAATAGGATATTTAAGTAATATAATAAACAAATATAATAATAGTAAATAATATAATGAATAATTTTAAATAAAATATTGCTTATATATTAATCTAATGTATATTATATATATATATATCTAATGTCCAAAGTTACCACTGACCCCATATACATCGTTATGATTTCATTTTAATGAGCCTTAATTAAACATTTTTCATATTTTTGATTGGAATCATTAAACATTTTTTATAATCTCTCTTACGTTAACTTACCTACGAGATATGCCAAATGTTCATGTGTAAAAGGTGGCTCAGTCTAAATTAATTGCCAGTGAAGGTAAAGATGACTGTGAAAAGGTCTTAGATCTAGATCAAATGCGCTGTTCAAATTTAAAATTTGAAGCATATTATTCGTTATTACCATTTAATTATTCCGTGATATAATGCAATAATATTAATAATTTTCATTCGGATGAATTTATTTGGATTCCGAACATTCCACTACTTAACTTAAATACCAATGAAAATTTTTAGCGAGTCTTCCAAATAGTAAAAAATACGATTAAATAAGATTGGTGAATGTTGAAAAAATTTAATGGCCAATTCCATCCATAATCAGAAACAGCTCGCCTCGATACTCGGTATTTGTTATATTGATAAATTTTTAATTTTACCGTCAAAATAACGTTGGTTTGACGAATGGTGGGAGTTTGAAGTCTTGGTTTCAATGTGACAACCATTCAGTGTTGTTTACGAAACTTACTATGACTCAGACTGGATTTGTGAATAAAACGGAAACACCTCTACTTTACTTGTGACTCAGGAATATAGTGACTTGAACTTCGCTGAATCTTCAACTCAACCTCAAACCTCGGGAACTTGTACTCATCAATACGGCATTTATAAGAATAATATTATCTCTTACCTTCCCATTTTGCCTTTTTTTTACCAATAAAAACGCTATTTACAGCACTGCTACGTGGAACAGCGATATGAAAATGGAATAGAAATACACAAAAGGGGATGCAAGCAAGATACTGCATGTCGATCGTTAGCAGGGCAAAACCATTTTCAATGCAGCAATTTTCTTTTTAAGAAATTTGTTGGCAGGTTCAAGAGGTAAAACATTCTTCAACATATTTATTTGGGTTGCATGCATGTTTAATAAATTCTCATACGTTTTGCATTGCAGTAAAGTACCTGTAACATGTCGGCATTGTTGCGATAAAAGTTTTTGCAATCCTACTCAAACTGCCAAAATAACAATGGGAAGGTTAAAAAGGAAAAGTCCGCCACGACCCTTTATACCAAAAGCACCAAGGACAACACCTAGCACTACAACGACAAAAGCAATGCCTCCTGTTGTACCTCTCATACCAGGAAAGCAGGTCAATCTGGGAGAAGTCTTTTACCCGGTAACGTTACAGCATTTATTTATTTGTACATAGTTATGTATACACCAGAACAGTTTTGAGGTATTTTTGCAATCTTTGGGAAAATCTGAAACTCCAAACGCTAATTGGGTCGCAAGAGCTTTTGATGTAAGTCGAAACGTTGAAGTTAAGTTTTAAATGTGACATTAGATCATCGGATATCATAAGTTATAACAAGACTCGTTACAAAGCATTTTACAATACGTAATGCGTTTTCGACAAACGCCGTAACGTGGTTATACCTTTTCAGTCAACATGGTTTAATAATGAATCACTTTTACACTTAAATTATAATGCGAGCTTTATTGTGGTATGTGCCACGTTACCTCTCGTTCAGTTACAAGGGAAGTCAAATAATAAAATTTCGGAGTCAAGGCGCCAAGTCAGGGGTTGGGTGATTCAATGTGGCCCGCCTGATGCAGCCATAAATTTCTGCTTTTACCCAATAATGCATGTATCACAAAGTTGTAATTATTGAAATCTGTATGGTACAATATGGCTTGTTAGATTAAGATCGTAGTTCGCGTGAGTTGTATTTCAGGTTGCCAGAGACTTTCATGTTATGGTGACGTTATCAAATCTCCACGTTTTCTCATTCGTTTCGACGGTGTGCTTTTCACACCACTTTCTTTCGTCTCGTGCGCGCGACAGCCTCGAGTTTCAATTTAGTGCCGACAGAATTTTGTTACCGCCTCTATAAAGTATCTTGCCTTTTTTTTTGTTCATAGCTTAGGCATTCTTGGCATCCTGTTCATAAAATGTAACTTTTCACGTCAAATTTATATGGACCGCCAGTCTAGGTGGGCAAAATTTTTGACCCATCGTCTGAAAACTTTGCCCACTTCAGGTCTGAACCCAAATATAGTTGAAGCTTCGGAGCTTGCACGCCCAAACACGTGAGACTTCGAAAGTTTGGCGAAAAAATAGTGAGTACGTAACGAAAGTTGCTACTCTCTCTGACTTGCCTGGACGATGAGAACGGTGAAATTATTCGAACAAAGCAAGTTCAATTTTCAAATAAATCTTAATTTTCACGATGTGGACGAGTGCTAATGGCCTTCAATCTATCTATAATCCAACATTTGTATCGTTGACCCAACTGACAACAACGGTTTGGGCGTGTTAGAAGCAGTTTCGATTTATTCAAGTTGCAAGAGAAATGCTACCACGAACTGCCAGTTCATGTTACCCGAAATGAGTCTATTGCATTTCTTCTTTTATATTTGTCATTTCATAAGAAATTGTTCCAAAATAATATTAAATATGCCAAAACACGTGTACTTGATTTATGGCACGTTAAATAAAAAGGATTACATTTAGGTATATTTTTTCAAAGCCATGAGCACCAAGTCAAAACATGATTACTCATTCAACAATTAGTAGGAAAATAAGAAAATTTAATATTAATTTTGTCACAATACAAAAGTTTGCAAAATTTGTATTCTGATATAACAAATGAATTTAAAAAGAGGTAATTAAATCTAATCATTCATTGTCAACATAATTATTCACTTAACACAAACAAAGACTATATCATAATTTATGATTGATGCTGAAATTGAAACAAGAATTCTAATTTTAACGAAGGCATATGAAACTCAAAATAATATTTTATTTTCAATATTTATAATTGAGCGTTTTCTCATTTCTAAAATGACATAATATTTTGTAACATATATTATTAAGATATATTTTCAAAAAAAAGAAAATGATGAATTTGCGTTTTGCGTGCGTAAAAATTGAAAAAGTAAAATTTATTTAATATCGTATGCCTTTACATAAAATCACAATTTTAGGTGACATACGAAAATTTATCTGTCAAATTGAAATAATTGGATATAGCTCTTGGTTTTGAACGGATACACGAGAAAATTTACCGTATTGTTGCCAACAAAACTGACAAAGTTAACGGAAGTCTGAATCTACCTAAGAATCTCAGAAAACGTTCAACATTGGTAATAATTTGCGCACCGTTTGTCACATTTTAAATTTTGCTTCAACTTCAAACATATTTGAAGCGTATTAGCGGAATAAGATAGAAGTTCATTTTGAAAGTGTTTCAATTTTGAAACCCAGCAGACTAGAACAATAAACAACCAACTGATTGTAGAGAAATTTTCCACTAGTTTTATATTTAAAATAATTTTTTACCTGCATTGTTTTTAGAGAGTCGGTTGGGTATCACTTTCTCAAGTTAAAAATCAGAGACCTCCTCCAGGACCAGTCTATGCGGACGATCCAAGTCAGCTGAACCGCGGAAATGTCAGTGAAGAAATCTACGAGTTCATGCGTAAGCTTAATTCAATCTGTAATTATTTTATGGTAAATATAAGCAAGTTACATAAGTTCAGTACGCCAAATCAGGAATTGTCGGGTGTATACCATTTATAACTGTCGTTGCTATAATCTCACGCTATGACTGTGATTTTCATCGAATGCATAATCCTTTCTTTGCAAACGATATTTAACTAATTTTATAGAATATATACATTAAATTTAAATCAATTGTAACTAACTTCAAAATATTTTAGACCCACCTGTTGAGGAACTTCTTGTGAAAAAACAAGAAAGAATAAAGAAATGGAAAGAAGGATGCAGTAAGTCCAGTATTATAATTTGTAGCTAACTGAGTTCAAAGTTAATGATTTGTTACTTACCCAATATTTGATGTAGAAACATGCTCAAATCACATTGCTACGCAATCGTGACAAAACCGATAAGTTTGCGTCGGAGAGGGTAATTTCACTAGTTTCGATAAATATACATGACAGTCATTAGAGTAGTGTGCTCAATTATCCCGTTTTATTTTTATTTGTGTATGTTTGAAGTCTAAGAATGGGATATTTACAATTACAGCAAACGCAAAAAATCCAGTTTTACCTCCACCTGAAAACTTCAATCCGAAAGAAGAATGCGTTATCCAACCAGCAACGTCATGTATAGAGGATGGAACGCTAGTTTTTCGACTTTACAAACTCGAAAAAGAAAACAAAAATAAGGGTAACACAAGGTAATGCTCCTGGAACTATACTGGCTACTTGGGGAATCGTTAACTCTGCGCCGATGCAAGTATTCGCAGTTTCGGGGCTACAAAACTATACTTCCGTAGGATTTCGCAATATTTTATAAATATTACAAATCAAATTTTGATTTTGTAAGTGTTTTTAAAATATCTGGCGTAACACTTTATTTCTGATTTTCTAAAACACTCGAATATTCTGAATTTTATAGCGTGTAACGTTTTGTAGACAAATTTTACTCAGCTGTAGGTCAGTCGACGTCGCGTGTATATAGGTCATGTTTAAGACTATTCGAAAAATCACGATTTCTATATTACGTCGTCTAGTCTTAATACAAATGACATATAATGTTAAAATAATAATAAATGTTTAATTACTGATTCACAAAAACAACCAAACGACGTGGTAACTGCACAAATCATAACTGTGTTTAGAATATTTTAAACGTTAAAATACAAACAAAAACAATGCTCTTAAAAACATATTTTTAATTTAATGATAAACGCCATAGCAAAAATTTAAAAAATTCAAAAAAATTATAGAATTAGAAGAATAAAATAAAAAAAAATGTATGTCGACTACATTTCATTAACAGGTTATGATAAAAAAATATTTCTGTATTTTTGTCTGTTTTCTTTAGTGATGACGATGAAGAATGTCTGCCGACGCCTTCTGTTGACACTGCTGTTGTTTACGACAACGAAGATCATTATATCATGGTCGTCAGACTGAAACAACGCTATGGTACGCAACTCCCAATTAAAAAGCGTCGGCAATATTTTATTGGTGACGAAAGACTTGCTGGCGTCGTCACTAGGAAGGAAATTCATCGCTATAGAGCAGGAAAAGGCTAATTGAAAAATTATTCATCAAGATACGTGTACTCAAACGTTGGTTTTTTGTTTTTGCTCAACATTTTATTTTTGAAGAGAGATAGATTACATATACACATCGTTCGTTTGTATCATATTTTGTAAAATACTAAAATCAGACGAAATATCAATAAATATATATATGAGTTATATTCAGAAGCGAAACTTCTGAGTAACTTTTCGCATTGTCTCTAACACTCAGGTGTCATGATAACTGCGGAGCTCTTATTCATTCCATTTTAAAGTACACCCCATCAACAAAGGCCAAAATATTTATGAACGCAAAAACAGTTAGTTATGCCGTACCCCAGTACTTGCATGCTTCAAATATTTTTGCTCTTTGTTAAAAGTTTTTTTTCCGATTCTTTGTCTTCTCTCCTATATGTTGCAATTAAAATCTCTGTTGCGAGCGAAGTTATGAAGATATCACGAATACTGTTTAACATATACAGTTATTTATATATGCATACCTTAATCTAATTTTGGTTATTGTGGAATTGAGAGTGTTTACTGACAAACTTAGAGGTTTTACATAATCAGGATAACTTCAGACAGAAAGATAAATGAATAAATATTTTGTAGTAAATCAATAACTATAAATGGAATGTTTGATTAGGATCTAGGTTTAAATCCCTCTACCCAGTGTGCCACCCCACTCTTTTAGGCATACCTATTGAGACGATCCGTAGTAATTGAAATCATTTATTTGCCCGACTTATTTCAAACTCAACCTTAGATTTGCTAATTTTTCTGGTTATATTTGATTATTGAATAATGGATGCAAATTAGGAATTGTCTATTCTTTAACAAATTTGTTTTATTTGATAATGTAGAATTTCAAGAATAATAATGATTAATTGGAATCAATATTCCAATTCAACGTAAATCATGGTGAAACTGGACAGATGTTTCACATCTTTTTAGAAAAACAACAATCTCTGTACAATACAAAATTCATTTAATTCTCTTTAAAAAAAATTAACAACAATAAGAACAACAATATCAATTTACAAAAGGGAAAGGTAAATAAATATCTACAGAGTGTTGTGTTTAAATGTGCAAGAAAAGTGAACTGTGCTAGAGAAAGTGTAAAATTTACCTCAGTGACGAAAACTCTTCCATTTATTTACAACGCGGGTTAACAAAGGCTAATTTACGAATGAACTTGATTTTCACAGAAAATCTCTGAAGGAATAACTTAAAAAATTTTGAGTAAATTTGGCTGCTAAATATTTTGTATTGTATACTAAACAACAGTGTAAAAATACAGTAAAAATCTCAATTTTTTCACGATTAGAACATCGAGAAAAACGAAACTAACTCTGTTGACCAAAAAATATATTCACTTTATTTAATAAAATGGATGTCGTGTACTTCCAATGAAGTGGGATTTGAAATATTCAATGGCACCTTATCATTTATCGTTATATAGAACATATCTCCATAAATGGCAGTGCATTAGAAACAATGTGTCAAAGATATTAAAAAACATTTCTAGATCGCACCACATATCGGTAAAGACTACCAAATCAGCATATATAATTTATACTTAATTTAAAGTAGGATACATTTTCCAAAATAGCTTTTGCTTCAACCATTTACGATACAAGTCTGTACTTTTCGAAAAAGTGTTTCCAAATCCAAATAATGGGCAAAGACACTGCAAGACAAAATGGTAAACAGAACAGTGGAATATTAGAAGAAACTTGCAGTGAATCTTAAACTCATGAAATACGCTGACAAATCATATTATAAAAGATTAACATGATTAAGATCAAGATTGAACAGTGAAAAAAACTTATATACTTTTTTATTCAACATTATCGCATATTGTGTCATGCAACAGTGTTATAATTATAATTATGCATGTACTAGAACAGATGTATATAAAGGTGTTGACCAGAGACAAGTCAAAACAAATAGGATTATAATTATTCCAAAGGAATAAATAGCATGATGTAGACTAAAATTAGATGTAATCATTCGCCTGAGATAACCAAAAGAACACTCATGAAATTGGAACTATTCTTAGACGACAGTCGTTTTAAAATTAAGGTAATTTTTTTTTATTTCTATGTTTTCCGAGTTTTTGATTCAATTCTGCTCTTCACTAGTTTAGTGTGAATTGAATCATATTTGATCAATATAAATTGTTTTGCATACTGATGCGCACTCTCCTCGGTGATTGATTTTTTTCCAATAGGTAATTAGAAATCCTCAAAAGATATTTATCTTCATTTTACGTACTCTTGATTGGACAAATTAGGAAGGTCCATCTGCGTAGACCATCGACATTTGACTTGGACATCGATCAACGGCTGATAGTTGAAGACGTCCCGTTGAATCGTGGCTTCGGAGAGATTCTTGAGTTGTAATCATGCTGTATGGAGTTCCAGGAGGCAACTCGAAACCTGCAATAGTATTTCAAAGAATTGATAAGTTTTGTGTCTCGGTATTTTCGAAAATAATTCTGATTAGCATGTACTTGATAGAAACAAATAACAAAACCACAAAGACTGCATTCGTTCTCATCTCTACAGAGAGAGGGAAATCTTCGAAAATGCGATCTCTAGGGTATTCCACGTTCTATTTTTCACTATAATTGTGAAATATCATGGATACTCTTGTCTGAATTTTTCCACATAGTTTGCTATACTTCATTGATATTGCGTCGATGTTTTGCTGGTGCCACTTCATAGGTAGTAGAAACGAAAGGTTGCGAAATAAAGCAAATAAACACACACTGCGAACTAAGTTGAAACTGGAAACCGCATATTAAGTATTTGCGACAAGTTTTTTCCTGAGTCACGATTATTTGTCAAGCTTCCTTGACATGAGCTACTTGAAGTTACTAATGGAATTTTATGTGAAATGAACATCACGATAAATTGGATCACAACTTTCCCATGTACCGATGGCTATTTATAAAATGACATTACCATAAATACAAATGTGCAAATAATAAAACACACCAACGCGTTGCATATTTAGAGGTGAATCTACAGAATACAAACTTGCATACAGAAACTCGGGTGCGCATATTTATAATCAGCATGCCACAATAACACAATCATTTTTTTAAGACAAAATCGACTACGTAAAATTCGGACTTCACTCTTATATAATTCATAATTTGTACATCACAGCTAGATTTCTGACTCTCTGTGGCAATAATTCAAATTTTCAAAGATATAACTCATGGAAAACTTGTGTCAATGTGACAGTTGGTGAATGGAAAAATAGTATAGTATAATATGTATCGGATAATAAAAATAAGGCATTTCTGTCAACACAGGCATAACTTACTAAGAAATGAGGCAAGGCAGAACAACGTACAGTGCAACGTGTTTTTTTTTAATTGGGATGGGTGTATTGTTTCAGACATCAATTTGCACAAAAATACATCAAAAACAAGTGAGGTAAATTGGTGTGATATTTCAATACGATACACATAACGTTAGTACACAAACAAGATTAATATTGTGATGTGTACAAATGACGTGAATTTCAAACTAAACGTGCCAGAATTTTTATTGGTCATATATTTATAATTAACAATTAGGTTCAAATTTGTTTTAACAGTAGTGCTGAAAACAATTATATGATAATAATGATAAACACATGACCAATGTCGCATCCACAATTCTTATGTACCTTCTTATATATAGATGTTGTTACAAGCCGTTGATGTCCTGCATCATCGGTGCTTTAGAAATGAAATTTAAAATTTGATAAACTAATCTCCGACTTAATAAATCAGTAAACACGCGATTAGACCTAAACACTATCAAAACAAAATAGAACGTATTTATAAGGTATTTTGCTCTATGTTTTTTTGTATGATATCTTATTTACCTAAAGTTCCACTGATAAATCGTTTTTACCTCTTTCGACGCTCAAGTTGCTTGTAGCAGAAATTGCTCTTTGTACGGCTTCATATGACATTCCTATAGTACCAGCTTGCGAATCTCCAAAGTACATTTGTTGCAAACGATTAGGAGTTACAGAGTGCATTCTGGCAGACAGGAGAGATCTTCTGCTCCCGTTCGAAGGTGGTCGATCTGGTGGTTGCGGTTGAAAACTTTCCGAGAATGGTGGATAGGTCCCTGCAAAAGTTGTTGTCATTAAAAAGGGTGACAAATTATTACCAATCAGTATTTTTTAATCTTCGCTTTTAAAATGTTAAATGTACACGCTTAACTTCTCTATATAAACCTGGCAACACAGAATGGCAACTTACCTCGCATTTGTGTACGGTGCTGCGCTATCCTGGGGTCTGTTGTGAAACTGGGAGCTTGTGCGTGGTAAGAATTCCTACTTTGGCTGTGATCAACGTGCATTGGAGAAGCTGGCGGTTCCACAACGTTTGGTATAGGCTGACTTCTTGAGTTTTGGTGATGAAAGGATCCTTCAGAGTGAACAGGCTGCATCGAGTGTGCCGGATGATGTCGACGGGCCAAAACGGGTGGCGTCGGCGGAGGTGGCATAAGCTGCTGTGCGGTGGGGATATGATTGGCTTCAGAAAATGGATTAACTTTGTGTGTCAAAGGTGGTGCAGCACCAGGCTGCGTTGCGCTAGTATGTCCATGGGATAGAGTTTGCGAAGAACTAGTGGAAATTGGATTACCAAATCGATGCTGCTTGTGGGAATGTGAAGCGATACTCATCTGAGATTGTGAACCGTAGTGTTCGCTTGCCCGTACGTTTGAAGACGTGTCATGGATGGGTGGAAGCATGGTTGCGTGTGTACTAGCTGGAACTGTTGAACTTGTTCTACCAAGATGCTGGGTTAGATGATTCATCTGCGGTGGATGAGGCAATATTGCACCGGGATGTCGTTGTGAAACTTGAGAATCAAATGGACCTGAAAGTAATGCAAATACTTGAAATATGTTATGCTGCATTGTCCTTAGACTTTCACACTAATACAATACATACCAGCATTTGATTGAAAAATATACGGATCGCCCGCAGTTTGTAGAGCCAACGGTTGAATTGTTAGACAATCACCCAATTCTGGTTCCATTGATCTCATCTACGAAAGCAAATTCAATCCCAAGTTATTAATATACAGCACAAAATACTATACCGTAACTGATAGTCACACATGTATATATGAAACACTTACTTTTTTACTCGCTTGCTGGTCCTTTGCGGCGTGGGCTTTAACGTGTTTGCGAAGTGACGACGGATCTGTGTATCGCTTGTTGCAACCCGGAATCTGACAAGCATATGGCTTCTGGAATGGATATAAAATGGAGTTTTATGATTAATAAAGGCACAACATAGAAACGCCGCAAATATATATCTTACTGTATCCAAATGTGTGCGTTGGTGTTTCGCTCGATCAGAGGAATTGCTGAAGGCTTTATTGCAAGATGGATGCTGACAAACATACGGTCGTTCGCCAGTATGTGATCTTTGATGAATTTTCAGATTTTCCAATCTTGAAAATGCTTTGTTGCAGCCTTCAAACTGAAGATTTAATGAGATGAGTAATTGTATTTGATCCCTCTTATATATTACAATAATATGATTAATTTGACTCATTATTACTAAACTTCATATTGCCATGTGCAATATATACATATTGCACATGTATAAAAACTGGGTACAAAACAGTCTGTTACACTAGGACATGTTTGCATCGCAAAGCTGCGTTACAATTTATTTTCAACAGTCCGAAATTTCGAGAGCTGTGTTTTTCCATGTATATATTGATTCATTGTGAATTTGTTGAAGCGGACAAGAATATTTGAAGTTCTTCAAATTCCGATCCGGGGTCATTTATCGGCGTTACTCCAAGGCGCGCTACAATTCTGGCATATTTGTGGCGTGATCGAAAAGACAATATTAGCATTTGTAATGATTTAAAGAGGTAAATGAAACGGGTTCGCTGTTCTAATATCCGGTATTAATCTGTTCTAATATAGGGTGGACAAATGCTATAGATGACAAATTGCACACCCCAAATAGCAATGGATGGCCGTGGATGTTATATTGTTCAGTGATAAACAAATCTTGAACCAAATCGTCACAAAATAATCTGGTAGAAAGGCGACCTTGATCTAATGTTAAGAGTTGTTAGTATGGTGTTAAGGAGTATGCTTCACAGAAAATATGTTGTAATGGAAACTTGTACGTTGAATACGTCACAAAACAAGATAATGAAATTACTTTCCGTAGAAAGACAAGTCTTTCAAAATAGCAACATTTATAGATTTGAATACTAAACACTTACGTCGCACTTGTTTGGTCTTTCACCAGAATGAACGCGCATGTGAATTAACAATTTGTATCTGGCGTTGAAAGGTTTAAACTTTCGAGGACAGAAGATCCAATGACATGTGAATTCGTCACCTTTTCTTTGATCGATATGCATCTTTTCAATATGCTTCACTAAGTCTTCCTGAGACTAAAATTAAAGCAATAAAGTTTATTGATTATGCCCACCAAATAAAAACACGCCACTCGGATATAGTACATAAAAAAACCATAATATGCTAAATGAATATAGGAAATGAAAATAGGGATGGTGCGATATGTATGTTTCTTGGCGGCTTTAATTTCTCTGATGTGTGAAATATCAAATATGTAGTTAGTTACTCGAACATAATTTACTTTCGGTGTGGGGGCATTCAGCTTTACTGTGCCAATTATTACATCATTACAGTTAAAGAACAGGTTGTACAGGTTTAACTACAGTATTTCTTTTCCCACCTTAAACATGTGATTGCAGTCGATCCACTTGCATATCCATCGCCCACCCTCTACCGGATGTGCAGATGCCCTTATGTCTTTATCACCAATTCTCGTGGCAATGACTTCATTTTCTCTGGGTGGAAAATTGACTTGGCCTACTTTCCGATGGTCCGTTGATAGTGTGGCGTTAGGAAAATAATGAGCATGTTCGTGGGGTTTGGCATTGCCTCTAAAACCAGAATAGCTTAACCTTGAGTGTTGATGCTCGTGACTTTGGGCTTCTGTACAATATTGGTGACTGTGGTGATGAGGTAAATATGAGGGCGGAACCGCGTATGAATGCTTTGGAAAGTCATTTGAAGTATGAGATTCAAATTCTGATTTAATACTTCCTTGTGGATAGATATCCGTGTATAGGTTTTCCATGTTGTGATCATGTGTAGTTACCATTAACATGGACTGTGATGCCAAACTCTGCGTTCCTGTTCCTACAACGTGCTGAGGTACATCACCATGGTTGTAGGAAGCCATTCCGTTTGTTTGGTGATGTTCATTTTTTATCAAATGGTGCGATGAATTTTCCGGGATATTGGGATAAGCATTTGATAAATACTCATCCGTGCATCCCGCATACATTGCCTGGTTGTGCCGTATTTCGTGATAGCCGTGTTGATGATGAGCTGTTTCGTGAGAATTTGGTACGATCATACTGACAGGTGTGGCAAGAAGTAGTTGTCGTGAAAAGGAACCCGTTGACGTAGGACTGATACTTTTACCTGCTGAGAGATGGCCATACGTCCCGCCCATACCATGAATGTTATTTAGTCCTATCATAGGAGAAGATCCTCTTGATGTCAACATAAGAGAATTCGGAGAACTACGGATCAATGTCGCTATTTCAATGCCATCGAGAGAGAAAGGTGAAACTGATAGTGTTCGTTTTCTTGCTCTGGACACTAATCTTGCGGAATGCCTAGGGCTCGAGGCAACTTCTGATCCTCCTGAAGGGGAAGGACCCCAAAATGGCGATAGTCCACTCAGCCCGCTGAATGTGGACAACGCACTGCCCGGAGGACGCATATGTTCATCATGTGGAGTTACTGGCGGAAGAACTTTAAACGGGTTTAAAGAACTTGAACTTGCTGAGGGTGGATGTGGATAATTGGATGGTATAGTTAGCATACCATTTGAAGTCGCGTTATTGAACAAACTGTTCAAAGAGTTTGTTCGAGATGTCTGTGCTGGAGTCCTGTTTGAATTTATCGTAGCTTGGGCGCTTTCATGCTTTGAATGCACGAATCCCGCATTTGTATGTGAGACGGAAGATGGACTGTACACGCTGTTGTTATATGGGTCCATATTTTCAATTTTTACGGAGACAGTTCCCGGGTCCATATTTGATTGACTTTGATACGATTGGCGGGGAGAGTACGCGTGATTCTCTTCGCTAGTCTGAAGTAAGTTGTTTCGAAATATCTTGTCTGTCCCTGAAAATCAAAGAGTGAGATAATTTCACGCTATACCATTTTCATTTCTGATGACTAATAGAGATTATCAGTATATAAACTCCCCCCAATAACAATTTGAAGGGTTGTGGCCGAACGACGTTGGGCAACCAAAATTAATTAGAAAAAAAATAAAACTGTTTTAAGTATCGAAAAGCCTCTGCTATTTACTTTTCGCAAGATAGTTACGAACTTGATCATTGAGGCAAATGAATAATCCAATTCGCAAATACAATATTCAGATCAGCAGTCATTTCGAAGGTGTTATTCCCAACTTCCGCTAAATAATCTCAAAAATATGATACATGATCAGATTTGACTTTAAGATTTACTGAAAACGAAATTGGAAAAATGTTTTCGTTGCGTTCAGCTATGAATCCTATTCATGATTGTTGAAATCATGACATAAGATGTCTCTGGTTAATGTTTTACTTTTTGAGTGTTGACTTACAATATTATGCCTTTGCCGTTTCCTATTCCTAACTCAAATTATTGTCGTATGATAAATGATATTGTACAAATAGCCAAATGTTTCAAAGTAATTATGTATAAAAAGATGTCAAGAGTTGGTAGATTTATTATTGATAATTGCCTGAATCCAGCGAAGAAAGATATTCGTATCAAAGTGTTATTTCCTCAAACTTTAAAAAATATTACAATGTTGTATCAATGGATTACTATAGATGGAATTGCATGTAACCATCTTTTCGACAGAGATAGTGCTTGTTGCGGAAGAAGCTTGCAGAACGGAGACAGAGCCATGACTGAAGGCATACTTGGACAACAGTTAACATGAAATGATGATTTCAAATTAAGCATGGGAATATTTCACTAGGTCCAACTCCCTACCGCCATATATCATAAATATTACCCAAACGAATCGAAAATTAACTTTTTCTTGGCCAAAAATTGCATGATGATAAGTTGATTAATTCCAGCGGACATTGTATATGTATTGTAACGTTTATTTTGTCGAACATCATACTTGTTTTATTAAAATATGGCTAAACTTATTTCAACGAACTAAAGCGACAATTGACGGGGTGGAGCTGGGTGAATAAATACAAACAGCACTTGAAGAGGTGTTGGCCACTCGAATCTTTATCAGGCATTCTGGAATTCGTAACACAACACACTTCACGGAGTCGCGAGGCATGTATCAGCTTGTCTATACATTAAATGCAGGTGTCGGGCAAATATTAGGGACGACACAAAATCAGAAGGTCAAACACCTATTTGTTATTACATTACCAATATTAGCAAACGGAGAAAATGAAATGCTTCTCAACGAATGACGTTCGGCATTGAAAAGGAAGAATAAGATGCGTAGCTATGTGTTTGGTACGACTCTTCCATAAGACGAAGGTGGCACATAAATGTAATTTTTATGGCGATAATTGTGAACTAGTACCGGGTCATTGATCTCGAACACAGTATACTTATATGAGCTATTCAAATATAATTGTTAACGCTTCGTTCGAGATCAACCTCTTTCTTATTGCACATAAAAGCATTTATATTTGACGTGATACTGACTGCACAAACACATCTGTCACGTATTGGATTGTGTGTTAAATATATCACAAGACGTTTAGAACAAGATGTTTAGAGTTACCCTGTTTGGCATATACAAATGAATAGCGGATTTTAATGACGATGTTATTTGATTCGACATAAAGGTAGCTAGCTCGTTAACAAACGTGGATGACGCCCCATGGAATGATTAATTTACTAATCCTTTGCTGAAGTCCAGTATTAGGTTGAGCGGAGTATTTGAATACTATACAAAGAAACTAAACCGGTATATCAACTTGATGATTGTAATATATTGTCAAAAGCCTAAAAATCATGCCTCAAATTGCAAAAAAATATTGATTATGGTAGGGCGACAGTATGAATAATTAGCTAGTAAGCATTTACCGGTCAGCGGGGTCTTTTGTGATTGAGAAACCTGCATGCCCTCTAACACTCAATACACTCGCACGCGACAGATTTATGATGGTTTGTTACATCTGCAAATATTTGATTTAATCGGTTTCCTGTGATAACGAGGGCTCGGCTTTGATAAATGATATCTTTCAAACATCACCGTAACATTGTTTCTTTAGGTCGTGTGGCCGGAACAAAACCAACTAATCCTAGCCATCATTTGAATTTGACTATTCTTCACTTATCGCGATATATCTTTTTGTGCAAAAAAAGTTTTGTTTGACTTCTGATTATTTTTACTTTAGGCGGGAATTCTGCTGTTTTGGATTTTCTTTTCTTTACAATTGATCATGTATGAAATCCGTGTCAAGTTGAAATATACCCAATTTTCCTTTTGCAATTTATGGTATATTTGAAAACGATTACTCAAAAACTCAAATTTTGCACATATTCAAATAATACAATTCTGAATTGGTGTTTATAACTTTGTGGTAAATGTTTGGAACAATTCTCGTCCTATCGCTTTTCGAATCTTTATTAACTTGAAAAAATCGGCACTGTTATTTTATATAATTTTTGAATAACACTAACTAGGTTGCAGCGCGGAAGCTGTATAACAAATTTAAATAGTGTAATTAAATTTGAGGATGACAAATTTCTTCCAAAGAAAGTACTTTGTGAGAAATCGTTCATCCTATTATGATGGTGTATTGAAGTAAACTTACTCTTGAGAAAGAATACCTATTTTAATCATTTTATGTGATTGCGAAATCTCAAATCCTTTGTCATTTTGAATTTATTCACAATCCTGAGCAGAGCTTATTCGAATTTCAAGACGATAAAGAGAGATTAACGTGACGACAATCTGCCAGACTTTTATGAATATGGCGAACGTTGAGTGCACGTTAGCATTGCTTGAGCGTCGAACGCATTTAATTAAAGTACCTCTCAACTACGGGAGAAGTATCTCCTTCACTTACCAGAGTAAGCGTTGCTATGACTACCAGACTTTACAGGATCGATCATTAAAATATCCAAAAGGAAGAGGGTCGTCGTTAATACGCTCGTTCTAAATTTACGACTCAAGCGCCATTAGGGCACAATAGTTTTTATACAGAATTAAGCTTTGTCCTTACGCTTAAAACATATTTGAGTTTACGTAAACACTCAGCACGTGATATGACGTCATGGAAATGGCTTGATTTTTGTTTTCATGGTATGCAACTGGAGGCATACTGCTAACGCAAAGTTCAATTCACTCCTATAAATATCCAATGTCATGTCAATCCTAATAATTTATATCATTTAGCTTTAAAGCAATATATATGAAGGGTTTTGTACCTGTAACCCACCATTTTAATTATTTGCGTATTAACGTGTATGACCAACTGAAAAGCACAACAATACATCACCGTAAAATTCCTGTTAATAAAAGGATAACTTTATGCAGTGTATAATAGCAGTCATATGAAATGAATGTAAGGAGTAACGATTTTACTTTTACTACCTGATGACTGACATACATCGTGTTGTACAAGGCAAGAGTATGCAATTACTATGTTTCCTATAAAAAGAAGCCACAGTATTAGCCACAATTCTGAACGGAATTTTGTTTGCGAATTACTTTTTGACAAGTTACTCTGGAATTTGTTAGAAAAATATTCGAGCTGTGAGAAATTCACTTTAATTAATACAATTTGCACGATTTTATAAAAGAAAAGTTGGAAAATAAATGCCTATGGTCATGAGAGAAAAATGCGTCTCGAAACAAGATAGAAATGCTCGAATATATGGACACAAACGCCCTGTGTTAAAAAATTAGTGTTCCTATGAACTAAAATAAAAAAGCAAAATTTTGGAGAAAATCGGATTCTGTAGGCTCTCCAAAACTTTATGTCCTTCTTCATGAAATAATGTTCTTCTAGCGATTAGATTGATTGGTTCAGTAGTTGTGGACAGAAGCGAACTTACAATAGCAGCACAAACCCCTAGCGTGACAACAACACTAATAACAACAACTATTTAGGAAAATAATTAATGAAACGCACTATATCAAAAAGTTTGCTTCGTTTTGAGCGATTTATAGGCTTGTACATTTCTGACAACTGAATTATGTTTATACGAACAAATCAGAAACTTTTAAGAGGAACGTTAATTAGATACATTTCAATTTACGCGTAGCTAGCTGATTTTGCTACAACACCATGGTGTTAGAGACTAGACAGACAAATCATACCACAAGCCCTCCTTTTTTAGACGATTTGGGAAGCTGTTAGATGCTGTAGATTCATCTCAATTTTAGTAGTAAACCAGAAATACTTCAATAAAGTAAAATATGTTATGACATAATCAGAGTCTCTGCAATTATTGGAAAAAAAAAATCGGTGACCTAACTGCCATTGCTCAGGTTGTTTAGTTGCATTCAATGAAATTTTTGTTTGTTTCAGAAATGTGGTAACGCGAAAAAATGATATCATATATTTTAAATCAATTTTCCCATGCACCGTCTACCGCAGGGGTCACTGATAGGACCATTTTTTGTTTTGTTATATTGACATATAAGCTACACATTATCTTACCATGTTCACATAATTCTCCAAAAGTGGCAAACAAAAAACAATGGGGATTGGGGAATATTAAATTCGTGACTATTGTTTTAAAAAAGAAACATTTGTCGATTGTATGATTGGCCTTATGCGAGCTTCCCATTCGCGTGTGTTAGCTCTATTCAGGTATCTACTATACAAGAATCTCAACATTGTCAATATATCATGTTTCATTTTTATATCTTTTGTTTCATCTGCTGAATTAAGCGATTAGGATGTGATTGTTTTTCAGTACCACAGACGAATCAAAAATAAGTAACAACTAAAATCTCAATTGACAATAACGTTATAAACTGTTCTCCAAAATGTTCATAAGATTCCCTTTCTGATAATCTTGCGTTGATAAAATTTAGTTTAGAGCTTTCAATTCATTATTGGATTTTTTTTTGCTTTCTTTTAATGGCAAAATTATTCTAACAAAGCAATAACACGTACAAATAACAAAAAATTGACCTCAGTTATCCATATTATCTGATCGATTTTAATTTTAGTTTAAATGAATTATGTAAACATTTCAACTTACCGAAAAGCAAAAATATAATAAAAGTTAAAACAATTATTGAAAACAGTATCCATTTACATACGCCACCGACCGCCATGATTTTTGAGTGTGGGTTAATTTTAAGCCTTTTCGTTCATACCCAGACACTTTTTCAGCCGTTCAGTAAAAAAATTTACGTTTTTTGTTATCCTATATTCAATAAATTGGCAGTTTCATGTAACGCACAGTGTATCGACATATTTTTCATATAAAAAAGGAAAAACGTATGGAATACTATATAAAAAAAATTTAAAGGCACCTTCGTGTGATGAAACGTGTGTTGTTCCAAACGCAGCTGATTCTCCTTGTAGATTAGGGTCTGTCGGCTAGAAATAAACGAATACGTTATTAAAACTGAAGTACAAAAAAAGAAACATCTATTGTGGCCTTTTTGTGCCACACAAATAAATTTTATGGGATAACCGGACCTAATCCGACATTATTCAGCCTCATTAGTTTTCGGCGTCCGCTTCTGTTTCGTTTGTTGCTAACACAAAACTTATCCGTTATGATTTTTTCCGATTGTGCTATCTCGAGTACTTTGACGAAAATCGAAATGAGAAAAACAACATGTGAAATTATTGTAATTTTACACTTAAAGACAGTTTTTATATTGAAATAACGAGATTTGAATTGATCTAACTGGCTCTATAAATGGAATATATCTTTAATGATCATTTAATGTATGTCCCATACTTTCTCTGAAAACTATGGCCAGCATGACATATATGGGAAGTTGAAATTTTCCAAGTGTTTTTGAACAGTGTGTACTTTCTCTACACGTATAGTTTAGTTATTCTTCTCTATTGTGCGCGCCGTTGTTTGTACAGTGTGTATTGTTGTGTCATAGATTATTCCCACTCAACGATTTATCGAAATTCCATTTTAAATCTTCCTAATTAAAATTAAACATAGGAACAGGCTACGAGAAAATTGAATTCCATATTGTATCATTAAAAAGATCAGAAACGTAAGAATTTTGAATTACGCCACATGTATATATTTTTTTTAAGTCATGGGCAATTTTGATCATCAGATTACGTAATGCTACAGCCTACATATGGTCACTTACAATGCAGTTATTCGTGTTACTGAATCAGAGACTCTCTTATAAAGTAGACGGGATTTGGCCATGTTATAAGTATGAAAATACTGAGATTGTATACGGTTTGGCGGGAAAATCCAGTCGCGAGAGAATCAATTTTTTCACAACAATGAAGCCTTAGTGCAGAGGCAGATAGACATTGATGAATGGCAATTCACTTGCCTGAAACGATGAAATGATGTAAATTATTTTTCAGGACTTTACATATTCGAGAGAAAGTCTAAGATCATTGAAATCGATTTATTTATGTAAATTAGGAATTACTTGTTGAAAAAGTAGCGCAATTACTAAAAGTCTTTGGTGTGCCTAACGAACGACGTGGGGGAAAGGGATTCTCTGAATTTCGAAGATTTGTGTCTTTCTAGAATCCGCATAGCCTACACAGCATCTTACAGTCTGGATGGAATAGCAGAATGGTGTTGACCCCTGGATTGTCACAAGTGTGCCCGATTTGTCTAAGATGCGATGCCAAAATAGTCAGGTCAATAAGCAAACTTGTGACCTCTATAGACAGCCACACTATAATCTTATGTTGAACAAATGTATCTCAGACGTTCCTAAGGAAAACGAAGCAAACAATTTTAAATATCGAAAGCACATACGTTAGGCTAGAAATATTTGTATAGCCAGTATACTTACAACCTGCCTAAGTTAATAATTAAAACACTTGTATATAATTCAGTAAAATTAGAAGCATTTGTTCATCATTTAGTAAATAGCAATAGTACTTTTTTGTTAATAAAAATTATTTTACTTATTGTTAGCCTTACGAAGATACATGCTAATGCTCATTTTTGGGTAAGTTGATGATAGAACGTAAGTAGAATTATTACTTGGAATAACGTATTGACGGAGAAGTTTTTGAACAGTGTTGCGTAACCGACTTAGCCTTGGAAACTAAAGCGAAAGTCGTAAACGCGCGATTATTATATCTACCAAGACAAAAATCCAATATTGTCAATAAGAAAAACAAACGTATTTAACTGTATTTCTAGTAATTTATATAGATATATAAAGCCAAATATTAATATATATGCTTTTAAAAGGATACTGATCTATGAAATTGAACCAAAATACTCCAAAGTCATCATTATTGGAAAATCTACCAGTTTTAATTGCTTATCAGACAATGGAAACCTGTGGTCAAATGACGTCAAAGTGTGGTGTTAAAATTTACTGCACATCACCACAAAGTCTGAAGACCTTCTACCGTATGTTACGACGCCATAAAACTCCTCACGCTAGCAGAGACACATTCGCTATACTGACTCAGCGCCAATCACGTATACATGCTGATGTGATATGAACATGATTGAGCGACGCTTAAAAACAATGCTGAAATTTTTTACGGATACAAAGTCGAATGTCAAAATAAGTCTCCCATGAATTAAAATAAATCGTCATAAAATAAATCAAATTTTGTGTGAAATATCGAGCCTCTTATGACGTGTAAGCTTAACCTTCGAAGGTCTTCTTCCAACTTCGAGTACTAAAAAATCGAAATCAATATGCCCAGTGGTAGCAGAGAAAAGCGATGCTCCACAATAATAACCTCTAGCATCTATCTCATCAAGACTAACAACAACAACAATTTAGAAACGCGTCCCATATTCATAATTCGTGTCCAAATACCAAAATAAAGTTTGAGACCGATTATGTCGTGATATTTATTTTATAAATATGGTGAGCTTTTACCTGTGCCTGAAAATGTGTCATCGGAGTTGTACTTTGCCTGACTCTCAGTTGGGAAAAATGTTCTTGTAATTGGTTCCTCGGCGACATGGCTGCAATCTGCAGAACAAATCGAAATTTCAAACTGTATAGCAATATAAACCTAAGTTTCGATTTGCATCAGGGGTAGGTTACGCTGGGATATATTGAATTGGCTGTGAGCGTGCCAATTGTCGTTGGCAACTTGTCATTCAGTACTAAATGGACTTAGGTGACAGCTTGTATTAAAAGTCACTCATATTGACTCTGTTATATTGCACAACTTTTTTTCACATAATTTTTTCATTTCAGTAATAAAGATCTTACATAGCTTAATGGTACAAAGTTTAAATGGATATCACAGGATATGTCGCACAAATATAAAATGGTGAATTCTGGAAAGCAGCAAAACCAAAGCAACAAACTCAAGTAGAAAAAGCACGAACTCAAATAAACCAACCATATTTGCTATTGCTTTTTCGATCCTAATTCTTAAATGTACCCATATGGAATATACCAATATATATATATATATATAGGAACAAACAAGGCTAGTAATCCAACTTATAGCAAAAAAAACGAGTCTATTTTTAAGTATTCTAAAAACTGCGACATTGATATTTATTATAACACATAAAACACATTATTACATGTTATTTTCTGAATTTGATTACTGGTCAGTTTCATCCTAACCCTATTAATTTAGAAACTTCACTCGGAATCACACAAGAACTTTTCAAACAATTATTTCTTTTTTGCACTTCAAAAAATTTTAACGCAATCACTCACCGGTCCAAAAGGAGATTTAGCGTTAGCTGGTGGAACCGGAGTTCCGGTTTGCGATGGAGGGCACGGCGTTTCCGGTTGTACTCTAATCCTTGGACATCCATTCCGTTGTTGTTGCATCTGCTCCGAAGCTAAGGGGCTCATAGTACTCGAACAAATGGAATGAGCCGGACTCATTGCCATAGACCTGTAATTGAATATTTATTCATATGCTTTCAACATGAAGGAAAAAACTTGGTGAAAAATGGCCACGGACAGTTTTTTTGTTCGAGCCACATTACAATAATATAAAAGATTTCCAATGCCAATAGTCTTCGAATCAAAGCTGAGCCTAATACCCGGTTGCCTATACTAAAATGCTTCGTGAATAAAAGTCACATTCAAAGAAGAGTGTTCGGGCAAGTATATTTTAATAAACATTTTTGTGGAAAAAAGATTTAAAATAAAAAAAACTATTCTATTTTTTAATATTGAATATATGATTAGAAGATCAATAAAATTGTATTTTTTGCATAGCTTAACTTGGTTATTGCTTTGAATTTGCTTTTTGATTTGAGTATAAGTTTAATTATGAAACAATATTCAAGTTTCATTATACTTAAGATTAAAAATGGAAGATTCTCGCATATTTTCACCTCGATACCCAACCGAAATTTCATAAAATAATAAAATTATTATGCGACGCGAAAAGATAAAAAAAAAATTATCTATTTTGAACAGCTGTGTAATCGAAGCTGTATTGTTTTATTTTCAGCAGACGGATTTGCTTTCGTGGGTTAATTATGGAATAGATATAAAATTGTTGAACTCATTTTATATTTGAACCCATCGTATTCGTAATTCGTCGCTATGTAATCACATTGCTGTTATGGGTTTCATTGTTTGGTATCTATCTTGTAAAAAGAGGCTACAAGTGTGAATTTGACAAAGCATAACTGACCACTGATTCGCCTTGGTAAATTAAGGTGTTTACACATATTTCGTGCTAAATTTACTGACATTTTTAAATAAACGTTCTTTGCACTTTATTAAAATTTTAAATTTTGTTCTTTGCATAGATTAGAAGATTTGACAATGACTGTGTTATAGCTTTTCAATTTGATCCTAGGTTGGCACAAAAGTTCACTTATTAGAGGCGTTGAATATTAAAGATGACACAATGCACCAACTGAGAAAGTACGTCACGCGTATTGCCACGTTGAATTTCATATACTATCTGAGCTGAACGGTGAAAAGCGTAACCTGTGGAAAGTTTTGAAAGTCATGACGTCACAATCTTTTACGTCACATGAAATTTCCACGCGAAAATAATTGGCCTCCCCTACATTATTAGTCTACGCGTGAATCTGATGTATTGTATTAAAAAACAGCAGAAATCAAAATGTCATGACAACACAGATTATTATTTTATTACATACCTAGCAATACTTCCGGGACGAAAGTGTTGCATTTCCGGATGATGTTGCGCCACGTCATTATACATATTCATCATTTGTCCGTTCGGATGCTGTTGGGAGAGAAAGTTCATATTTTGTGTGCCCTGTTCGCCTGCAGTACTCGGTTCTGAATATCCTTGTTGGCCGCTAAAATCATAAGAAGAATTGATTCCTGAATCCGCAGACATCCGGTGATGGTCGTCCGAATCTGTTCCATAACCGGAAAACTCCCGAAGTCCGGCAATCGGTTTGTTTGTACCGTATTCTCGTAAATCGTTGTTGTTGTTGTTATTATCACGATTCATTTCATCGGTATATCTAATCTTTTCTGAAACCACTATCAGCACTTAATGGAGAATATGCTTTGTGACGTCAGAATGTTTTGCGCAATTCATCGACAATTAACCCTAATGAATGACATCATCTATGAAACATATTGGGCTTGTGTCGAATAATCTAGCCGGAAAAATCAATAAAACACCTTGTTAAGCAAAAAATCATACAAAATAATCAATATTCTTAAACAAATGACGTTTCTGACAGGCAGAGAAAATATTACTAAAAATTCAAAATTCTTCCATCTGTTTTACATATATATATACCGTAGAAATACCATACGACAAGTCATCGAGCGAGCACTGACGCTACAGGTGTATTTACCTTTAAAGATCTTAAGTTACGTTGGTATTCAATAAAACACATAAGTTGGGAATACGATACCATACGAAACAATACTGGTATGTAGACAACTAAATTACGAAAATCAACATCGAAAATTGGAACCGTTATGTAGACTCGTCATTAATTGATTAATGGTCATTCCTGGCTTTATCCTGTCGCTTCCATTTGCGAAACATTCTCGACCCATCCATGAGACTCAATCCCGCGAAAGACGTAGTAAAGTCCGATGTAAAAATTCCTAACAAATTCTTAACCATATTACTATGTCGTCTATTCATACTAAGAGCTAGGTATATTGATATGAATGCCCTAACACAGCCTGAATAAATAAACCTTGTGTACAACATGGGGCGCCGTCTTCAACGGACATTTTTTCACATCGACGTCCGATACGTTGGCGTCTGAAATATTTCGATTTGAAGTCGCGCCGAACATTTCAGCATAAAACTCAGCGCAATGATCAAGTAGTGCCTAAAAAGAGTGGGTCAATTCCTTCTTATTCTATAACCGAGGTAAACCTATCAATTTACACAGGGTGTAACAAATTGAATAACTAAAGGTTTCCGGTAGGTACAAAATACCTAAAAACAGGAACCACCTAGAACTCGGTAATTGATCCAACCTTGTGACAATCTAAAACATCGCATTAAATTAAAATTTTTCTGACTAAATGGCACAATTATTTACCTGAAATAACTGGGTGGAAATAAAACAAATTTTTACGCAAACAAAATACGTTACATCATCTTTCAAAATAAAAGGCTCCGAAAATCGATATTACCTAATTAGCCATATATCGAATTATCGGGATGATTGAAGGAGAGGCAAAACAATGTTTCTTGATTTTTTACCAAGCGCCAATTTGCTTGTATAGGGTAATACATTATTACTATGTACATGGCATAAAGCTGTCTGGAAAGTACCTTGCCTTTACTCAAGTACTCTTCATAGGAATTTGTAGTTAATAGTGACGAAACACTGCCCAAAATTATACCGATGTTATCGTTTGTTATCCTAATTTTCATACTATTTTTGTGGTGATATTTTGTATATGTTTATAAAAGCAAAGTTACTCGCCAAAATCTCAGAATAGTTGGTTAATTCAGGGTTTTACTAAATTTGATCATACTAGAAAGCGTTTATGTAAGGTAGGAGTTTGGGGTAGTAAATTTGCTACTATACACCTGTAAGCTAGTAATTATCTAATACGAAATTTTGAATGCTAAATGCAGCCAGCACGATTCTCTAATAATCCCATACACTCGCTCGGGAAATGAAAATACCAACTGCTAGAATATTTCCGTTTTAGCCAGAACGTTTCGGCGACACCTCTAGCTGATTTATTGGACAATAGTAAGGCGAGGGTAAAACCTAAAAAAAACTGACCAACTAAGTTTTCTGTGATTTTCGAATCGAAGTTGTCTAAGTAATACTAAGAAATATTGCCTCATACTGATATTACCACCAATGTAACGTTATGCTTTACTGTGAACGTTGTCAAGTTAAGATTGAATACTTTTTCATTGCTTTACCAATAGATAAAACCATCCCTATGACGGCGCTCTCAAATAACTGTCCCTGCTCGAGAGTACGTTTCGCTGAAGAAGGTGTTATACCAACCTAAGACAACAAACCGACTGAATGTTTGCCTTCAACAATTGGGATTTGCAACCTCAATGTGAGCGTTTTGTTAAGGCTGTTTGTTTTTCCGCTTCTATTCTTGAGATATTCAATGCTATTTAAAAAGCGGGTGATTTTCACATGTAATGTGGAGTATAACTATTTCGATGTTCGAGAAATTTTCACTCTAAGGAGATTTGTTAAATGGAATACGTTATACTGCGCCTACGGTTATTAATATATAGTCTCACTATTTAATAAAAGTCTCGATCATAACAGTAAAAATAAAACTTGATTTTCCGATTTTTTTAAATGTACTTCTGACAATCAACTTTTGGTTACAAATCATAGGTGACCTACGTAATGTTTTATCGCGAGAAACCATTAAACCCTTCCGCTTCGATTGAGATATTATGATTTAGCCAATATAAAGCACGGAAAGCTGACACGCAATGCCAAGACATGATACGTTGGAGGAACCCAAGCCAATTACCGGGTAAAACTTTTATCCAAATTTCAATCCAATAAATAATTTAAAAATTGTCTATCTCTCTGATTGAAAAGTTATAGATGTGGTATATTTGAGATTATCCTATTTGTCATAAATTAACATAATTTCACGTTACGGCTTTCAAAAATTCATCGGAAAAATAACATTTTTCTTTGTTAATATTATAAAAAAAAGTTATTAAGGACTTTGCAAAATAGCATTTTGTCCTGAACTTTCGGATAAATATTACTCAAATATAACGCAAAAACCGAAAACTAATACACATAAACTAAAAACTAACATATATATAAACTTTAAAATTGGAAGTACATTAAATTGACATAAAAATGCTAAGGACAATAAAAAAATGTATCTTTAAAGGGAAAAAGTATATTTCCATTTTTAGTTATACAGATCTTTGCAAACGCAATTTCTCGTTCTCCAATAGAAAAGATTTTGCTGTTTTATTTATGTGGATCTTGACATGCTTTACCTCCTACGCTTGTCTTTATCAACAGAATATTTAACTATAAATTGGATATAAAACTCTGATAAAATTGAGTCGCTGTTCTTACAGTTGCAATTCCACAACACGTAGCAACTGTCTTCTGATTACAATGATAAAAAAACGGTGTTTTCGGCATTTTTCAACCAATAAAAATTTCTCAAATATGGCGAAATTCCAGAGCGATCCCTATATGACTCCACTCTGCTCTCTCGTGGTAAAAGATGCTCGTCTAAAATGAAATATTCAAAAATGAAATATTACATCAAAAAAGTTTTTTGAATTAGGTTTTTGAAAGAATGAAAAGGATGATCATAGACATAAGGACTACTACATTTAATTTGCTAATGAATGTTGAATAAAATTATAAATTAGTCTGCAAGAGCGACGGTAATATATATATATATATATATATATATACATATAATGCAATTGGATTTATACCATACATAATAAATACTGGTCATTTACCAAATCTCAGAATACGCATGTATTAATATTCAATCAATTGACCCAGGTAAGAGATGGCTATAAATTAGAGTGGGACCTGTATCTGGTACTTCCTGTTCGAGATGAGCAAATAAATTAGGTTTTTGTTCAATCGTTTTTGTTGAATCAAATGTAAAAGGTCTGCTTACGAAAAGATTGATTTTTTCCTCGGTATTTCAGATCTTGAAAAGTTAGTGGTTTTGCTTATATAGTTCGTTTTTTATTATAATTCTAGTTTTTGTTCAGGTCGTATATGTTTGAGAAAATAAGAAATTGGAATTTCCCCGACTAGACCTCAATATCAATAAATAAACACTCATCAGCCCATTAATTTCCTATCCATGCTCACAAGTTCACAACTAATATGATGGTCAATTTATCACCATGAGAACAATTCAAGATTGCGACTTCAAGTGTTTGCTTTTAAATTTTGGAATAATATGAGTTAGGTATAGGCGCCATTCGATCGTTTTCGTCATTTGATTTAACGGATATTCATTCATAAGTTCCAGTTGAACAAATATAGTTTGTTTGTTTACTATCAAATACCAATTTTAAATATAGCGTGCTCTATTCGGTAGAAGACATTGGTGATAGTCCAGTCTTTCTGGCTCTGTAGTATTGAAGACTACCTGTGCTTCATTATACAATTTTAATAACAAGCAATTTAAGGTATGTTCTTAGTTACTGTTTGAAAGTGTTGGTGGACTCGTACATAGTGGTTATCGCACAGAGATTAATTTATTATTATTTTATATCAATCAGTCTAATATTAACAAAGTTTAAATTAAAAATTGGATCTACGGTTATTCCTACGCATTAGATTAAGTACAGAATTAAACTAGACACCGTTCTTGCTTGTGGTGTAAAACAAACTGATAACAATAGCGTTTTCAGAAGTCTAGCAAGTTACTATTTAAATTTTTTTTGACTGAAAAATATCCTGACAAAGTACGGCGTTCATGGGAAGGATGGCCACTCCATATACAGCATTTAACTTCTGTTGATTACCTATTTTAAACGGTTAAATGTTTTCATCGATGTCACATAATCTTTGGTGCAATCATGCATAATTTCGCTTAGAATTTGAAAGTTTATATATTCGCAGTAGGTAAAGATAAAGAGGAGATGGTATCTTTTTTTAAATCTATTTGATTTACAGTGTGGTATTGCTATTATAGTCGAGTAACAATATGGCACAGTTTTACGATAAACGCGATGTCGTTGAAAAATACGACAACGATATTGATGAATATCCTGATATTATTCACAAGTCAATTATGGAATTTGTTATAAAGCAAAATAAAGATTCTGAAGATGTTCAGAAATATGATCTTATGTTGGATGCAGGATGTGGAAGCGGTCGCTCGACCACAATGTTTTCTAAAGATTTTAAAAAAATAATTGGGTTCGATATCAGCTCTGAACAAATACGTATCGCAAAAGCAAAGAATATTTCCGAAAACATTGAATTTGTAGAAGCAAGAGAAAGTCATATGCCTGCTTCAGAGAGTACGGTCGATCTCATAACCTGTGGATTTGCTATTCAATATATGGACGTGGTGAAATTTGTGCAAGAATGTAAGCGAGTGCTTAAGCCAACTGGATGTGTTGTTATTTATGCATTCGAAACATCGGATATTCTACCAGTCGGTAAATCAATTTCTGCCATGCCAGTTCTTCTATCATTTATAAATGAGATGAAACACTGGTCCGAAAACCACTATCCACCAGATTATGAATATTTTTGTCGCTATGAAAATGTCTTCCAGAAAATTTCAGGAATTTCCAAATCCCGGGAAGACGATTTGAAAGCGGACATGTTCATTTCTTTGGCAGATTTAAAAGCAATTATCCGAGCTGTTCCTGGTCACGGCATGTATGTTAACTGGATGAAAGAAAACAAAAACAGAGACACACTACAGGAACTTGGAGATGAAATCAAAACAACATGGGGGATGAAAAATGTAGATGATGCAGACATCAAAATGCAGATGAAAGTTTCCATTTTTACCATCATTTTGACTCAGTTGTAATGATCCCTTACTGAATATAATTTAAATTATTATAACTTTTTTTCTCATATTTCCTCATTACTTGCTACGTTACGCTCTTTGAATGCTGTGTATTAAACATTTACTCGAAATAGACTGCAATAAATGAGAATTTATAGATTGTATTTATAATTAACACTGACGATGAAAAGAAAATATAAGCTTGAGCAATTAAAATCCAGTTATAATTTCTTGCAACCACTTAACTTATTGTCCGCTGTTATGCTTAGATAGATTGTTTCGAATTTTGCAATATATATTTTAAGAAAGCTCCTGGCGTAAATTTGACCTGCTTTGGAGGTTAATTTTTTAAGCAAGAAATTCACACTTTCCCTTCTACACAAATAGGCTACCGGTTTCAAGTCATGGCCAAATGCGACTTTTGACCACATAACAGAATGCAAAGTCTTCTATTTTGCAATTTAAGTTATTTGACTCCCATTACAGCCAGACTGTCTATTTGTTAGTTAGTTAATAAAAATGTCACTGTGAGTGTTTTATTGCTTTGACTGTGGTTAGATGAACCCACAATTAATTTTAGGCATCTACGTCCTCAAATTTTACACCAAATTTCTCTCGTCCAAGGCTGTTGGATTGCAGGATTCATATATTTATATATATATTTTAATATGAAAAAGGCAAGACTAAAACGAGCAGGTTAATTACAAAAAAAAAACGATGCAAGAAAGCAGAAATGTTGAAACTCAATATGACTCCTGCTGAAAAATTAATAATTTATGATCGTAATGTAGTATCGTGGAAAGCATTGATATTTTAATCTATTCGATTCTTAGTCGTCGTTACATATTATCACCTAAAGATGAAAGCAATCCAATTTAACCCTTTTTCACGGCTAAGAAAGTTCACTTGTCACAAATTGGAGATTCTGAACAATTGCTCCATTCAGCTGGTATATGAGAAGGTGGACGACGAATCCCAACTTTATTGATGTACTTTGGCACATTCTCGATAAAACTACGTCCGACTAAAATTGAATTTTTTTCCGTGTCATGTCAGAAGTTAGTTATATGGAAGCTATACTATCTCATTAATGACAACGTAGTAAAATTATCTTGTTTCTTTTGACTTTCAATTTAATATCAACAAATATTCGAACGAATCAATGTTGTATATTCTGCCTTAATTTTTTTTATTATCAAAAAGTAACCTGCTACGTTTTTATCGTGTGAAAGACAAAAAACTCACCGTGAACCGCATTATATTCAACTTCTGCATTTTGTTGAGAAAGAAATACTTCTTCAACATATTTTGTAGTTTTTTCTAGATAGTCTTCGTCTTGCGTTTCCGGCCCCTTGTATTCAAATCCGTACCATTTCATGATGTCTAAATTATATTTTGGTCGTCCAAACGGCCGCACCTGAACCTATTTATCACGAGAAAAATAGTTAGTTCAACTGCACAATTAAATACCTTAACCTAATCCAAATATATCAATATTTAGTTACAGCTAGACAGACAGTAAATTAGTCACATAGGGTTGTTGATTTTGAGAAAAAAATAATAATGACATAAAAAAGTGTTTTCCAAACTATCTTAAGACTGTAAACGATTCTAACAGTGTGTAAAAATAATACGGCTATAAATAAGCTGGATACTGGATTCGGGCTCGACTAGTGAGTTATTTTGCTAAATCGTAGTTTTCCTTTGGCGGGAAAATTGTTTTCGGATTTTAAATTTTCATTAACTGAAGATAGAAGAAGTCGCTATCAATTTTACTTTTAGTTTTCATGTGTCCTGCGGGACCCGATATTTCAACCAATATTTATCTACATTGTTTTGAATCATGAGAACACGTTTACGGCTTTTGTGTCCATATATTTTAGCATTACTCTCTTGCATTGTGCGAACTATGCTTTAGGTTTACGCGGAACGAACTATATGTTTCTATTCCCCATTTACATAAACACAATCACACAAGTCCTAATGCAAAATTCCGGTTTAATTAAATGGCGGTTGATGCTGAAATTAAATTGAACCCTTGCGTCGGGTGTCAAAATCTTAGTCAACCTTGGCTATCCCCGCGTTTTTCCTTGGTTTGATATAAAAAGAGAATGACTATGTTAATTGACGAGGACAAAGAAACTAGGTTTTCCTGATTTTCATACACATTCCATCACTACTTACTTTCCAAGAGCTGCCACCTGGATTTATGTCATCAACTGTGACAATGTCGATTTTATATCCAAGATAGTCGTAAACATCAATAAACTGAAAATGTACGAGAATAATAATTGAGTATGAACACGCAATTTGCGCCTAAGGACTATTTATAGTACAAGGAATGGATACTCCCGTATATAGTGTGTGTACCAGGTTAGAGTTAGGCCAATCCGATTTTCCTTAATTTAGTTCCATTACGAGTTCTATTACGATTGTCTGTGTTAGCCAAGTGAATATACCCCCTGCCCATAGGTTTCTCAACTTAATGTAAAGTAGACGAACAAGACTACTTAGTTAGTCACCTCCATAGTGGTATACACACTTCTAGAGCGCCCAAGGTATGACTATATTCTAATCGATATGAACGGCAAGACACTAAATTCTGGAATTAAACACGTGTCGACAATTTTTTAGCAACCGACTTCCTGAGACTCGGCTCGCCGGTTGGCATATCTTGCTAAGGATCAGGAACATGCAAGCCATCAGCCATGCAGCCTCTGATTGTGCGGCTTTACAGGTTTGAATTCCATTGGGTGTAATAATAGATGGCAGTCATTGGGTGATTTAACGATGGTCGTTTACGGCTTATTCCACGCATCCCAAACAAATAACTGGTTCACGACTCCCATATCCGACGTGAACTGGTAACCAGACAGAAGCAGTGGTTCGCCATATTGAGTCGATTTATCGGCTTTTCATTCCAAGGAATAAATATGTAAATCCTTCTCCTATCCTAACGAGAGCATACTCGAATCTAAATGCTACAATGAATAATCATGAACTATTTCATTTTTCATCAAGTGAGTAAATACTTGCTTACCACATCTTCAAGCAACTTCGACTTTGAATGTTCGGGCGGCCAAACATATTCCCAAGATAGATCGACTGCTTCATTGTTAATTTTGAAAACATTTGCTTGTATTACGAAAAGTTCTGTTTCAGCCACGAAAAACAGCTGACCCGAATTAATACCTGAACCAACACCAATATAGCTTTCGGGTAGTGGAGTTGTGCTTTCGACAACATCCGCCTGTATATATTTAATCAGGAAGTAGTGTGTGAAACGTTTAGCGTTATACAGAAAAAACTTTTCAAAACCTTTAAAATTTTCGATCGACCAAATCAGTCATATACGAGAACTACGCAAACTGCATCGGAGAAAAAAAATAATAATTTGAAAATAATTTTCATCGCACTACCAGCCCAAGTTTTCATTATATGAAACCATTTTACATAGAGTTTTAATTAACTTTCATTGTGATTATCTATTTTTCGTCAAGATATATATATGAATATTATGCATTTTCTCCCCAATTTGAAAAGCAGCATCCAAGAAAAGGAAAAAAATTAGCCTACATAGCCTTATTCGGATTAAGCTTTTGAAAACAACTATGAAATACTGCATATGAGGGGTTCATGATATGAGTAAGAATAAGATATATAAAAAAAAAATGAATTTTTCAGCGGATCATAGACATCATTTTTAATCGTACAAGATAATTTGAAGATAAAACGAAAAATGGACACTTAGTGTAGTGTTAATATATAAAAGAATTGCAGTTGTAATGTAGCAGTCAAGAGAATAATGGTACTTACTATTGTAGTTGTGTCGGTAATATTGGATACTGGTTCTGGAGGAAATACGAGGTCGCTTAAATAGGGAATCGGAATACCTGTAATTTAATTGAAGCTGAGATGAAACTTTTCGATAAATTATACGCTTATCGTAATTTACATCACACACTCATCCAATTTAATTATGAGCGCCCCAAAAGTCTTTTGCGGTATGTGCAAAAAACCCGACTATGTTAGCACAGGTCTAAACATCATACCAGTGATGTAATATATTGGATAACAAAAGATTCGGGTTCTTGTAAATAGGGTTTCATTTGTTTGAATTTTAGTGAGAATCCATTTCGAAACGAAGGTTCGAGACGATTCGCAAAAATATTCAACAATAACCCAGTTAAATGCTGTGATAAATGAAGGAAATCTACTTACCTGCAAATACCAAACCAATCAAAGTTCCACAAATTAGTATAAGTAATAAGAAAACAATAAGAATCAACAATCGACAGCAACGGGCTGAAAAAAAATTCACAAAACATAAAGCAGATATGTATTAAACGGATTGTAACTTTGAAATTCAATTCTCTCATTTACAGTCTTGTCTCATGGACAAGCCTGAAAATGAGAGAAATGAATTTTGCCTGGAATTGTGACATTTCATTGTGAAATGATAAACTGTATGAAAAATATTTAACAATATTACTTGTTGAATGCCAAATGCTGCAAATTACATCGATGTAGTGCCTAGCGTAGGCGGTTCCGAAATAATAGAAATGAACTAAAAAACGCAGTCGAGTCTTGTGTATTTATTACATACCCGTTCTTTTAAAAGTTTCGGTGTTTCCAAAGCCGCCTTCGTCTGATGCTCTTTTTTGTATATCCACAAGAGGTGACTTGTAAGTTTCAAGTATATTTTCAAAATTTTCTTTACCAACTCTGGTCTAAATGAATAGGTGTATAAAAAAAAATTCAATAAGAAAATAAAAGAACTGAAATATGAGAAAGAAGCAGGAAGAGGAGAATGAGAGAAACCGTGCTAAAAAGTATAAAACGAGAGACTGAAAAAAAAGGAAAAAGTTTATACTCCCCTAACTGTAACTTGCCTTCAAGAAATGCATCGAATCATGAGATTCAACTTTATCAAGCTGGTCAAGGTCACGGCTGTCAATTTCAGTACTATTCAAAAAAGAGAGAGAAGTTTTTAGATTGGCTCCTTTTTTCATGTCTGAAATTAAAAAATGTGAAACAAAATGATTACGTAGCGTGCAAAAGTAAAATCTTCTAGATATAACAAGAGAATATTGCTCAAATATTCAGACACGAAGGTTAACTAACATGGCCACCCTAATGTCAGGAAAGAAAATTCTATTCAAAAGGATTGTAATACCTCCAATACTGAAGACGCATTTTCTTTATTTACCGGTAATTTGCGATTTAATATATATACTGTACTTACTAAGTGGTGGTAGGTCTCCAAGGCTGACAGTCACATCATCCATTTCCTCTTTATAATAAACTTGATTTGGAATGTCTAGTACACCTTCAAATCCAAAATCGACACTCTTTGAATTCGGAAAAAGACTTTTTGCAATTGGTATCATTTCGTAGATCAAAGGATTGCTGTTAACTCCTAAATAAGGCAATAAATTACGATTTAATTGATTTATATTTTTATATCGGAAACATGTCTGTTTACAGTTTTTTTTTACAACAGCCACACTTACAAAAAATAACGAAAATTTGACGAGGTGTTTTTAATTGAATATTGAAATGATATCAGTCCATAATTGTAATATTGCGAATACTATTCGGGGGCTTTAACCAAAAAAGACGAAACTAGAACAAACTGCTTAAAAAATGAGGGATTTTTTCAAATATCTTTAATGTTTCATTGAAATACTTTGGTGAAAATTGCATCAAAATTTTACATGAAAACCAGTTTAAAAAGCATTTATTATTTTGTAGTTTTTTAAATTTTTAAACATTCGCCTTTTAGCATGGAAACAATGGCAGTATTTATTAAAGGTTACTATAGTCCTAGCCAAGAAAATTTGAAAATTCGTGTAACCATTGATTAGCAGCATACTGTTGAAACGATTATTTACGACAAACCCAATTTCGATTACAAGATAACCCTGTAACTTATAATTCTTTTATACAGCTATCCTATCAGTCCACCCCGAACACCCAGTTACGATGGAAGTGATAATTTTGTTACTTTTGAGTGGCATCATGGCCTTATTGCGCGTGATTTCTCCTTCCTTTCTGGTGTTCGTTTCCTTCGATATTATTGTTTTCATTGCTGATAATCTCGGATCTGGTGGTTCTTCTTCGCCTTTCTGCTTTTTCCCCTTTTTCTTGGCCATAATTAGTCTAGGTATAGAAGCGCGATTCTACCTGAGCAAGAACGAAAGATGTTTGAAAAAAAAATGACGAAGCCTCAGTCTGTCGAGACTGACTTTTTATTTATCTAAAATTAATAAAACATAACTGACCTGGCAAGCTTATAGAAGCAGTTAGGCTACAGTTTGTAGGATGCCGTAAGCCTATAACTTAACGTTATCGTAATGTTGATTCGCGTCAGTGAAATCTTTTCCCTGTTTGATGGAAGCAAAATCCATGTATTTCCAACTACAATAGCGAAATGCAGTAATTAAAGGGTAATGTGGATAATCCTTTTGTAGAAATTCCTTGTATGATAAAATTATTGAGATGTGACCAGTAGTCCTCCACTCGCCAGGTTACGCATTCGCATAAATATGCATTGTTTTATCATAATATTCCAGAATTTGAAGTATAAACAACGATGCCAGATTTTTTTATCACCCTACTACTGGGATATTATGTACAATTTGTTCCCTTACAAATCGTGGACTTCTTCAGCGTGAATTTCTAGTCTAGAAGATCAATCAATTTTTTAGGCCTGGCAATTTGAAGACTAATGTATTGGACAAGTTTAAAATTGTAAAAGAGAGGGACCTAAAAATGTAATCGTGTAACCCAAACTTTTTCTGCCGCGGAAACCTATTTGTGGATATTATTTTTTACGGACCCCCATTCTATATATACCAATTTATGTGCGTAACCAAGGGAGAGGGATAATGTTTCATTTTGGATTTAAAATACATCAACACAAACGACATTAATGTGTCGGATCAATTTCTTACAAGCAAACTCGTATGCCCAACTCTACAACAACGAACTAATAATAATGTATACTTGGATAGTCTCTCTCAATTAACTTAACTGGGTTTCACGCATCTTTCCTGCATCAACGGGGCTCAAATGACCTTGGCAAAATCGCACAAATTCTCGACTGGCGATAACTCAATAACGCATTCAACCAATTATTACCCAAAATGTAGCTCTGTGGCCGAGATCTACCTCACAGACCCTGAAAGCAACGATTGTCTACCTACAATCTACATTACAACAATTTTTTTCCCTCCCATTATTGAGGTCTCGTAACAACTACCATTTACGATTATAAATGTCCATGTAACAGTGGATATACGTTAAATGTATATATTTCAAACTCAACATTGCTGCGGACCCCCTATGTAGTCGTCACGTCAACGTACCCCAGTTTGGGAAACCCTGGATCAGCGTATTAATATGGGTCGTTTCTTTTTAATGTATCTTCATTTCCTAACAATAAGATTATATTTTTCAACTTTATTTTATCAAATCGTTCAAATTGATTTTCTCACATCTTGCATATATTTCTGAGAATTTTAGAGTAACTTGTCAAAAAGTTCTTTGCAAATAAAATCCAGCGTTTTTTTATTATAGATATACAGTATTATTAAACAGTAGTTGTACCGTAAATAGATACTGCGGTCGTACACTGTTGGTTTGTACAACATGGTGTATGACAGTCATCAGTTAGCAGAGGTAAATCCTCATTACTCCTCAAATTCATTTGATATTGTTTGTAAAGTTTGTAAAACTGTAAAGTTTGTTAACCGGGATCTGCTTCTGTTCTATTAGCAATTTGGTAAATTCAAGATATACTTCTTCCTATTGCTTCCCCGTGTCGTAAATCCGCACAGAAAATATTCAAAATCAATGAGGCAACGAAGTTTGCTGATCCTTTCTTCAAATATAAACTACTCTAACTGCACCCTTATTATTATTATTATTGATTATCTATTTAGACATACCGTACAAACCATATATATATATAAACAATATGAACTACCAAAGTGGAATTCTGGTTAAATAAATGGATAAAAAATTTTGAACCAAGCATAAAGTTCGGAAATAATTGCGGATTGAAAGTAAACAGTGACAGTAAATGAGAACACTCATTTTTTTTATTTGGCTGGGTTTTATTATTTTATATACCTTGTGTATTTATTCGGGTCAGCGCAAGTCTTTTTAGCAATCAGACAGTTCTGGCACAGTTTGGTATTCTGAATACTCGTTCTTCCTATTGTAACTGGTCTCAGAAACAGTCAAAAAATAAAGATTTTTTCAGGGCTACACGAACTCTATACCATTTTTTCATTAAATTGATTCTTATAGTTTGATGTGTGTGCATATCTGTGCATCCTTCCTATCCGGCCCGATTCCATTACTTATAAGTAAAGATACGCTCATAGAATATACACATTGACACGTATATTCTAGTAATCACAAACGGGAGATTCAAAACAATCGCTCCATGCAGCTGGTATATGGGAAGGTGGACGACGAATCCCAACCTTGTCGAAGTACTTTGGAACTTCCACAGCAAAAGTATGACCGACTGAAATAGTAATATACCAAAGTAACAGTGGCGTGTGTCACTAGCATTAATTATTTAACAGTAAACGTACGCTAAATTTTCATGCATAGAACGAAGGACTGATAGATAAAGAGCTTAAAAATAGGTGAGTGAAGGAACGAATCGAAAAAAATTGGGAACCACTGCCATATAAAGTATCATACAAAATCATTACATTACCTATGATTTATTTTCCCTCGTGAAAGCCAAGCAGTGGTAATGTATATTAAACGCTCAATGCAAGGCCAGCGCTCCTTAAAGCAATAACTTTTTTACTTTAAGAGTTGCAATGGCTATTATAACCAACAGCAAGACATTGGTTCATTGTCATGAAGCACAAAATCTAAAATACAAGCAAAATAATATAACCTACCGTGACTGAAAAGATATTTGACTTTTGCGTTTTGTTGAGAAAGTAATACATTTTCGGCATATCTCTCCATTCTTCTTATATATTTTGAGTACAACTCTATAGATAACTTACGATCGAAACCGTACCATTTCATAATATCTAAATTATATCTCGGTTTTCCAAACACTCGTACCAGAATCTGTATAAAATATAATAACAAGGAAACAGTTACTTCTCAAACATAAAAAATGGTAAAACAGTTTCAAGTCTCTATACATATTAAATATTCATAACAACCTACTTAATAAAAGTGATTAATTAAAAAAAATCAGTTAAATTGTAATTTCCACGTGATACAAAAACGAACACCAGATTCGGGTTGGCAAATTTTTGACTCCAACCCCAAGTCTACCCTCGGAGCAAACTAATTTTTTCGGTGAATCATGTGGATTTTACGTTAATCACGTTTTTATACAGTTGCTGCTGAAAATATATTAAATATAACCAATAAATGTAAATTTCTCTACTACCTACCCGCCAAGCACCGCGTTCCTCCGGACGTAAAATATCACATATAACCACGTCAAGTGTGAATCCAAGATATGTGTAAGCAGCAAAAAACTAAAAAAAACATATGAAAAACATTTATAGATTCTGATCTAACGAGAGAATTCATCAGATACAGAATAGAAAATTTTTGTCACACTGTTATAAACCAATTCATAAAATTGTGCCAAATCATAACTTGTTTGTATCGAGTCCTGGCACACTGTAGATATGCGAGTCACACGCGGATTGGTGGTAATTTTTATGTATAACCATTAGCATTACTATGAGCTTAACGACACGGGGTTGTGGAGTCATTGAAATTTTACACTTGACTTCGACTCCAGACCATTTAAAAATGACTCCTTCTCAGTTTCCCGAATCCTGGTTGAGAGAAAAAAAGACTCCGAATCCCATTTTCGAGGAAATTCCAAATCCTGCAAACCAAATTCTAAAGACAATAACTTTAGCTTGTGGAAGCCTTTTTTAATTGTCTGTTCAGAAAGCTTAGCCAACTTGATGCAATTTTTTAAGTTGGTCGACATTTTTGAGGATAGTTCTGTACAAAGAAGATTGTTAGACTCTTCGTCGTCGTGTGGTGGTTCACGTAACCGCTTACCGGTTACGGCGTCCACCATCAACATGTCCATGGACTCAATACCGAATAACAGAAAAAAATTGAGTTACCATGTTTTCAACCCTCTTTCCCCTTCGGTGATTCGGAGGCCAAACATATTCCCATGAAGTATTGACAGGTTTATCGTTAATTTTGTACATGTCTGCATGAATTATAGCAATTTCCGCTTCTCCGGAGGGGACAGCCTGCCCAGAATTTATTCCCGATCCAGCACCGACAAAGCTTTCAGTTGTGGTAGTAGTACTAGCCATGGTTGTAGTCGTACTTGCTGTACCAGCCCTCGTAGAGGTACTAGTCTTACTAGGCAAGGTTGTTGTCGTGCTAGTTGTACTAACGCTTGTCGATGTACTAGGCAAGATTGTAGTCGTGCTAGTTGTATTAGCAGTTGTCGAGGTACTAGTCGTACTAGACAAGGTTGTAGTCGTACTAGTACTCGTCAAGGCACTAGGTAATGTAAAAGTCGTATTATAGGACGCACTGGCTGTGGTGAAGCCTGCAATCGTGGTGACATTTCCCTGTCAATACAATAGATTAGAACGTTGTATTATGTGATGCCGTTGTAGAAAATGATTCAGTGCTAACGCGAATTAGTCCGGGAAATTAATTTTATTTTCCACAAGTTTGAACTCGTATTTAAGCTGCGAAATGTTTGTATAATGAGTTGAAGTCAAAATACAAACTGTATATAAATACAATTTTATTATAAACCAATAGTTTACTTACTATCGAGGTTGTAAAGTTACGGATATTCGAAACTTCAGCTGTGGGTGGGAATATAAGGTCAGTCAGGAAAGGAATTTGAATACCTAGAAGAAGAGAGCATTGCTTATATATGTATATATATATATAGGACAAATGACATAAGGAGGCCTGTCAATGGATTAAAATTTCAACTCATAGCCCCCCACAGGAAAACAAATCTGAGCACAAAATATTTAGCGTATGTAAGTCCTCTCTAATTAGCCGTGATAAAATGATCATTATTAAGTCTGAAATTTTGACAAATTCAAAACTGCTTCTGCGACTTCGACTTCGGAAATTTAATTGAAGGAAAATCCCCGACTCCAATATTGATAAAATTCCGATTCCACAGCTTTACCATCCGATGTCTTGCTCGTAGTCTATAGAAGATAACCTTCCACTAGGCCAACTTTTATATGAGCCTGGGCTGTACTTACTAACGTACACGTACCTGCAAATACTAAACCAACGAGAGTTCCAATGAGTAGAACCAGTACCATGAATATAATAAGTGTACAAATCCGACAGCGACGAACTGTGAAAGTATGATCAAATTATGAAATACAGTGATATAATAGCACTAAAAAATCCAACTACTAAATGAAAATAAATCAGGGGTCGGCAAACTTCATCCTATGTGGGCTGGATATGGATCATTAATAACCTAGAAGAAAATTGAAAAAATAAAAAAAATAAAAAAAAATTTCAAAGATAAATAAACAGAATTAGAGAGTAAAGGATGGGAACAAAAAGGGAAAAAAACTGTGTATATTGTACATATTACTACGTTACAATACCAATCAATAAAGCGAAAGAATCACTTCGTGTGCGACCAGCAGGTCATGTTTCACAGTCTTTCAGACTATGTCAAGAAATGTCAATGGAATTATAAAATAATTGTACCGAATGTCCATGAACTGGCATACAAGCTAAATTTGGTGTGAAATATCGGACTTTAATAAAAGTAATAAATATCTATTTAGCAACTTCTTCCAACCAATCGAATTGAGCCTAATACTAGAAAAGGATAAATCCGCACGTGCTATTTCTTGCTTTGTTTTCTTTTTACGTAAACTTTCCTCGTCATCGCTAGAATCGCCATATTCACTGTAATAGATATCGTCAGAACCACTACTGTCATCTGCATCATCATTATCATCCACTCTTTTTGGTAAATTCTGAAAAAAAGACTTATCTACCTTAATCATTTTGGCAACGAAGTTGATTAGCTATCTATTTGATATATGGAAATATATAAATAAACTCGCAGTGTTCTGAGGGACGCTCCAGAAGTGTGTGTACCAATATGGAGGTAACTAATTTTGTTCGCCTATACTTTACATCAAGTTGTGTACGGAGACTGATTACTATGGGCATGAGTTGTATTCACTTGGCTAACACAGACAGTCCCAGCAACTCGTAATAGAACTAAAATACGGAAATCGGAATAAAATAATGCACAAACCTAACCTGGTACGCATACTACGGGAGTACCTTTTAAGAGTGTAAGAGGGTATACTGAACTATAGATACATCGTTCAAGATGCCCAAAATTCCATACACAATGTACTTGTACACATTAATATAAGCTTGCCCAACAATTGAACGTTCGTGTAAAAAGTCCATTAATAGCAGACTGATGTAAAGCGAAGTTATAAGTGTGTGGAAGTCCAGGTTAAGCATTTTCAACTTGTTGCACCTCCGAGGTCATGTTCTTCTGTCTATTTTATCCGAACAAATATTTGCAAATGCAGACTGACTCCATTAACTTACATTTAGGAAATGAATCATCTTGTGCTTTTTAACTTTGATAAGATTTTTGCCGACTTTGTGGCTGTTGTCAATTTCATTAATATCCGTAAAAGATAGAAAAGTTGTTGAACTGACATCGGATTTTTGTCGTTCTGAATATCAAATGCCAAGGTGAAGGATAAATATATGCTTTCCTATTTTAACATATAGTAATCTGGTTATATAGGCCTATTTTAGTTATTTTATACTGCATATTGTATATTTCATATGCAATTATTTTGTAGGCGTATTCTTCTTTAATTAAATGAAACGGCATATTTTTGGTAAAATATCAGGTCCTCTCAGGACTCAATTTGAAAACTTTCTTTCATTTTATTGTACTGAAAATTTGGAATCGATTGGTTATAAGCGGCTAAGAAAAGTGCAAAAGCATCTTAACAACAACAATCATACTAACAAAGGCAATACAGCAAAACCATACATTTCGTGAGCAATACAAAATAAACACACACCAGATTTTTTAAGCTTTGATTTCGGTTTGTGTAAACTATCGTCGTCTTCATCATGAATATTTGGTTGTTTGACCATTTTATTTCTATTTTTCATCTAAACAGGAATTTCGAGTATAAATTTAATAACGACAAGGATATGTATGTAAGCGATAAAAACTTTTCTCTATATTTCTCAACGCACTTTCAAAAAATGCTTCATATTATGAGATTTGACTTTTTTTTGCTTGTCAATGCCATCACTAGCAATTTCATTGGTAGTCATAATCGAGTCGGGAAATGCAGAACTGGTGCCATTCTTTGTTTCCTCTGAATCAGCCCTTTTGCTCCTCTTTTCCATCTTGAAAAGTTTTATAAATATATATTTAATAAAAATAGAATAATTTAATAGTGAACAAAAACTCCATTTTGAGTTTAACCTTCAAAAAATGCTTCATATTATGAGACTTTTTACTGCGCTTGTCGATACCGCTGCTATCAATTTTATTCGTATCCATAAATGCTGAAGAGGTAGTTGGATCGGCACCAACTTTCGGTTCATCATTTCTATTATTACTATCCTTTACATCACCATCATCGAGATTTTTTGGCGGCAAATCCAAGATAGGTGAATCATCTCTTTCGTTCCACTTTTTCATCTTAAAATTTTTTATGAACATATATTTAATGAAAGATGTATAATTTAGTAGTGAGCAAAAATTCCATTCTTGAGTTTTACCTTCAAAAAATGCTTCATATTATGAGATTTTTTAATGCGTTTGTCGCTACCTTCGCTATCAATTTCATTCGTATTTATAAACGCTGAAGAGGTAGATGGATCGGCGCCATCGTTCGGTTCTTCTGCAAATCAATTAAAGTCTATGTAAACAACAATTTTAAATGTGTGAAATGGCAAAGTCAAAGCACACATTGCGTATAACATGTGATTTATTAAATGTGAATTTATGTTTCATTGTGCGATATTCAGTGTAAATATATGTTACACATGGAATCATATGAATAGCATGTGAAAATTATTTTGGTTAAAACTTAAAGAAGTGAGTCCACTTAGAACAAGGGTCGGCAAACTGCGCCCGCAAACTAATTTTTTGCAGCCCCCGAACGACTTCAATGCATAAAACAAAAATTTATCCTATATGTATCGTCTCCACATGGCTTTATGTGGTAACAAGTTCTGCTGTACATGTGCTTGTTTTGTAGCAAGTAGCGTTAGTTGTAAATCGTGTACTTGATGAACGTCCCATCGATGGTTGTAATTGTAAGTTAAGTTTATTTATGATTTTCAAAATTTAGAAATGTCTGGAAAATGGAGGGAAGTTTGCGACGAGGGTCGACCATTCCAAAATGCTTAAAAGAAAAAATCTTGTAGTCCGTGAGACGAGGCCCTGAAAAACGCCTGGAAAGTGAGTTTCGTAGTGCACATCTGGGAGTGGGGACTATAAGTTATATATATAAATTCTCTAGTTTTGTATGAAAATGAACATACTGAACGCATCATAGCTTGTTCACTAACGAAAGCTGCACATTTTCTGTAAAACATGCTCCAAAAATCCCGATACAAAATTTGGATATTAGGGGATTCCACGAAAATCAATAATCATAGGTTTACAACGATACAGCATGAAAAACTTTCATTTTATAGAAGCCATCAAACGCATCAATTTTATGCGTTGAAGTCACAAATTAACACCGTGAGCATAAAAACACAAGTAAATCGGTTAAAATCTTGATGCAAAATTGGGGATTCCCCGGAAAATCAATAACCATAGGTTCACAACAACACAACAACTATGCAATTCAAAAGCCCTGCTGCACACTAACACAAATGTATTTCTGTAACATTTCGTCTGACCAAAATCAGACTTCCCCAGACAAGCAGTTTACAACAAAGAACAGCATAAGAAGTTGAATTTATTTAATAGAAGCCATCAAACGCATTAATTTTTAGACAATAAAGTCACAGATTAACGTAGTGAGCACGAAAACACAAATTAATCGGTTATTTCTCAGTGAGAAATTTACCGAAAACGTCAATAAAACTAATTTGAATACAGTGTGTTCATAACATAGTGAACAGAAATATTACAATTTGTCTTTTTTCCGTTTATTTGGTTTTGTATTTGAAACACAGGCAATATTAATTTTAAAAACAGGACTTCCGACAATAACAGATGTCTGAAAAAAAATAATATTTAATTAAAAAACTTCAATATCTATTTCACTTTCCTATGAATTCTCAAAAATCGACTTTTCCTCTATAAGTGTACTGTGGTTTTTGCAGTCGACAAAAAAATTCTGTGCAATTTAGGTTGTTTTTGGCACACATGCAGAAATTATTTGCCAACTATTTTTCTTACACTTGCAGTTTGCCAACTCAAGAACTGATTTAAGAGCTGGAAGTAGATCCAACAATATAACCCGCAAAACACGATCATCAAAAACCCATCCATGGCCAATAGGTGGGTGAATATTTGGATTTGGTTCCAGGCAACAGGGATGAATTCAGTATCTAAAATGAGGAATAAAATCCTTTATGAAACAACATGAGTGTTTTTCGACAAATAAAAATTCCATTAAGTACTGACTAATACTTCTTATACAAAATGCATTTTATCTGATGTACTACAGTCCTGCAGTGTTTGCATACTAGACTATATCTACACTTATCTAGATTCTAGATAAATCACACAGTCTGGAATGCCCTGTATTTTTTAGAACATCAACTGTCAGCCTACAACTTGATACATGATTTCTCACCTCTCAATCGCTTCATTTCTTTCAACTCCTGCATGACTTATCATTGCTGGCTACATTCTTGTCGATTTTATGAATTTGGAGCAACTGACATCCGTAAAATTGGTTATTTCGCCATCTTCCTTACAAATGTGCATCAAAAATCGGTCATTATTTTCTGAATCAAATATGCTGTAGCGTAGCCTATATAGTAGTATAAGTCGGCTGAATATTCAAGAATCGTCATTTATTTATTCATGAACCTCCCATACAAGCATGAAAATACCGTATCGTTGTTTGTGGCACATCTTTCTAGGTCTAGCCTTTCTTGAAGTTCCGCACCGTACCTATTTAACAACGTTATATGAGCTAGCGCTCAACTAAAATTGCTATACATGGTAAGGATCTACTACTGTTTAATACCTTACTTATACTTTTTAACACCGTCTTAGCATAACTTAACTGATAATAACTAAATTAGACAAAGGAAAGACTACCCAACTCAAAGCAAGAGCGGACAGTACAAACTGAGATTCATCTGCCCACCCCAACAGCTGATCAAATTTTAATTGTTACGTCATGCAGAAGTCTGCGATCATTGGCCAATGTTGCCGGAAACGCAGAGAATATAGGACAGATGGTAGCACATATTTCTTGTAGTAAAAGCGTCTCTTTGTAAAACGTGCAACTTTTGGAAATGGGAACAAGGTATTATTTATTACTAAATTTTGACATCATTTCCCCTTATGTGCGCTGCGAAACTGAAAAATATACGGCCTCGTCTCGCGACCTATTGTTTTTTCTTGCGCATTTTAAAACCAGTTAGCTTGATAGGCCAAGTCAGCATCGCGATTATTAAGGAATTTAATGTTAAACGTGTCATTGCAAATACGAAATTCGACTCCTGGATGCGCCACTGCTCATCTGTGCGACATTGCAAAACGGGTAATCTGCACTTCGAACATGTATTGACGTGAGCAGCTTCGTCTAAATTACACTAAAAATAAATTTCGTACTCGCTCGTCAGATCGCCATATGGACGACGTACTGCGAGGCAACAGCTTTGGCCAGGACACAGAAACAACATCATCCTTCCCATAGTGAATAAAATCAAAGTATATAAATAAAAGCAAAGTATTGTTTGATAATATATATACAGTATAAAAAGGCCATCTACACGTCTCATTGTGACAGGCTTTTAGCACAGCAATAGAAGGTTCGAGTGCGCCATAATTTGGAGGTAAATGTGGCGATTATTCATTGGCAAAATATAATGCGGCCCGCACGCTACCGGAAAAGTGGATGTTCGGACCGCAAGTACATCAAGTTTGCCGACCACCGACTTAGAATTATAACAGATAAGTGAATTGCTTCGGGAATTTTTTTGTCGTACTACTTCTACTACTACTACAGTAAAGAAGAGAAACACACACCCGCTCCTTTTAGCATTTCCTTCGGTTTGTGGGGAATTTGGCCATCTTCCTTATCATCATATCTATTATTAATACCATTCACATCATTATCATCGACATATTTTGGCAAATCCAAGATGTGTGAGTTATCTGTTTCGTTCCTCTTTTTCATCTGAACATTTTTCATTATTATATATTTAATGAAAGATGTATAATTTAGTAGTAAACAGAAATTCCATTCTTGAGTTTTACCTTCAGAAAATGCTTCATATTATGAGACTTTTTACTGCGTTTGTCGCTACCTTCGCTATCAATTTCAGTCGTATTTATAAACGCTGAAGAGGTAGATGGATCGGCGCCATCGTTCGGTTCTTCTGCAAATTAAATAAAGTCCATAAAAACAACGATTTTAAATATGTGAAATGGCAAATTCAAAGCACACATTGTGTGTTACATGTGAAGTTTATGTAGTGTTGTAGCACACATTGTGTGTTGCATGTGAAGTTTATGTAGTGTTGTGCGATATTCAACGCAATTATATGCTACACATGGAATCATGTGAATATCATGTGAAAAAAAAAATTTTGTTTAGAACTTGAAAAGTGAGTCCACTTACAATTATAACAGATCAGTGAATTGCTCCAGGGATTTTTTTGTCGTACAACTACAACGGTAAAGAAGAAAAACACACACCCGCTCTTTTTGACATTCCATTCGGTTTTTGGGGAATTTCATCATCTTCTTTATCATCATAGCTATTATTACTATATTTCACATCATTATCATCGACACTTTTTGGCAAATCTGAAGTATTTGAGTCATCTCTTTCGTTCCTCTTTTTCATCTTAAAATTTTTTATGAATATGTTAGGGATAATTCAGAAATGAAACAAAATTCCTATATTTCTCATCTTACCTTTAAAAAATGCTTCATATTATGTGACTTTTTACTGCGCTTTTCGCTACCAATTTCATTCGAATCTACAAACGCTGAAGAGGTAGTTGTACCAGCGTCATCGGTCAGTTCTCCTGCAAATCAAATAAAGTGAAGGCCATATGAAAAACAATTTTAAATGTGTGAAATGTCAAACTCAAAGCACACATTGCGTGTAACATGTGATTTACTAAATGTGAATTTATGTGCCATTGTGTGATATTCAATGTAATTATATGTTACACATGGAATCATATAAATAGCATGTGAAAAACATTTTGGTGAAAACTTAAAGAAGTGAATCCACTTAGAATTATGACAGATCAATGAATTGCTTCAGGGATTTTTCGCCGTACAACTACAGCAGTAAAAAAGAGAAACAGTTACCTGCTCTGTCATCTTCTCCACCATCATATCTATCATTACTATAATTCACATCATTATCATCGACACTTTTTGGCAAATCTGAAGTAGGTAAGTTATCTCTTTCGTTCCTCTTTTTCATCTTAAATTTTTTTATGAATATGTTAGGGATAATTTAGTAATGAAACAAAATTCATATATTTCTTAACTTACCTTTAAAAAATGCTTCATATTATGTGACTTTTTACTGCGCTTTTCGCTACCAATTTCATTCGAATCTACAAACGCTGAAGAGGTAGTTGTACCAGCGTCATCGGTCAGTTCTCCTGCAAATCAAATAAAGTGAAGGCCATATGAAAAACAATTTTAAATGTGTGAAATGTCAAATTCAAAGCACACATTGCGTGTAACATGTGATTTACTAAATGTGAATTTATGTGCCATTGTGTGATATTCAATGTAATTATATGTTACACATGGAATCATATAAATAGCGTGTGAAAAACATTTTGGTGAAAACTTAAAGAAGTGAATCCACTTAGAATTATGACAGATCAATGAATTGCTCCAGGGATTTTTGCCGTACAACTACAGCAGTAAAAAAGAGAAACAATTACCTGCTCTGTCATCTTCTCCACCATCATATCTATCATTACTATAATTCACATCATTATCATCGACACTTTTTGGCAAATCTGAAGTAGGTAAGTTATCTCTTTCGTTCCTCTTTTTCATCTTGAATTTTTTTATGAATATGTTAGGGATAATTTAGTAATGAAACAAAATTCATATATTTCTTAACTTACCTTTAAAAAATGCTTCATATTATGTGACTTTTTACTGCGCTTTTCGCTACCAATTTCATTCGAATCTACAAACGCTGAAGAGGTAGTTGTACCAGCGTCATCGGTCAGTTCTCCTGCAAATCAAATAAAGTGAAGGCCATATGAAAAACAATTTTAAATGTGTGAAATGTCAAACTCAAAGCACACATTGCGTGTAACATGTGATTTCTTAATTGTGAATTTATGTGTCATTGTGCAATATTTAATGTAATTATATGTTACACATGGAGTCATATGATTAGCATGTGAAAAAATTTTTGGTTAAAACTTAAAGAAGTGAATCCACTTAGAATTATAACAGATCAATGAATTGCTTCAGGGATTTTTGCCGTACAACTACAGCAGTAAAAAAGAGAAACAATTACCTGCTCTGTCATCTTCTCCACCATCATATCTATCATTACTATAATTCACATCATTATCATCGACACTTTTTGGCAAATCTGAAGTAGATAAGTTATTTCTTTCGTTCCTCTTTTTCATCTTAAATTTTTTTATGAATATGTTAGGGATAATTCAGTAATGAAACAAAATTCATATATTTCTTAACTTACCTTCAGAAAATGCTTCATATTATGTGACTTTTTACTGCGTTTTTCGCTATAAATTTCATTCGTATCTATAAACGCTGAAGAGGTAGTCGGACCATCGTTCGGTTTTTCTGCAAATCAAAAAAAGCAGGCCATATGAAAAAAAATATGTTGGTTGTCATATCTCAAGCAAGTGGACCGCAAAGCGTGTTGTATATGAAATTACTTTTGATTCCACGAAGTACATTTAAGTCCACCACCATTCTCCACAGTTATTTTAAACAATGCCAAAATGTTTTATGCCCGATCTATTAGGTGTAAATATTCATTTCACTCATTCAGCTCAAATTCAGTGAATTCGAGTTTCGGAATATTCAAGGACAACTGACATGAAAAAAACTCAGTCAGCTCGGGTTCGAGCCACGAAAAAGTATGTTGTTTGAAATGTTATAAAGATAATTCGTTTGACTTTACTCAATTCTATTCATGTGTATATCGCATAAGTTTGATTATAAAGTAGATGGCGCAATTCAAAGTGTGGCATTTTTAGAAAATTTTGGCAGTACGACAAATGCAGTAAAAACTCATACCCATTTCTTTTTGATCTTCTTTCGGTTTGTTGAAACTTTCATCGTCATTACATTCAATACTACTACTACTATCGTCATCCAGACTTCTTGGTAAATTCAAAGGTGACTTCGCCATATTGTTTCTTTTTCTCATCTAAATAAATTCTTACGAATGCTTATTCAATAAAATGAAATGAACGATAAAGAATTACCATATATTCAGTAACTTACTTTCAAAAAATGCTTCATATTGTGAGATCTAACTTTAATACGTCTGTCGTGATTGTCAATTGTATCTGTGTCATCAGTATCTATAAAAAGAGTGAGAAAATGTCCGACTGGCGTCATTTTTTTTGCTTCCTACGAATATCAAATGGCGTAAAAACCGCAGGCGTTACATATATCAAAAGTGAAAGTAGAACAAATGTCAAGATCCATGCACATAATGCATATGTATAGGATAGCAAGCGAGAAAGTAGAATGCATTCATCGTCACAGGGTGCCAAATTGCAGTCTCATATTATATTATTTTTACGTGACGCCAACGCTGATCTATGGAGGTGTGTTTTTAAAGCTTGCATTGGAGAGAGAAGGGGAGGAGGGATACGGCCCAAAACAGTTTGGGATATAGAGATACTCGTTTCACAGGTGCAGGATCCTTTTGTTTTAGAATAATTTGCTGTTTTTCTAAATACGGGAGATGTGATGGGCGTCGGATGACTAATGAAGTAAACAGTGTTTTAGGCAGGGCATACAAGAACACACATGTAAGAGTTAGACAACTGGTATAAAAGCTCGGTAAGCTGAAATGCGAGACACTTCGGGGTATATAGAAGATTCTCCTCTGTCGAGTCTAGGCATTTACTAACAGACTACTCTGACGTGATTCTGTGAAGCCGTTATAGTTAAAATTATCATTTTCAATGAAAAAATATTGTTCTAAAACTACAAGAGAGCTATGCTCAAATATATGGACACGTAGCGTCACCCAGTGGGAATAATTTTGATGACGTCATAGCGAAAAAAAAGTAATAGCCTTCTGGAGAAAAATTTTATCTTTAACTACTGAAAATTTCAAAGCAATTGGTCCAGTATTCGAAGAGAAAAGCGATTTTTTTAAAATGGAGACGGAGACAAATAACAATAACAACAAAATTTTGAAACGATCGTTATGTCCACTTCGTGTCCAATAACATAAGCATAGAACCACGAACCCGCTTCATTCTGTCCTGCTTCCGATCTGTAGGAATTTTTTTCATCGTCGCCTTTTTTACCAACTCTAAACTGAATATCTCAATTTAAAAAAAGAATAATTCAAAAATAGAAAAATGGCAATATATATATATATATCAACTTACCAAAAATTGCAAAATATTGTGAAGTTTCCTCCTCATATCATGGCTGTCAATTCCATTAGTGTCTGTAAACAAAAGGGGGGTTGTTCGGTTGATTCTTTGGTTTTTCAAACTCCTTTTTCATTATAGTAAACCGATACCAATTAGGACTAGTGATCCCAGAAGGAAAAGAGGAATTGCGAAGACGGCGGGCATCGAAAGAATTATCAAATTCATAAAATCAAATCTGTAATTCATGCTGCAAAACGATGCTGTTGTGTGCATTATTTTAAAATAAAAATGAAATACCTACCGCAGCCTGCTGCAGAACTCCGTGGACCTAAATTGCCCTGAAAAACGACCACTGAACGATTGTTTCAAAGTCGTTCTTGTAAATGGAACTCCGACTCAATATGAAAAATCACATTAGCATAGCTCTAATTAAGTTGATTTTACTCTATTCGAAACGGCCAATAAACTCAAGACAAACGCGAATGAAAAAAGAGCAATTCAGCATACCGTTCAAAAATTGATCGATTTGCATGATTTATTGGCAATAATATGTGACATAAACAGTTTCCAAACATACATTGTAAAAGAGAATCATACAGAAATGTCAAGCATGAATGTTTTTTTATCATCGTGACCTAAAATTAAATTTAACTATTCAATATTGGTAAATTGTAATAATCCATTTCGCGAGACGAATATTGCCCGCATGATGTAGTTTGCCGACCCCTGTCTTACTGTATATATAATGAAAATACAAGTTGACAAGCCATCTACCTATACCCTTTCTTTTAACTTCTAGGTAAGAAAAAAGAGTAAGCACACAAACCAGTCTGTTTTGTTTTCTCTAAATGGTCACTTTCCTCGTCGCCATAGTTACCAGCACCATCATCAGCATCATCGTCGTCTCGTCTTGGCAAATCCAAAAGTGGTGATTTTACTGTTTCAACTATATTTTTCATATTATCTTTACCAACTCTCGTCTGAAAAAATTATTACGAGTTAAGATTTTACTAGAGAGAAAAAATATAGTAAGAGTTTATAAGTAGGCCTACATCGGCTCACCTTCAAGAAATCCAGTGCATCATGAGATTCAACGTTATTTAGGTCGTCAAGATCCCGGTCGTCAATTTCATTAGTATTCATAAAGGAGAGTGAAGTAGTTAGACCAACGCCGTTTTCAAATATTTCTAAATATATAATAAATTTAACACACACAACGATGCACAGTAATTTGAAAATATAAAAAATGTGATTTTAAATGCACAAAGTTTGGCCATCCATGTTGCAGTAGTTCTATGATGCACTATGTTCTACCTATGCACTAAAACCACTTTATTCGATCAATCTTTTATGAATTTTTATTCAGTGTTATGTGCAAGTCCCACTTGCGCTTTTGTAGGGTTTAATTAGTGTAATATTGTGTGCATACATAAGTATTATAGTTGTAATCAAGACCTATAAGATACTAATAAAACTACATAAAATACGAAGCAAAATTTTTCCGCAAAGTTTAGGCATTTTTCTATCTTCTATTCAGAACCATGATAACTACCAGAAATTGTTTGCTCGTTCAAATTAAAATCTTCATCATCCATTTCTTCTTTATAATAAACTTGATTAGGAATATCAACAACTCCTTCGAATCCATAATCGACACTCTTCGAATCGGGAAAAATATTTTTTGAAATTGGTACCCATTCGTAGATCAAAGGATTGCTGTTCACTCCTAAAGAATTTCAATTTTATTGAAACACATTAATTTGGAAGCAATTTAAGTTTGATTTTGTCTGAAACCTACTATTTATTTTCCACGTAACGGCTATAAATTTTGAGCTCTATATTTATATTATTAGCAACAAATAACAAATTAAAGAACACTTCATCACAAGGGCTCTATATTATACCGCCTTAGAAAATATAGATCTACATGCGTTAAAAGTGAATAACTACTCAATTAGCAACGAAATCTATGTGTCGAGTTTCTCTGCTGTGTAGACACAACTATTTCCTGTCTTTTATATAAAAATATTATGCTCTCACTTTTGAGTGGAAGAAGAGCTTTCTTGAGTGTCTTTTCCTCTGTTTTTCTCAAATCTTCTTTGTCTAATATTATTTCTTTCATGACCAACATTCTTGGATCTGGAGGTTCCTTCTCCTCTTGCTTCTTTTTGCCCTTTTTCTTTCCCATATTATTGGGTTATTTTATAATTAAACTATGGAATTGAAAACTATTTCCTCAAAAAAATATTAGATACGGATATCTCAACAAAAGTGGTCACTTTGGTCTAGAAATAAAAACAAGAATAAGATAGTTAGGATGAAATTTCCAACAAAACAGTTTTGTTCCTATTCCATCGAACAGTCGGGGAATCTCTACCAGATAATTCAAAATTAATAATTTTTATCCCTTTTTATTAATGCCACAAGATCTTAACAGCCCGATAAGATTTTCGCACATATTTCTCTCAATTTACCTCAGTAAATTAAAAGCATGTCTACGACATGATTGTAAATGAGAAACTCGGTAAAAACATGGCCGTGTTGTTTTTGACAAGATTCGCTGGAGTGTGCCACATGTTAATGTATTAAAGTGTTTACGGCGCTACAGAAGTCCGTGTACCAATATGGAAGTAACTAATTTTGTTCGACTACTTTAAATCAAGTTGTGTAAAGAGACTGAAACCTATGGACAGGGGGTATATTCACTTGGCTAACACAGACAGTCCCGAACTCGTAATAGAACTAAAATAGGGAAAATCGGAATGAAATTATGGCCCAACCCTAACCACGTACACACACTACGAGAGTACCATGTTTACAGGTTCTAAATAGAAAGTTGTTTGTCTGGCTAAATTGAATTCAAATTGGTGACGTGAATGTCATGGTTTTTTAAAACGTTGTTGAAAAATTAATCTTATGAACGCTTTGTTGTGGCGACGTGCGATCTTATAAGTTTGCGCAGCTATGGTAATATGTTACAGTTAGATTATCCTGATGTTATTATGGAGTAATTTTCAGAATTCAATAGTCTTTATTTCCCCTCATCATCGATGTATCTCTCCACGATACCAAATCAATTAGGATAGACTACTCAAAATCAAATGCCGTATAGTTTGTAGCTCATAGACTATATAGTTAACTTATAGCTCGCGTTGTTGCCCAAAAAAGATGGTTTCATTGGGTTTCATCTAAAATAACTTTTTACCTCATTATATGATCACTTCTAATGATATCTATACTATGGAAAACTACCCAACTAAAAGTTACCACAGGAACAAGCCTCGCAATCAGAAAAGATAAAGCGATGAGCGGAGATCTGTTCCATGAATAATGACTCGTGGAACTCATGCGTGAAACTTCCCATTGTTTTATCATAATATATATATATATTTTTTTAATGTTGTCGTTTGGCATATCATGCCAGATTTCACCGTCGACACTATGGGTGGCCGTACATTTGAACCCGTGTGTATACCCGCGGGTTCAATCTATATGCGGGTGATAAAACCCATGCGGCATGCGGCTCTCAACAACCTTTCCTGCGGCTCTTGTTGATTCTTTAAAAATTAATTACTTTTAAAGAAAATTTTTCATTGAAAACTAATCACTGACCTGAAATTAAAACTCGGAAGTCTATTTGTAAGTCGAATGAATTCCCCCGTGTTTATTAGCGTAGCGTTGACTAATTTACAAGATGCAATAGTGACGCAACAGTGAGCGTTTTCGCGGCCACTCGGACACTTTTCACTTACAAAGATTTTAGACATGGCTGTAATCATTGCCTTGCTTTCGTGGATTTTTAGTTTTTGTCGCATTTCCGAACATTATGTATAAATCAAATAACTGAATGATTATTTTAATTTTTAGAGCATTTTGATTTTGTTCCAACAATCGAAAATAGTCCCGAAATATCTGGTGATCATCTACAAGCTACTGCACCTTACATTCTCCACGATTACGACCCGCTTTGACAAACTTATTAGAAATCAAAGCCAAACTAAATGGCTGTTAGTCTAGGGTGGGCAAAATCGAATCTTATTTCGAATCGAATAATTTGAAAATTTTTAACGAATACCGAATAGTCGAATAATGAATATTTTTTATACATAACAGGGATCCAAAACGTCGGAGGTTGATACTCCATTTGGAAATTAATAGAAACATTGAAAAGTCGGCAATAAAGCGTTTTTTTACTGGTTAATGCTTAATTCCATCATAATCGCTGATTGTCTTTGTCACCGCGATCGTTGCGGCGGCGATATCCTGAAGTTGGTATTCTATATTCCCGACCTTTTTTGCAAGAATAATGGGTCGGCGGATATCGAAGTTTCATATTTCTAGTATACCCTTGCGTTCACATCAGCGACAGCTGTTGAATACATTAAGGGCTGATTTCAAAACCAAATTAATTTTATTCTGAGTTTTATTCTCTGCCTTGGATTTGATCTTCCTTATCACCGCTTGTCAATCAACTGTGCCTGTTTAAAGTGAACGGTAACCGAGACCGGTAAGTGAGTTTCTCGTGCTTTTCTGTGGTGTTCGTGTTATTTTAGTATTAGATAGATAAACCTAGCAAATTTACGATTGCGATTCGTGATTCGCAATTCGTGAACGAATCAGTGTGCATTGTTACAACGAAATTCACAATTGATTTTACGTTCTAATCTTGGCTCAACGGCCATGCATGGTCGAGTAAAATGTTTACATATTCGAAACATTACTTGGCCAAGGATGGAAGGGATCACTAAAGAGCTAATACAAAGTGTTTAGGGAGTAGGACATGACATTTCTTATCTGGTTACAACTTATTGAGTGTTTTTCATACAAATAACTCATACCAGCTTTTGGAAAAACTTTTGATCATTTTTAAAAATACATGCTATTTATATAACTAGAGTTTTCTAACGACCTAAAATCCCCTTTTTCATTATGAAACGCCAAAAAGTCATTTTAACATTTAATTTTAATCAACTTTATGTTCGGTAATGCAAGAAATGGCTAATGACATGTCACCGAGCACGCGGAGTTTAAAATCAGGGAAATATATTTTAAATAACTAATTTGGTTTGACGTTTCTAAATTTACGGAACGGTCGGTACGTTTTTTTTGCAAAATATGGAATTGAAACGATACGTTAAGTGCAAAGATAAGCATATAACACCATACCGCAAAGACAACGAACGACTTTTCAAATTTGTCTTTTTTTTCTGATAGTGAACGCCGTTGGGAAATCTCGCACAATTCACGATTGAGTTGGAGACGCGCGAGTTCGGTGCCCAAGCAGAGCGGCGCAGGTCACGTGGTACCGGATATTCGAATAGTAAAAGGCCATTCGAATATTTTATTATTCAAATATTTTGCCCAGCCCTAGTTGTTACGTGTGTTGTTGTTACGACGACTTGGAATTTTAAATACGCGCTTAAGGTTTATTGCTATTTTACCTTGCGTTGTTTGTGTGCGGCTCTTCATAACTTTGAGGTTTGAAATGCGGCCCTGGGACTAAAAAAGTTTGAGAACCACTGCTATAAATGGTCGATGATTGTCATAATTTAGTTCTGCTTAGATAGGTCCAACGACTAACATATCGAATAGGCCCTCACATCGCCGTTCTATTCCAAACAATTTTTCCGAAATTAAAGCCTTGGCTTGGGTTTTCATTTACGCCCTCCTTTCTACCTTGTTTCCAAAAAACGTTTGCGATCACTATTGTTACTTAAAAGTTAAAACTAGATAAACCAAATTCTTTTAGAGAGCATGTCTGTTGATGAACGGCTAGCTATTGTTGACTGGCCATGATCTGCGATTTATAGGTTCTATATGAGATGTCAATACAGGAGGAGTTGAATACCCTTAGTCGACATTTGGAGGAGAAGAATTTCATAAATGAAGACGCGTAACGTCTGTGAGCAATTTTAAAGCTAAAAGTCAGTTTTAACAATCCACTTGGTATCGGTTCGCATGATTCAATAAGCCGTCTAAACGAGAGGCTTAAAGCCTGTAAATCAGTCGCCAAGTGAGACAAGTATATTGACATGTTTAAGTAAAGTAGGTGGTGTGGGTTGAATTAATCATTCATCAATAACCATGGTTGTAAACAAGTATTCAAACTTGAATATTAAGTACAGCTATAAAAAACGTACTAAATTACTCAGCAGGAGGTGGGCAAGTAGCTTAATTACCATTTGACCAGATTTTGATAAGCCTACAGGTCGGCGTTCTCTTGAAAACAACTGTGTAAAACTCGACGAGAAAACAGTTACAGCAGTTTGATGCTTTGTTGTAGTTTTTGCAGCTGGCGAAATCTTGCATATATACATGCGGTATGGGTCATCATTTGGTTGTATGAGAGGAAAATATATCGCGTGATTGGATGTACTTATTCATAGCCCGCATATATTTAATATATATATATATATATATCTGTTCTCATTTATTTGTATAGTGCAAATAACGGGCGTCACAGTTTTGGATTGTAACTTAATGTTGTGCAGTAAATATAAACTTGCTACAATCTCATAGCAGTACATAAGCGCACTGTCGATAATATATGTTGTCAGCTGGTGTCTTATAAGTTCCGACAGTAGAATGGCGATGGATGCGAGCGTTCACTGTTTTATATATTTTATCAAGCATACTATAAATTTGACTGAGAAAATCTATTTTGAGAAAATATATTTCCGCAACAGGACAAAATATATTTGCGTTCGTAAAGTAAAGTCATACTCACACAAATTCGGACGTCCGCAACAATCGATTCATCAGAATTGTTCTTAAGTCATATTGACATCAAATGATATTGGATATTGTAGATAATGTAATGTTATCTTGATTGACAAATCAAAAAATTATAAATTGGGGATAAACTTCATTCGTTGAATAAATTCATCTGTGCTATAGCACAACAAAATAGACAGAACAATGTATATATTGTCGCTCCAAAACTGCCTCAGTAAGGAGAAAAAACACTTTGTGCCAAGTACCAGATATGTTTTATAATTTCTTTATCGTTATATATATTGAAATGTATCCAATCTTATTAGCCAAATAAATAACGTCGAAGAGCCAACAGATGGGGTTATGTCAGTTTGGAGATGTTTAGCATAGGACACCCTCAATATACGAATAGATTTGGTATTCTAGTTTTAAAAGTGTAGTAGGTAGGAATTAACAAGTCATGTTGACCTTGTATTTTTCAAATTTAACATACACGATGCAGCGGAACATAATTGCAATTTGGTGCATGAATGAGAATACGTTTTCGACAGCGTCAGAGTGTAGCCACCCGTTAGGGAATGCCCCAGATATGTGATCAAACTATCAATTTACCCGCACAATAGGGTAGAGTGGCAATAGAGTGTATGGTATCGCCAGTCAGAGTCATGATTATTGTTGAAATACACGCATAAGGCTTAGTGAGTCTCTTATCTTACGCTTGGCATTCATCTGTAGCCTACTGTCTGTTTACAAGTGAAGTCACAGAAGTTGTTGTTTTATTTAGTAATGTTGGTGAGAATATATATCAGATGGTTATTTTAGTACATTTCCATTAGAACCAGTAGGACGTTTTTAGAAGATACGTTCAAAAAGCCTCTCGTCGCCGAGTGTAATAAGCAGGGGTACTTATTAGAAGGTGGGTTCTTCAACCTTAGCTACTACGGGTAATATAAACCAGCCTCATCAAATTGGCTACGCAATATATTCTCCGGGTATGCTGTATCGGAATTGCTCCAACTTTTCGAAGATTTGACAAAATTTTGGAATTGACCGACGTGAGAAAATTGACCCGGTCGGGATCACCATAAAAATAGAACGCACATCTTGAACATGGCGGTATCTCTCCAATATGATCCTGCCAGAAGTATATATATATATAACGTGCAATATTATGTTACAAAATATCCATACATTGTAAACTTTACGATTAAATTGAAATTTTCCAAGTAACAGATGATGAAAATACAATTTAGGCTATATATACCCATAATACATGATATGAAATATTGACAATAAAGAACTGCTTTTATTCCTATTTGCACGGTGGCTCCAGTAGCAAGCAGAAAATAGATTAGATTTAGAAGACCAGATCAAAGTGCACAACATTACAGAAATAAACCTATATTATCACTAGAATTCATTCTTATGTTTCAGCTTTTGCAACAAAAATCACTCTCGTGTCAGCAGGCTTGTCCGTGGGAATGGGACATTTCGTTATGGATTTCGTGTCCATATATTTGAGCATAGCTCTCCTGTTAGTTACAAAGAGCAAAATATATTCAGCATTAAAGGGGCTGTTAACAAAGTCAGTAATTTTTGTTGTTTTGCATGTCTCTTTGAACATGAAGTCCTATTTAGTACACGCTAAACCTAAATTTAACAATTTTTATTGAATTGTTTTCCAATGGGATGGGATGGGACAGAAAAGATATGTCCCATGGACAAGCCTGCCTGCCAGTGTTTACAAGACAGCGTTTGTAGCGGTTACTATTTCATAAAATATATTTATATTACTGTAGAAATTACACATTACTAAACCCGTCAAAATGGAAGACAATTTCATTCTTATCGGCGTTGTCATGATTATATTTGTACTCGCATTCTTGGTTTTTGCTCCAAAAAATCAGGAGAACGAAACAACTGAAAACAACCTGGTACCAACTGGAAGAATAATCTCTCCTCTTTATAATGAGCCTGCAAGTATATATGTTATTTATATATTTCTCAAATGGTATTGCCCATTGATTTTTAGGTATGAAAATAAAATATTGGGAATTCTTTTGGAAAAGATACAAACAGGTATCAGCAGACAATCATCAGTTGTCATGGTCTTTCTGCCTTTAAAGCAAACTACACCTAATATATATATATATTTAAAATTTAGTTGAAATACTACTTTTAAGGATTCATTTGATATGACCCAAGTAGGTAATGCTGGCTTATGTCCTACGATTAGGTCCAAAGCGATCACGTGATGGAATTTTCGCATTTTTCGATATATTAATTTTTCTGTTAATTTTGATAAAAACGGAATATATCGCACCAGTTTAAAAATATGTCGGTTGTTTGCGTGGGTTGCGGCTTTACGGGCTGTCCCTATGTCAAGCTCACGACAATTGCGCATGAGACAATCTTTCTATTAATTGCGATATTATTTTTATTATTATACAGGGCCAGAGAGAGAGCAGATTTTAGTGAGAACCACAGCCGCAGGATTTCCAACTCGAAACGGTATGGTCGTTGTCGCCCAACACGACATTTACAATCGCGACGGTTATGGCCTTGTTCGTCCATGTGGATCCTTACTGGAAGTTGGAGAAATCACAATACAGCGACCAACTTCAATTAGTCCTTCAACTACAACTCGACCACTAGCATTGCCTCATGCTGCCTGGAAGTCTAAAAAACCAAACAACCCTCGAAGAAGAAAGCGAAAAAAATAATCCGGATATGTCACTTTAGCAGACTGGTCTTCGTCATAAAAATACAATAATAATGTATATTCTTACCACAGGGCTGCCTTCAATGTAAACATTCCATTTTAACTTTGTTAGCTTACTAATGTACGCATTACTTTCATTTTTGTTTAATCTTATTATATTCTCTATTTGGCGGTACCGTTGCTAACAGTCGGCACTAAAGTAACTGCTGCTTTTCCATAGCCGGAGCACTTGTTTTTGGTGATGTCATTACGTTTGTAAATTCTGATTTCACAACTTCGAGTCGCAAGTGATGCACATACCTTCTTGAACAGAAGTATATACATACGATACGTTTTGCTAAATTGTTGACATGAAAGAAAAATCGCCTTACTTTGCAACCAATGGACCAATTAATTGTTAACTTTCCTTACTTCAAGATGTACGAAGTCGATAGAAAGTTGTTACGTTATTTTTATCAAATTCCCTCTAAATTCTATAGAGCTCGATAAATCACAATCAACTTAGACAAGTCTTTGCCGGTCCCATAGTTTTACCAACTATGTCGGTACCGTCAAGAACTGTTGCGATGGTCACCCTGATTTTTGAACTGAATTATTAGGTCCCAAACAGGCCGAGTCCACGTTCGTACATATATATTTGAGCGTTGGTCGCTAGATATAAGCACATGTATTGTTTTGCTAGAATGTCTTTTAGTGATTCCTTGGCCTTCTCAATGACTAATAGATTTCAAATTTTCAGTAGTCGAGGACGCAAGAAGACGAATCAATAAAATAAAGGGTTATAACTTTTATTTTTACATCTTCCGGGACCTACGATCTTCACAAATTTTATTTTGCTGTCCTATTTTGGACCTCCTGAAGTATGCGCACAACCTGAACTCAGGTCGTGTATACCAGGTTACGGTTCAGGTTGTGCGACATCTTGGTGCGCATACTTCAGGAGTACCCTTATTTTTATTAACATTTTTTACTTTAGTTGTCAACATATTTGAGCATTGTTCCTGTGGTTATATATGCGGATTTTTACTAATTTTAGACCGTTATTGTTTGCTTGAGCTGTAATGTGTTCACGAGGCGTCGCATTTTTGGTTTAACTAACGAAAGCTGCCTTGCAAACAATCGAGCTCATTTTAGGACAATTTCTTGCTGTTAGATTTGTTTTGTGTAATAGTAACGTTCGATTTAAACCTTATTCCGGCTGATGAGTTACATGAACTGTTTTTTAGCCGTAACTGATCTTCTCAATAAAAAATTCATGACAATCAACATAGATAGTCATAACCTTCAAAAAGTGAGTGGTGGAGTTGTCTTTGTAGTTGTAATCTACAAAAGTGCGTCGAAAATAATAGAATCGAGACGTTACTGTCATTGGAATAGGTCTATGGCGATCAGCCTCTCCTACAGGACCAGATAAAAATATTAGCTAATGAATTGAAGTAACAAGTATCCCTAACCCTTGTACAATCAAAGTCGCAGATTCTGGCAGTTTTCAAAATGCTAGTATTCAAAATCATGGTACCCACATTGCCACATATTCAGGCCAGAAAAACGGCTCGCTTACTAATGGACATTATATATAACACAGAATAAAATCCTTACTTACAGTTCCATTCTCCAACCTTGTACTTCATTAATTGAAGGTACCTTATTGGTTAAAGATAAAAATGTACCAATCAGTACCATACGCATATCATTGATTTAATTCATTTTTACTGTGCAGAGCATTTGAACTTGCATAGAAGGTTAAAAAAGTAGAAAAACAAATATTTTCTTCATAATACAACGTGAGCCAAAACCACTCAGAAAAATACTCAACTAAATAGAAATTATTACTAAACAAGGGATACTCAAAAGTCGAAAGAAAATGTTTCTTATCAAATTATATATCTTTTTGGAATAATCTACCCTAGAAAAATTAAAAATACTTCTTGTCAATTGAAACTCACCACCCGATGGAAAATTATTCAAAATTACAAAAAAAAAACTTATACATCCAAATTTATAATCACATTTTTGTGAATTGTAACACTACCTAACGACAACAGTAAGCCACTGGGAAACCATTCACACATTAACAGTACATACCATTGTTCGTAAATGAACCGAAAATTTTACATGTGCCAGTAACAACAATGAGGTTGTTTTTAAATGATATTCCAATTCTGATGAAATGAAAAGCCATAGATTGGTATAGAGCAGCTAAGTGCAAAACCCCGCTTGAACTGGATACCATACAAGTATCTGTTCATGACATCATGTTCAACAACATTCATGACTTATTTTAGCATTTCCTGAATTGACCATGGCTTCTGGATGGAGTAATCAAGTTTCAGCGTTGCTACAAATCTGTTTCCAAAATATGAAGCACGCGAGATCAAAGGTTGACGGGGTGTGCCAGGGTCCCAGTGGAATGATCAATACTCAGCGTTGCTACAAATCTGTTTCTAAATATGAAGTACGCGAGGTCAAAGATTGTCGGGGTGTGACAGGGTCCTTCGTTGGCGACGCAGTTGTTTTTGCTCTGGGTTTCATTCTATCATAATCAGTATTAGACATAGCACACGACCTTGGCCGAGTCGTTGGTAAATTTACTTCTAAATTTAAAGGATTATTTTGTTCAATAGGAGTATTTTCATTTTTTTCTAGGGCTTTAGAGCGTCTTTTGACTGGTACTGGAATAGTATTTTCACCAACAGTTTCGTTTCCTATGTTAGGGGAGTCTTCGACAGGTTGTGATGACACAGCTTCACTATTTCCAGATGACGACCCTTGTTCAATGTCTTCAGAATCATTGTCCTCAGGAATATTACTAAACGCTTGCTCGGCAGGCTTTCTTCGTATTTTTGACATTCTGAATGTAAATTTGAATAAGAATTCGATTGCGAAATTGTGAACGAACAAGTAATTAGCAGCCGTCCATACAGCAAGTTGACACTGTTTATAGACAATTTCTCATGAAAATGTTTTTTAATTTAAGGAAAACTCTCTCAGAAGTAAAGAAGACCCAGATGAACAAAGGTAATGCGAATACAGATTGTTGTGAGACTTGTAGCAGCTCAAAACAATAGGATCAGAATAATAGATGTGAAGCCTGTGAAGTAGTTAGTTTATCTAATTCCCAGTTATTTCCCAGAATGTTTAATAATTTATAAATAACGATTAAAAACAAGAATCAAAAGTATATCTCTCCAACAGTCATTCGAAATAAATGAAAACTTGATTATTAGCTGACAAAAGCTCTTACTTTCTTATTGTTCCCAATTCAGCAACAATGGAAGGTTGTTGATTGATCCATTCATGGAGAACTTGTGAAGTTATGGTTTTTTCGTCCAATAAATTATAATATTCTAATTCTCCTTCAAGTGCCTGATGGAAAGATATAAAAAAAAATTAGGCAAATAGCTATAATTGCAATTAAATATCCTAATATATAATATAGATTTTAATTTGAGGCAATATAATTGAAATAATCAATTCCAGCCGTTCAAATATTAATCAACATAAGTTTAATCAAACAAATTTATAAAATGTTTATTGCTTTTGATAATGTGTTTTACAGCAAAATGACCATTTCAAAAAACGATAGTATTGTCTCAACTACAAAAGCAGTCAGTACTGTGATCATTACAAACAAAAAATGATAAAATGATATTTTCAACTATTCATCTGATGGGCCATCTACATATCATGCCTAAATTATCTAACATGCGAGTGAACAAAATATATGAAAACTGCAATCTGGCATGAAACATGACTATTGTTTTGGTCGGTTTACTGTTTTCCATAGCTCTAATACCTTTTTATATGACGCCTATCATGTCTATCTCTCCAAACAAGGCCCTGAACAAGCACTTTAAATAAACACATTCTATAATTTTTTTTGCAAATCACAAAGACTTATCACATTAAGCAATATTATCAATATTCTGTTCACTTTGAATCTACAAGGCAAACCTTGAGTTGTCTTTGAAGTGCTCTCTTTTTCAACATAAGCTCATTCTTCTTGGGATCCCTTGAAAGAATAGTCATTTTTCGGCGTAGGGTCGTTCTTCGATTAACGCCGTGAATATCGACTTCCGCATGTTGAAGAGCTTTGCATAAGTCGTCGATAGAACTTGAGTTTCTTGGTCTCGACTCAACGTCTGATGCTTTTACTTTCGGTCGACCAGCTATGTCCCTTCTTGGTAACCAATCTCGATTAGGTGATCTATGTAGAAAGTTTGAGATAAATTTCAAAGAGAATTGGGATATATAAAAAATATAAAGAACAGTTAAATAGAACAGGGCTTCCCAAACTGGTTGTTGCGGGCGGAATTTTAAGAGTCGCAAAAAATAACTCAAACTTTTGGTTCAAAACCAAATAATTAATTAGAACTAGCGCAAAACGTGAATCTCAGGATTTTGAGAGAATACATATAGGATCCGAAAAGCGGTGCGCTTGCATAACAATTCCAACGGGGGTCGTGAAAAATTTTAATATATTGAATAGGGTCACGAGTTAAAAGTTTGGAAAGCCCTGATATAGAATATTATTATTTCTGATAAGTTGTCAATGACACACCCATAGCTGACAATAAAACTTTATTTTTGTGGAATGAAGGTATGAAATTTTTGCCACGAAAGATGCAAATTTTAACAAAAACAATAGTTCAGTAGTCTCAATATTTTGTTCCTAAAAAAAACACTATATTTGAATTAGAAAATTCAATGTAAATTTGCCTATCCGAAAATAATAGTCCAAATACTTGGTTAAGTTTCAGATTTAAAATTTTATTTCAAGGTTTCGTTGCAAAAAATAAAACATTAAATCTTAAGCAATGAAAACTTTCTTTTGACATAGTGTATTTCGTTCATATTAAATTGTATGCTCACCACCACCCATAAATCCATAACAACCCACTCCAGAGTTTATAAAATGATTTAGTTTCCTTACTTCACGTTGGCTTCAGATTGTGATCTTGATGGTTTCGACTGTGTGTCATCATCACATATCTTTACGCTTTTCAGAGGTTTGTTTTTGGTGAGATTACCATCACGCTCCACCGCACGCACATTTTCAGATGATTGATTAGACGCTAAACTGGTATTGGACGATTTCTTTTGCATTTCTTCAGCCTGTAGATATAAAATGTATGCGCGGTCATGGACAAAGTTTGACCAATAGTATAAGGGCTGTTTGTTATTCACCATAGCTATGATTGTATTATCTATTTTCAATTTGCACGAATCTCTTTTCTAACCAAATGTGAGCTTCACCCCGAAAAGGCAGAATTTGAAAAAGCTGATTTGAGAAAATAAAAACTGTGAACTGTGTATTAAAATACGTTGGCGAGTACTCCCGTAGTATGTGTACCAGGTTAGCGTACCCCATATTGGTACACATACATCTGGAGCGCTCTTTGGTGAATAGTGACCAGCTCAAAAACACTTGTATTTCTTTGTGAAATTTTCAAAATTAATTTTTTTTTAATTTCACCATTCGCCCTTTCGTTTTGAATTAACGAGACATCCCCAACCATGTAGATTTATTACAATCAACTAACGGAATTTTTAGCATTTTAATAAGAAATAATTTGATTATAATTACCTGAAACCAAACAAAAAAAATTGATCAAAGAAAAAGTTTCAAACCTTTTTTGCTGCAGCTCTTTTCAAATGTTGTAGTTCTTCTTCACTATGAGCTGGTTTCATCCCATCATTAAATGATGCGTTAACAGCTTCTAAACTACTTGATAAATGACTCGATTCGAGGTATTGTTTTCTAAAATAACAAAATCAAAAAAATGATAATTCCACCAATAATTGAATTATGAATTGAATTGTAAAGTTTTTCTCAAGTTGAGAATTCACGATATGAGGTATACGTATAACATAACAAAATTGATTCGAAATTTGTGGGCGTTTTTTTGTTTGAGTATGCACAAATCAACAGTGTATAACACATTACACTCAAATCAAAAAACTTTCCATTTGAAAATTTTAATCAAAATTGTGCGCTGTTATTGAAGCTACAATGCATGATACACAAGTCAGAGACTTTCAACAAGGTTACTAATTAGTTTGTAGTATTACGGTTGCAATTTTACTTTGAAATTATTTTCAATTTTAGGTAATAAAAATGGATTTGTGTGACTGCACAACCATGATATATGGCAAAATTGGCTTCATAAAAATCTTTTTTAGCTCCCGACTCCATTGTGAAAATGAAAAACAGTATTTAGAATTAAATTTCTTTAAATTTCTCTAATAATGTATTCTTTGAAATTCTCAACAACCCACGAGTTGAAAACCACTAAATTATTATGAAATACCTTCTTTTGTCATCTGTCTTATGCTTTCTCTGATCCGCATTCACAGCTGGTTTCTTTATTGGAGATGTAAATGGCGATTCATCGGGACTGACATTCACATGTAAATTATCATTTGCATCTAGTGAGGCACTCGATGTGTGAATTTTATCACCATTATTGTCTTGCAACCACTTTTTTGTTCTGAGTGGAGCTTCTGATTTTGACCTATTTCTCAAGTTTTTCTCTATCGAGTCTGTTGTTTGTGTTTCCGCTGATGTATTTTTGCTTTCTTGTAACTGCTGTGCTTTGTTTTTTGGAAACCGAGCGCTCCTATTTAGTACAGGTTGCGTTGAAACGTGTCGCGATCCTGGTTTCCGCTTCGGCATGGAAGCAGCAGTTTTTTTAACTCTCTCAGTTTCTAACTTGACCGTTTTTTCCGGTGAACTACTCGGTGTACTAGAGTGGTTACTCGTTTCGCTTTGAGATATGAATGCTTCCTCGGAGTCACTTTCGCTGTAATAATCCTTTTCTTTATTGTTTTCTTTTTCATTAACTCTATCTCCATTTGACGTTGCTAAAAATATATTGAGAGTTGAACTTCAGAGGTATGATTTTTGAATAGAATATTTTACCCTTAGCATAGGAAAAAAATATAGTGAGAAACTGCATTTTGTCAGGTTAAAACACCCAGTAGGGGATGGGACTAGTTAGTTAATATAGTCTATCCCAGTGGTTCCCCCATGTTCGATCATTAGCTAGCGTTATGTGCAACTTAGGCTTTAGTGTAGTCTAAATAGGTGATAATGTGTTCATAAACATGAATTATGATAATACTGAATAACTGAACAATAATAGTAAAACAACGTAATATTTCTATATAGCCTCCCCGAAAACATTGAAATTTGTCCCCGATTGTGAACAATGATCTTACGTAAATATGATTAGCGCTATATGATGATGAGAAGTGCATTTTCAATAATTTTCTGTGTAGAATTAAATGCAATAAAATTCTAACCTGGAGAGGAAGTAGGGGTTCCATACTCAATAGCAGCTAGTCCCATCTTATTCATCCATCGAGACATATCCATTTGTCTATCCGATGCAAAATAAAACGTTTTCCTGAGGGGATGTGATACTCTAAAAGCATATCTCTTTTTGCTCTCAACTGCTGGAGTCACTTGATAACCTGAATAAAAAGAATTGTACTATGTAACTGGAAAAAGTTAACGGAAATACCAGCATACAGATAGTCTTCATTTCTTTGAAAATTTTGCTAAAATTTGGAATATTATTTATCACTATTCTTACTATAAATCTCTGCAGTAAAACCATAGTAGCTTATATCACATTTTCACAAATGAATATTATTTGATTTTCTGTCATTATGGACAAGAGGCCATCTTTTGGTCTTCAATTGGGCTGGGAATGGTTAACCGGTTAATCGGTTAACCGATTTGGAATTGTTAACAGTTACGATTTAATTTAACCGTTAACTGACATTCCAGGTACAAATCATCTTGATAATTGACAAATTTTTCAAAAATGATCACGTCATCGCAAATTTATCTCCTGTGGCGTTTAATTCAAAAGAATATCCCTAACTGTATTGTTAAGGACCCAATGAATGTGAAAAATAATTGAAGTACCAAGATTGCTAATTGTGAAAATTTGACAATGATAAATTCAGAATCAGTTTTCAGTCGAAATATACTGTTCACGAGTTTATGGAAAAATAGTATATTCAATGTCATCCAACAAGTGCGCAGTTGATGCTATTTTTTTTCCTGATATCTCAGAGTAGAATTTGCACGTCAAACACTGAAAATTTGTCACTCAAATGACATTTAATACCGGATTCGAGTTTTAGTATAATATTTTTCCATATTATGTCCGAAGCACGCTGCATATCTCTTGCAGCAGAGCAATCATGAAACTATCTCCATTCGTGATTCGTGAATAATTTTGAGCGATACCGGATAAGATCACGCGAAATTGCTTGGTAATCATTGTGAGGTAACGAACTAAAATTATAAATTATTACGTTAAATGTCACGCTTCGATTAACCGGATAATTTTGCTTGGGCACCGATTAAAGTGTTTCCTCTAAAATTCCCAGCAATGAAATTTCCCGTCTTCAAAGATGTGCTGTTTCAGTTTTGACATTAGGTAATACCTTACTTTTTAGGTTTGGGTGTTAGAACCAAATCATTACAAAAATGCAATTATCTCAAAACTTTAAAATGTAACATAAGCTAATTTGTTCCTAGTTCAGCGTTATATAGATGCTAATGTCTTCACCATATTATACCCTGATAAAGTTTTTCTGTAATGTGTATTAGAAAATGTTGACAGATAACAACATTTATCCTCAACATCCATATAATCAATATGGAGATGAGATAAGAAAAGTTGTAATTCAATATTATCTTAAATGACCAAAGTCCTACCTGGTAAATAAATATAACTTTCTGCTTTATCATCTTCATCAGTATGATAGCAATACAATGCTCCATCTTTTAGAACGACCCATCTAATAACAAATTCATTGAAGTTAGTGATATAGCAATTGCACATTTGACTAATATTTTACTAATGTTGGCTACATACAAGGTACAATAGCACCTCTGACTCGTTAACAAGAGGTTCGTTTTCAATTTTCCTCCCGAACAGAATTCATACAGTTTGCCAAATTATTACAACTCACTAGAATACCTGAAATAGCTGTTTCCAAAATCCCCTTTTTGGCAATATTGGTGCAATTTCAGAAAACTCATAACAATTGAGCCTACTTCAAAAAAGTTTTAAAAAAAAACATTTCCATTTGAGTTGAATTTTACATTCATGTTGTTTTACCATCTTACCTTTTACTCCACTTCGAAGTCAATGGTGAATTCGCGCTTGTTTTCTTCTTCCATAACCAACCGTCACATTCACCTTGTCCTAAATCTCGACAAGATACACGACGACTTCTCATATCTGAAAAAAAAAAAATTATTTGAGTAACCAAAAACAGAAAAAAAATAGTTTTGGTGGGAATGGTTATTTACTTTTTGATGTCCCTTCAAAAAATATTTTATTTTCAGAATTCTGAATACCGGTATCTGCTTAAAAGTGATTTTATTTACTAAACTTCCATAAATCCCTGGAAAAAGCTTTTGAATCAAATATCAGGTACTACAGCTATCCTACTTTGTCAAATGGCTCCATATAGAAGATAAGGTAGCTCTAGTATAAATTATTCATATCTTTCAGATAATGAAGGATAAGACAGAATAATTCATGGTAAAAATCCATTACTGAAATTCCGTAAACAAAATTTTGATATAGAACAACAGTCTCAGTCTGTCATTTTCTTACCCGGGTCTGATGTCTTCAATCTGTCAATCCCTAGAACTTTGTGTGCAATCTGTCAAAACAGATGGAGTATTTGATTGGAAGAAAAAAATATATCAATGAAAAAGAACACAGAAACAAGTCAAGAATAATAATTGATCATCAGTCCATTGAATCATATTTCAGATGATAAAAAAGTGATCAAATTCCAAATAACAGAAATTGGAATATGTTGAGGATACATATATCGCCCAACCAATGTTAGACAAAACGAAGCAATTTGCAGACATTTTGAATTTATCCACGAAAAACAGCAGTGCATATGGTACATGTTTAGATAGAGCTTATTTGAAGAACTCTCACCAAATTACTCAGATCTATTATATCAGACTATCATGTTTTTGATTAAATACTACACTTTGCTCTCTAATTTTGGGTTTACCATATCATGCCCAGATGGTGGTATTTGTATAGAAATTCAAAACGTCTTCAATTCACATCATTTTGCTACCACCTGTTGTGCTTCAAATATTCTCAACATGAACATAGTAATCATGCATTAGAAATCGAGTTTCCGCCAATAAATTCACTTACTTTTTTCTTTCCACTAGACTTGGATGACGTAGTAGACGATGGACCCTAAAAATAATACAAAATGAAATAACAATAACATATACGAGGAAAAATATTATAGACATTTATCACATGGGATGATATATTTTAAGAGTATCCTGTTAAACTTTAACAAAGTTCAGCAGACAAAGGATAAACTAGGGTTTGGCCTGATGTTTGCAGTCTGTCAGAAATAGTTTCAATAATCAAATATTTGAAATATTGCTGACCAAATTTTTTTATTTCATTCAGTAAGGCCATTAAGGTCCTTGTTAATTTTATAGCCATATAATACGTAAATGCCTATTTAACTCCCAGTATTTTGTATTAGGCTTGGTGTTTCGAACACAATCCAATTGCCAATAATAGTTGGAGTGTGTTAACAACATATCTGAACAAATGGGAATCTGATTAATATTTATAATTTCAACCTCTTACTGGCTCTTATTGGGTCATACTAGCCATAATCGAAAAATCACAAAATCAAATTCTAGCGGAAATACATTTGATAAAAAAAAAATTCTATGTATTTAGTTTTGTGTCTTTTACTGGTTTACACTTCAATGCTTCCAAATGCAAATTGTATGATGTGATTCACATCTTTACTTTGGCAAGGTTCTCATTAAACAAACATTTCGAGATGTGGTGTCAAAAAAATGAGATCTTACTGGTCTACCAGCGCAAACCCAAATTTCCTAGACTCAGTCACCACAGAAATATTTCTTAGAATCTGAGTGAGGTAGATCAGTTGTTTCCAAATCTTTTTTTCCGCAACCCCAATTTTCATAAATTTGATAAATTAGATATATTCGTGACCCCACAACAACTAATGTAGAGCAATTTCAAAAATCAGTTTATTCTTTTTAATCATCTTAATCGGAATATGCGCCCGTATTTCGTCTGTGTGTTCTTGGAACCTTGGTGTGGTGCGTATTGTACCTGTACGTTCAGCAGAAGGCTACGCTGAAAAATCTTCAAGCGACCCACAGTTTGGGAACCACTGAGGTAGACGACTTGAATTAAACAATGTATCAGATGAAAACTAATTCCCTAACTGAGATACTAATATTGCTGGACTACCTCATCAGCTGATGGCTATTATGCCCATTATGACGCATTTCAAATTTGGCCGAATTCCACTGAAAGTATTTGGCTGTCGAAAAACTAAACAAAATATCTCACCTTTCGTAACTTTACTTTAACTCCATCAATGACTTTGAATCCGAATCTGTAAATTAAAAATCAATCAAAGAATCAATATTTGTGACAGAGTATATCAATTGGGTTTAAATTATTCAGTTTAAGCATAGCTAATTAGATGAATGTTACAAAAATTGATCCCCAATGTTTTAAACAGTTCATTGAAGCTTTATCGAATAGTTTCATCTAAAAATTTATATCATTGGATAGCACTAAAAGAGCTAGTTCCCTAGTACATCTGTTGTGGTCGCGCTTAATGAATATTCAACCCAAATACAGTGTGGCCCAATAAATTTTGTTTGTGTATGTTTGTATCTAAAAGTTTTAATAATCTAGGACGGTTTGCACAAAAGTTATCTTGACTAATGGCTGAATATTGAAAAACAAAAATAATCTATCTTTAATATCTACCGGTATACCTACTAATAGAACAAGAAAACCTTACCATTGTATGTATGAGTAAACTATTTGAAAACCTCAACAAAAATGGAAAATATCTCCAGGCAGTGTATTATCCAGATTAACCCTCAATTAAATATCATATATGTATATATATAGGTACTTTAGCATTTAGGCAGAAACTTTGTATAGATATAAAGAAAATAGTAGTAAATTATTGTTAATTTCTAAGTAATCATGACTAGTGAGGTCAAAGATTCACCATTTAAGATGAAAAGTGTTGTATAGTTGAAAAGTATAATACGTCTTTTAAAATGATTTTATTTTTATTTTAGGAAGAATAAATAAGGCTGTTATTCACATTTTGAAGAAAAACTCCCAGTCAAGCAAATCTAATCAGACCTTCTTGGAAAACATACACAAATTGGAAAACCAATGACCAAACCAATCATTTATAAGAAGTTTTGAACACTTTCAAAATTAGCTTATGCGAAGATAATTAGCGATTTATGCTCACTATATTATCAGGTGTTTTGAGATGATTAGAAAACACCCCCATTCTGAAAATGCTTTTATGACAAGTTTGACCATTTCCAGGTGAACTACTTGTAATACTTTCAGTTTATGATATAAGTATAGTATTTTGATGAGGAATGCCCAAAAAAATTCAAAGATGTGCAAAGACTCCTAGATAAGTTAGTTCTAAGCTAAATTGACGCATTCTAAATTGAATATAATAGGCTCATCTCAAGCTTGTTCCATACCTTCACTCTGAATAAGGCACTGTACAATAAGCCACTAACTATGGAAGCAGCTTTTAATAAGGACTAGAGTTTTTTAAGTGCGACATTGCCTATCCAATTTAGTAGGCTACACCTTGGGTGAAGAGGTGGATGTGATTTATACACCATATTTTGGACCTGTGACATAAACATTGTTTGATCTAATGCAAAAACAAACCACGAGCCTCCAGTCCAGACTATCGAAATATATCTTCAATTGGTGATTACATACTCAAAACGTAAATAAATCCGTAGAATATCTTAACAGTATCATTCAGTGTTATACAAAAAGGCCTTTTCCTGATGTTAATGATTAATCTACTAATGTTATTCTTCTATTTTCTTGAAATAGGGGTTGTATAAGTTCATTTTGACCTCCATTTTATATTTTGAGCTCCACCTACTTCTTCTCATGTGATCTTTCACACCTTTGAATAATTATCAGGACCTCAAAAAACAGTGGAAATGATTTATATTGTTCTCTGTAAGTTGAACAGTAAATGCTACTCTTCAAGATAAACACATTGCATTTTCATTAAACTTTAACACCTATTCTATCATATCCTGAAATACGACACTAAAGATAGAAAAGTTTTTGTAACTCTTCCCTATTTTATAAAATAATCAGTAATTCTGTTCTTCATTATTGATGTTCCTTTTTATTGTACATTTCTCTATTCAAATCAACTTTTCCCCATACATAAAGTTCCTTTATGACATCTGGTACTTTTCTATCAGATATATCGGACATTCTTACAGAATTAAACAGTTTATAACGCTTTTCCCCTATTAGGTAGTTCCAATGGTGTTATTTGACTACTTACGCTTGTCAAACTAGTATTGACAAGACTATCATATACGATGGAAAAGCATTGATATGCGAAAAGAATGGGCCTGCCAACAGGGCGCGACAAGGCGACATAATCTTTTGTGGGCGACGAGACCTGTTATGAGATACCTGACTAAACACAAACAGCAGGGGCTAAAATGAACTATACATTTCAGTTTCGTTTCGTAAATTTCATTTGAGTACCGCTACCGGTAAAGTTGTCAAAATTTGTAGCCCAATTACACAAATTACTACACTCGATTGCGGTTTACAAAATGCATTTTACTCTATAAGGTTATATGAAAGCAACGCGCTGTAACTCGTTTTGTTATTCGATGACCTCCGGCGATATGACGACACTTCTTTACAAAGCAAATACGCGATCGACCGTTTTAAAACATTTTCGTGAACAATTCACGCTGGGAGCGAATACCTATATATTATGTACACCTGCCGAAGTTATAGCAGACGGCTGTGTATGGAGCCGAAAAAACAGCGCGTTATCAAAGACTGGCGCTAACGGTACAAAAATTGCCGTACAGTCTAGCGCTCTTTGATTTGAACGCTAGTACTGTATATTGTTAATAATCTATCCTGAGTGCCCTCAACAACGAATTTAAAATAACGCGCGAACGAAAATAACAATTCACCAGGGAATAGCTGAACACGAATCAGAGTGAAGAGCTACGGTAACTATTCCCGGTTTGTAATGCTGCTAATCGAGATATTTTTCGTTGCCGAGAATTCGCCATAGATGTACAAATTCATATATTTTAATGGCGGCGTGGTGATACTGTAGCGCGAGGTACACCGGTGAATTTAACATCCCTAATGGATATTACTACTTTTACTCATTGAATTTAATGATAAACTCTTAATTTGCGCATATCCTGACATTTATGGCGTGCAACAATGCCAGCGACATATGACAGTAGAAATCGCGCTATAATAGCACCGTCGTCCTATCTAACCTCACCTCAAAATTACCTAATAAAATTTTGAATCGCAACATAATCACCTGAATAGCAAGCGTTTACATTTATACCCTACTAGAACGCTAACTCACATTGCTCATAAGAAATTACCAGAATGACTCGAAAATCTTACAATTGAGAAACGGATCACATCTCTTGTATATTTTCCTGACTCAAACTTAAGCAAGACCATCATTTTAAGGTAATCGCAGCCCGAAGTAACAAACACTAAAAGGCAGTGCCGTCCCATCAATTTAATAACAAAAATTATTTGAAAAAAAATCTGTATTTCCGTTTAAACAGATTCTTTAGTCACAGCAGTGCTCATGAACAACAAACTTCTTCATATAACCCCAGACAGATAACCCTAAAATGCATTAAGAATCAGTGAAACTAATTCTAAAAAATGAGGTAGAGTTGATTTTTAATTTAAAACTAACACAGCTGGCTATAATTATACTGACGCGATGACGCAATACTCTCGCCTATCAATACTGGAGGCAAACATGCAAGAGATGACTATTGACTATACATCACGATACCATAAAGTTGGTAGAGTTTAAAAAGAAATCTTTCAGTTGATATAATACACCTGACACCACTATCATAGCTCTAACTTGCCAATCTGAACTAGCACACGGCGACATAAAATCGGCCAATGTTTTATCTATCCCACAAACTAAATTTTCATCGATTGTGTAAAGCCTAGACCTCAAACTGAACCAGACCCAACTAATGACTTCCAAACAAAATAACTTACTATGATGAAGCGCCGGAATACAATGTAGGTCAAGTGAGATTTATTCTGAAGCTTTCCTATTGACGCAACCAGGAGTAAACTAAATTACAAGTCGTTACATATACTTCAGTTATGTTTGCAGTTTAGCAAAGAGAATGACATATCACACGACACCAAATTCTCAAGCTTTATATTTTTTTTTATTCTGCACCGCCTTCTCGACTGTACTAAAACCATAGTCATAAACTGACATAAACGCATGTGAATGCCAAGCATGAACCGTATATAATAATTCTGTTTAAGCTCGTTTATGCGTGTAATAAGTACGGGATATCATTGCACCTACTTCTAGATATCAAACATTTAATTGCATTCCATCTAAGATACCCGCAGAGGGATTGCGGATTGCGTTGAACCAAGGCGATAGTCACTAACAATAGAAATTCATATCAGGCATGGGCAATTGTTAGCGCTGATATCGGATCGTTATTAGAACGACGAGGTGTAGAACTAACAGTTACAAAAACGGGAACATGAAAGCATAACAGTGGCGAAAGCTGAAGTGGAAAAGGTCAAAATTGACGCCTACTAAATAAAAGTCGCCTGCGTGCGATGTCACACGGTGTTATGTATTCTGAACCCTCATCTTATTGACTCAAATATAGTCTCCATTGTTTACTGCGTAATGCGCCGAATGGATGTATGAAATTACATTCACTATCGATATTAAAACGTAAATTACTAGTTGCGCTCGAATTCCTAAAGTTAGAATTGCGTGCGCACTCGTCGGAAGACTTCTCATAAAGCAAACGCCAATTAAAAGAATTTACCTGTAATTGCAAAGCCTCTCACCAACGCAGACAGAAGCAAACAGCGCACACCCAGCACAAAATAAACAGTTTACTTACATCTGGCGAACCTGTCTCTCTCTATCTGTCATAATTTGCCGCTTCGCAAGCTACGACGACCTTGCATATAATTCATGTTATCCCTATAAAACGGGCTATTTTTGTGCGGAACAGCACTATATAAAATTGCTTTGTGAATTTGAGCAAAGCTGCTTTCTGATCGTTTTTAACTTTAACAGCTCCAAGTGTGTCATCAATCGCATTTTTTGGCGCGTAATGAATAAATCTATATAGTTTCAAAAGTCTTCGTGATCACCGGTAACATTGCTCACAGATGAGTCACATCATCTTTCGAGTGACTGCACATTTATGATCTTGCTGTGAAGAAAAACTCAAAGGGACTCCATTAGCTTCAACCAGCTAAACTTCATTCAACTATGCATCTTCAATGCACCTGTTGTCGTCAAAATATTAGTCAATTACCTTTTCTCACAATCGCGCTCTTCTTACAGTATAGAAAACACTTTACAGTCACTTCTAAGCTGTCTATCTTGATCAATAAAACAGTCCACCACCCACCCACCCACTTACACAGCAATACAAGGAACGGATGGAGATTTGCGCATCATCGTGGGCCAATGAAATTATAAAACAAACAATTGCTAGCATATGAATGGTCGATTAGTTAATATTTAAACGTATGTGAAATGGTTGGCCAGCCTGTCCCACGAGGTTAGCGAAGCGTACTTGAATAAGCAAGGATATCTTTATGTGGCCAAGCTTAATCAATGATTAAATGTTTCTAGAATGTTGTCAATAATAACACTGCTGGCTATTTATGATTATATAAATTAAGAAAAGTGATTGTCAAATAATGTAAATAGTTCGGTGTATGTTTAAGTATAGTGGAAAATTTTGAGTGTTCTAGAAATGCAGAATAATTTCATTTGTACCTACAATAGTTTGATTCTGTCAGTTAGCTTTTGATATTATTCAACATGCCAAAGTGAACTTTATCGCCAATGGGATATGACCATTGTAACATTGATTATTCGGCACCAAACCTATAGCTTGGCTAAATTATTGTTGTTGTTTGGGGTTTTGGGAAAAATAATTCACTTTCTCCTTTAAATAATGGGCTAATTTATTTCAAATTTTCAGCGTTGAAAATGGAAGGAATCTCCAGTGTACAATTGCTTTTTCATTTATTTTTAAATTTTGTTATAGTCCCATAGTACCTGATATTTCACTCTAAATTTTGCTAGTTTGGATACTTCCCAAAGTACATCATGTACAATTGATCTAATATTTGTCTGGACTTTTGCTGACATTCGGCGGTGACCATATTTAGCCCTGATGTCCATATATCTGGCAATTTCTCTCTTGTTCACTAAGTATATTGCCTCACCAGCCGTAAATAAAAATGGCAGGCTGGGTGAACCTTAGGATGATTGTGATCTCAAAATTGACTATAATTTCCAGAAAATTAAAACTTATCAGAGTCAGCATTGTTCGCAATCTAACTTCATTTTCACTTGGTGGTACATACTTGAATCAGATTTTGGGGTATTGAATGGTTCTTTAATAAATTTTATTGATAATTGAGAAATAATTGAGAGTGGCATAAGTATAAAAACAACTTCCTCAGTAACCCAGCACACAATATTAGCGATTATAGTTTCAATTCATTATGAACAACATAGAATTTCCTTTTTAATAGGGAGAGAGGAAAGTTAGCAAGAGGTATATAAATGATACTGCAAATAATGGCGCCCAACCTGGTCTGTGTTGATGAAGGGAATATACAACTTGTACAACATTACATATGATTATGAATGAATGAGTTAAATCCATGACACCCTCCTCTGGCCTATGCCTCTCGCTTTCGTCCATCGCAAAAATGGTGATTTCACTTGAAATTTATTTTTTTAGAGTTGTGCTGCTTTAATATATTAAGTTGATGTTTGATGTAATAAAATTCCAAGGTGATAGATTCCCACATCTTGTCCAATATACGATACTATGTCAGTAACTTAGTTTAAAATGGAAACAAAGTAGATGAAAGGACAAAACTTACTCGTCTGTATCTTTAGAGAAACTTCCGGAATGACTAGGTTCTCTTGCTTTCCTTTCATCGTTTTTCGATTGCTGAGTATTTTTCAAGTTTTCCAATGCATAACCAACTGAAAAAAGAAAAGAAACTGAAAAAAGGAAATAAAGTCTAAGCCCGACCACAATCTTGTATTACATGGATAAAGATTTTGCTCTTTTGTTAAAAAATAGGAAACAACATATATTCTGTTACATAAATTTTTTTATTAAACACACCTAGCAAAGAATATGTCCTAATTGATTAAAATTCTGAAATTCTTGTTTGCTTCCATTTGATTTTAAAATTTCAACTTTAGTACACGATCTAAGAAAATATTGTTCAAGTAAATGGCCACAGTACCCAACTCGGAAGACTCATTCTACTGTTGTTTTGATTAGTTATCAACACCACAAAAAGTACATACCATCGATTGCAGCAACATAGGAACCACGCGAACTTGGAGAAGCACGAGCAAGTTGTGAAACAGCTGAAGGTTTTGGTATCACAACTTCAGACAATTTCACGGGTTTCATTTTTTTAGTGACTTCCTCACTTTTTCTTCTAGGGGGTGGAGCTTCTTTCTTTTTCGATTTAGGAGACTCAGAAAAATCGAACGACTTCGATCTGTCTTTTTTACTTCCTCCAGGTTGCAAAGCATTATCCTTTGGTGAATCGAAGGTTATTGCTGGCGGTTTAACTTTGTCAGTCGGGGTTGTGAGTTTGGTACGAGGCTTAGCAACAGGTGGCATCATTGGTGTTTTGGCAGTCGGTGTTGCTCCGACAGATTTTGATTGCGTTTTCGACAGAACGAAAGTGTCATTTTCGAGGGGAATAGGAGAAGAAGTAACGGGCGGTGGTGAGAAAGGGTCTCCTGATGAACTTAAACCTGATCTTTTTCTTATTAAGTATTTACTTAATTCGTCAGCAATATCTCGTTTCTCTGGCGATGTCGTTTCACTCGAAGCGTCAGTTTTAGATCGATTTCTCCTTATTGGTGAATCGGAGCGATCTGATAAAGCACCACTCTGTGGTTTGATTTGTAAAAGTCCAACGTATTGATTCTGAGATTCTGTTGCACTCTTTGGTCGGCCAGATGATTTTGGATCGAGTGGCAACCTTGAAATTAGTAACAAAACATGTATTCAAATAAAATTTTCCAATTCAAAATTTCAGAGATAATTAATTGTACTTCAGTAAAGTACACGATGATAAAAAAACATACCATAGTCTTTATATCACATGGGACATAAAAATTGGATAAAATGAATGCCATTCAAGTTTGATCGGAAAGAAATTTTCCAAATTGTGCATATTTTTAACCTAATGTAACGCATCATGACCACATGACCCATGTTTGCTCATTTTGGAAAACCCTGCCTAACCATGTCACCGTGTAAGCCACATTAGCATAACACACTATTCAGAAATCCAATATATAGCGTTTGAAAAGGCAAATAAAATACCAGTGGCGGCTGCAGAAACATACTACCCGTTTGCTGTAGTCGTTTAAGGGCTAAACGAAAGGAAGAGGTTTGCTAATTAAATCCACTTATTTCAAATCTGATTAAGATATTCTCACTTGTCCAAGTCCTTTGGTTTATTTTCTTTGAACGGCATGTTATCTGGACTAGGTGAAGAAGTTGCGGTAGTAGATCTGGGTGTTGCAGATGCAGGTCGTTGCTGTTGCTCAGGTGAAAAAAGATTCTTAGATGTGGAACGTACAGGAGGCTTAGGTGGGATCTTACTTTGATTCCTGCAGAAAAGAAAAATAATTTAACAAATTCTGTCCCCCGATTCAAACAGGATTATTGATCTAGTACAGGAATGGGCACGCCCACCTTCGATTCAACAATGGTTGCCATCGGTAAATTTGACACTATCACAGTGAATAATAAATTTGTGTTATTTGATGTTTTTAACTATGTCATCTTATATATTTCTTTCAAAATCGTTAATTTGGTATATTTTGCATATTGAATTTTAACTGATGGTTTTAACTAAACTGAAAGCAAATGTGCAAAAGAGATTCTCTGATTTCAGTGCTTGCAAAAAAGATTTGCCTACCGCCGACATAGGGGTTAGAAAGTAAGACTTGACATCCACAACTGTTCAATCACTAGTTTCAAAAATAGCAGCTGCTTCTGTATCCACAGCAGACTAGACTCGTGTTAAGAGCACAAAAGTGTGAAAAAACAAATTTGAACACGGTGATTCAAGGGAATTTGAAACTGACGGTATTTTGAAAATTCGATAATCATATTTGTAACACCAACACGCCAAACAAGAGATTACTACAAGCCAATATTACATACGTTTTTATTGAATTTGGATTTACCAAAAGCGTCCAAGAAACAAAGATACTTTTTTCCGCATATGCGTAAGTTTTTTAATTGAGCAATAAAATCTATAACCTTATCACAGTTCCTATATATATCTCGTATGTTACATCTCGGTTGTTTTTAGTTTTCTATTAAATTAAAAAACAATGGCTTACTTTTTCACTGGTGAATTTCCAACTTCTCCGTTGTTGCTGTTATTACTATTCAAAGACCAACTGTGTCTTTGACTGGGAGATCTTCTATCTCTGTTATCATTCGGTGTTCTATATTGTACCGTATTTTGCGGACTTCTGTGAAAAATTTATGAAGGAAAAATTTTTTAAAAATAATACAGGTATTCTTAAATATATATCCACACATATATGAAATAGACTTCCAGCCACTTCTTACATCATTAAATAGGTAAATTAAAAATCAGTTGGTTCGTGAGTTGTCGTAGAAACCAACAACAACAACAATGCCAAAACCTTAACAAGAATAATTCGGAAAAAAATACATACGTCTTTGGTAAACAGTAATATTTATTATATATTCGATAACAATATTTGTAACATTTCGTAAAAGGGACTGGATAAATAGGTGCATATTGCAGTTTCATTTCAGAATACAAAAATCATTTTTAAAAACGGTCAAATGCATACTGATCAACTGACAAGAAGCAAATAAGTTTGAATGGCATTGAAATTCCACTGAAGAATATTCCTAACTCAACTTTTTCAACTGCCTTAAAATTAATACTAGATCTCGATACCTATAACTAAAAATACAATTCTTGCAAATTTTTTCTTCAAAATGATTTTTTCAGTCTTCTAGTCTTGTTACCACCCTGCTACAGTCATCAACGAATCTAACTGCATTTCTATATTACTGGTGATATAAATTGTGTTGAACTGAAATTATCACAGAGAGGAAACGATATTATTTCACTAAGACAACCTAAATAAGCTGCCGAGAACGTTTCGGACAATCAACACTTATAATGAATCACTATCAAAATGATCACAAAAATATTCGAGTACTAAGTATCAAACATGATCTGACCCTAAAATACCAGACAAAAATAAGACACCTATTTCTATACACAACACTGTAAAAAGTTGTATTAAATTAACCTGCATTTCATTGTAAAATAACTACTGGTAATATTTTTTTTCAAGAATTACACTTATGTTTACTCTAGGCTAAGTTTGGACTAATCATGGAAGTGGGTTGTAACATGCTCGATGAATGGTACAGTTTGAAAAATACCAAATAACAGCTAAATGCTATATAAAATTTAGATTTTTTTTTATTTACAATGTAGGCAATAGGGCATTTCCTATAACATATGTGTGGGCAAATTCATAGTGTAATTTCGAGCAGGTTCAATTAAGGAGATACGTGAAGTTTGGGGCACGTATGTACAAAGCAGATAAAAAATTAGATTCAATACAGAATCGGTGATACCCCATTCAACACGTTATCTGATTAACAGTTATAAATATCAGAATTTTAATTTTTAAATTTGTCATTTCATCCAAAGATTATTGATAAATGGGATCGTTTTGTTCCGCCATACCTAGCAGTGGCCTCCTATGCAGAGCCTTGTTTGAAGCAAAAGACATATGAACACATCACATATAAAAATTAAATTCACTGATTAAAGTTCTATCCTCTATACTTACTCCGATGTATAATTAAGTGGTGCCAGTTTCTTAACACCGTTGTCATTAACATGATGGGACATTGGTAAAATTTTGGATGAATCTGCGGGAATTGAGCTCTCATCTGGTATCGCTGTTAGTAGTTTTCCCTTATTCGCTCTGTATTGTTGTAATTTTGTTGGACTGTAGTAATTTGGAGGCATTGACATTGGTCGGTTTCTACGTGGGGGTTTCTGTGGCCTGTGAATAGTTGAAAAAATATTTGAAGATGACACAGCTTAAAAGTGGACGGAGGCTAGAGATGGAAATTTTAATGTCCCTTCGAAGATTACAAGACTCTTTGAATAAAAGTTCGCTGGGGGCAAATTTGTGACAGATCGATTTTTATTGGAGGGTGAATGTACTATATTAAGGAGTGTACAGTCCTGTACACTATTATACACGTGAGAGTCCTTCCATAATTATCTGACAGATTTTGAAAATCGTATAATTTCGAGACAATTAAGAAACATACTAAATCTCCCTCTATTTTTGTATTTCAGAATTATGGCATGGGTCGGTCCGTACCTCAGCATCTAAAATGGCCCTCTATTTTGGAAACAAATTTGCCAAATTCAACTACCGGTAATCACAAAATATAGTGATTTTTACGCAAAAATACTCTCAATACTACAAATTGATCAATTTACCTTCTTTTGACAACCTCCTTCTCTGGTGAATTGGTAGATTTAAAGAAGACACTGTCATCAGATGCCGTCGTTTCATCCAATTTTTCTAAAACTTGTTTTGCTGAAGCCTTTTCTCTCTTAGCTCTTTTTGTATTGACTTGAGAAAGCAGAGACTCGTACCTGGGATAGAATACCCAAACATAAGTTTTATTCACGACAAGTTAGCTAGCACTTTACATAAAAACATTTGGACCAATGTTAGACCATTTGAATCTTAATCTTGTTTAGAGCAAGGTTTTAATCAGGTTGCGAAGGCAGAAAAAATTTACACCATCGAAAAAAGATTATCATTCAATCACAAGAGATCAATTGGGCGCTTGGAGCTATATATAGATTTACTGATAAGAAAAAAGATGACAGGGCATGAATCCATTCAAGTGTTACTAAAAGGTCATTTAAGTTACAGTAAATTGCTCGTTTTTCCAAAAATAGCTCTTGGCAAAATGATCGCTGACAATCGGAAATGGATAAAAACTAACCAAATGATTGAAAACTTTTAAGAGACTTAAATTCTCAGAACTCGAAGTAAGGCATTCTGCTCTGCCTATAAAATGAATGAGTAATATCCCACAGAATGAATTCGCTCAAGAGCAAAAAGAAATTTTTGAATATGAAGTATGAAATAAGTTGAAATTCTTACCATTTATCATCCATTTGCTCACTACCGATAACGGTAAATCGACGTCGTTGCTCAATGTCAAGTATAGAGTTTGGAGATTCTGAAGAATGCTGGTTTGGTAGAATATCGTCATTGCTAATGTATGAAGTATCAAGCGATTCAATAGTGAGTGGAGTGTTGTTTTCTGGCCTAAAAAAATGAATTGTAATTGATTTTCAATAGAAATATCTGAAAACCGAATTTACAATAATAATCGAAAGAGCAATATCCAAATATATGGAACATAATTATGTGACCGACACAGAATACTGTTATCTCATTATTCAAATCAAAATTATGTTACAATATTTTTTCGAAAGGATTGCGATAATTCCGAACATAAAAATAAATAAGGTGCCTTTTATGGATTTCTTCCATCTTTAATTAATGAAAATTCAAAAACATTTGTTTATTAGTTGCTGAAAAAAGTTTTTTTTTTACAAAAAAAATTTTTCACAACTCTCCATATAAGAATTATGTACACAGTACGCCTCGTTCAAAAAGCTACAAAACTCGAAATCAATGGGTTTAACAATTGCAGATGCAGATGAGGCGATATTTTCATAACAACAAAAATTTTTCAAACAATCCATATGTACACTTCATTCTAGCAGTTACAATAAAAGTGAAGTTCCATACCTAGGAGTATAAGGTGCTGGAGGAGGTGGAGGTATAACAAGCATATCTAATGGTGAGGAAGGAGGTTCTATGATCATTGGCTCGTTGTTTAGTGGAATAGGTGTGCTGGAATAGAAAACAAGTTGTCAACAATAAATGAAAATATTAAAAAAGATTTGTCTGTGAGAGAATTATGTGTTAAGAGTTAGATCAGGGTGGTCCAAACCCAGGCCCGCTTCATTATCTGTGGCCCGCGTCGCATTCGGAGAGGAATCAAAAAATCGCATTTTGTGTTGTTTCATCATAAAATCAACCAAAAAATCTTTCGACATATTGTTGCATCATTAATGTCACTGAATTGACTAGTGTTATGGCTGGCTGAGGCAACTAGTGTGAAGTTAAACGAGTGAAGTTTTTGGCACTATTGTGGCCTGCGAACAATGCAAAAGTAATTTTCTGGCCTGCGGAGCTGCCAATCTTGGACCACCCTGAGTTAGATGCTGAAGAGCCACTAGTAAATAGTGCCAGCTATGAGATTTGAAGTTCCTGGGAGGCAAAGTTGGGGAGACTCAAATATGGGACTCAACTCAAGTTGAACTCGAATGCCGACAGAAATGTTGCAAAATACATCCCTAAATCTTAGTTTGACTTTGAGAATAGCGTTGGTTTAACACAAGATGAAGTCTTGGTGTCATTTCACTCATATTACCCTATTGTTTACCGAATCTATTATGACTCAGGCTTGACTTGTGACTCGAATGAGCAGTGACTCGACTAGGGACTTGAAATTTGAAAATTTGATGGGACTCTGACTCGACTAAGATGGCCCGTGGCCCGAACTTGGCTCAGCATTTAAGAGTTCAAAGACCACGCTGTCAGGCAAAGTGCAAGACACCAGAGTTTGCAAACCAGTTTTTCGGTTATTGAAAACCAGACCCAAAATCAAAATCTTAAAATTCGAATAAAGTTAGAGATCTAAGGTTTAAGCACTTGACTTTTATTAGTGACATGCCACTGCTATGCCATATTGAAAAGAAACCTGTTAATAGCAAGAAAATATCATCTGGTGAACGATTTGATATCCTTGGACTTGATATTTAAAACTCTACTTAAATACCCACCTACTAAGCGAGTCCTTCCTATCTAGCACATCGCTGTATGAAACTGATCTCCCTTGTGCCTTTCTTTTTAACTGCTTGAAGTTCATTTCTTTTAAAATTTCCTGAGCCCTCGCGTTCTTTCCTTGAAGTTTCAGTAAATCATCAACACTGCCATGACCTTTTTTTCGTTTATGTTCCGTACGCTTATCTTTCGATTTAGTTTTGCGTCCAGCAACATCTGCACTCTCTGGTCTTTCTCGCCCTAAAACCCGCTCAAGGTTTTTCCGAAGGTCAATATGTCGTGTCAGGTTGCCAGTAGAAATAGACAGCACACCTTCGTTGGATGACGCAGATTGCATACTTCCTTCATTTGATTCAAAAGAGTTAACGGAGTTTCGTTTTGATCTAAATTAATTGGACGAAAAACAAATATTATTACCATGAATAATCAATATAAGTTACTATTCTGAATACAGTCAGAGAAAATATTTTCGAGCCTGTCTATTCAAATATATTTTTTCAAAAAAGTTTGCTCAACGAGAAGTTATGCTCACTCACTCACAAGTGACACATACACACACTCACTCACAAGTCACAAACCAACAGACTCACTTTTTATTTCCTGTACTGGCCAAAATATTACTAGATGATTTCGCTTTCTGTTTTTTCAGCTTTTTCTTCTTCTTTCCCTCCTGTTTCTTTGGTGATTTCAGGTTTTCAGTGATGCTGAGATTGAAAGCTGAATCCATTGAACTGTTTATCGTATCTTCAACACTGTTTTTTCTTGAGTCCGCAACTTTACGAATGGGTGACACGGGTGGTGCGACAGTGAGGCTTCTGTGAATACATTTTTGAGCAATGATCAAATATATGACAAGGTCTAACCACAGTGCATCAGTAATCTATGCAACCTTCATAGGAAAATGTTTGCCAATTGTTTGAATGCTTATTAAGCAAATATAGAAAAATCTGGGGTGAAATACCCAAAACCCCAGAATTAAAAACTGAAGAAATAGCCTACTAGCAATTTCTTACATTTGTAGTATTGATAAACCAGTTTTATTCTATGAAGTTTCATCTTAACAAAGTGAGATTTCTCACTTCTCACTCAATCAAGCATTTTAAAAATGTGAATATTACCATCTGCACATGTAAATGCACATGTTGTAAATCAACAATTTAGATTTGTAGTTGAACTATACCATTATTTAGTATACAACTTATATACAACTTCAAAAGCAAACCTGTCGATGTTGTGTTGTCTACGTTGAGTTGGAGTTACTGCAGAATTTGTTGCTGCAAAATGTGGACGTTTCTTCAAAGTTATACTGATGTCGTTTGGTGATTCTTTCAAGGCAGCTACTAATTTTGATAATTGCCATCCAACCTGCATTTGAAAATTTTAACAGATTAACAGCTTTAGTGCTTTTAACCATATTTTCTCAAAAATATCTTCGTAAAGCTAGATTTATGATTCTCAGAAAAGGTTAATCACCATGGTCCGTCTACCACCTAATAATCCCCGTGTGGGTTCGCCGGTTCAAATACTAAATTACTTATGTGCGAAAGGATGGCCGGAGACCTCATTGACGCAGGGTGGGTTAAGTCAGAGTTTCCCAAACTTTTTGGGCAGCGGACCCCTGTTTGCGAATCTCATTTTGGCGGGCCCCCATCCTAAGACATATCAATTTCTGTATCTATTAACGACAAAGAATAATGTTTCCTTTGACGAAATAAAACTCACAGAAGTCTGAATCAATACATACTAACGTTAATTAAATACCGGTAAGCCAGTACTGACGTTGTAGCTCTGTGACGGAGTTCTGTCTCACAGACGCTAAAAGCAAGTATCGTTTGAAAGTAGCTTTCTCACTCAAATTCTCCAGTTTTTTTTTTAAACAATTTCGATTTGTGATTGTGTGAACTTGCAACTTTATCTCGTTTACTGATGTCTATGTGATAGTGTATATATCAGGGGTGGGCACATCGCGGCTCTTCTCGCTACCATAAATTTATTATCCAAATTTTAACTAGGAGAAAACTAAAATGTAAACTTTTTTAATTTAATAAAAGTTGTAAAGAAGTTTTTATTAATGATTAAGACAAATTATGCTTTAGTATGAAAATCGTTGTAGCGTGAAATTTTGAATTTAAGTCAGTCAAATCGACAAATCTTACGTCACAATGGTCAATGTTTATTGATGCGTTGGCGCCAGCTAGATTGCGGTTAGTAAGTCTCAGGTACTGTGCGATATGTCCTCAATTAAGAAACGAAAGTACGAAGATGAGAACAGAGTTGTCAAGTCAGAATGGAAAGTCAGAATAAAGTCAGCAATGTTAAACGACACCATGAAACGAATCATGAAAACTGATTACGAGACTACCCTCGTAAATCAGCTATGAGGAAACACACCGGCGTTTGAAGGACCTGGTGCTTAGCAACGTGGACTGTGGGACCTGATCTGAGAATAAAGAAGTGACTGGAAAGTTACCGCATATGATTTTCGGAAATTGGCGAAATACTCTGCATGTCCATAATATATTTTAGCATATCTCTCTCGTTTATTTATTTATTGTTATTAGACTCTTGTGTAAATTTTATTTCTGTTCATGGTATTCTAATAATAATAAATTCACAAATTCTGGTATATATACTCTAAAATGTATAAGTTTCGAACTTATTTCATATCGATGCGGACCCCCTGTATAGTCATCAAGGAACCCCCTGGGGAACACAGACCCCAGTTTGAGAAATCCTGGGTTAAGCAACCTCTGGTTGAGTATAGTTTCCTCCATCATCTGGATCAAAACGTTAACCATTCCCATCCTCAACCTGGACTGCTAGAGACCCAGGAGTCAGGACTGCCCGGACAAAGGACCAGAGTTAGAGTATGATTATACCATCTTATCAGCCTGAAAATCCTCCATCCTTCTATATATTCCAATTTGCCTTACTCTTTATATTATATTGAACATTCATGCCCCATATCTCATGCAAAAAATTATGGTGTTTATCTATTAAGTGCACGACATCTTTGTTTTGGACAATCATATAATTAATCGTAAAAGGTGGTCTTATCCCATAACTTACCACAGTTTGTCCACTGACAGCAACAACTTCATCACCAAGTCCAATTCTTCGGATTTTGGAACTTATTGATCCTTCTTTTGTTCCTAAAATGAAAACAATCATGGTTGAGATTCGAGGATGAATAAAACATTGTACAAAACTATTCCAATTACATTCTGGAAAAATGTTATCAATTGTAATGAAGTAAGAGAATTTTTGTTATACAGATTTTGAAAGCATATATATTAGTTTTGATCTGCCTTTGTAATGCAAAGTTGGTAGCGAAACAGAAAGATAACTATTCATATTCAATATATTTATATTTATAAAGATAAAAACTTTATTATAGAATTTGAATAAAACAGATTTCAATTACAATTCAAATATTACACAAATAATTGGATTAATTGACAAAGAAAAAAAAAATTAAAAACTTCTTGTTAGAGCATCCATATGGTTGATTAGAGCAAAGTTTTTCAATTACAACCCCCTTCAATTATTCATTTCAAGAAGTATGAATTGGGTAAAATTATACGTTACAGGAAAAAATTTGCGAAGTGTGATTGCCACATTTAATTTGCGGAAAAATTGTGAAAAATATATTTGAACCATTAAATAAATAGATATTGGCCTTTAACAATAAAACAGAAGTACCTACTCAACTATGAGCAAAGTTTCGAATACCAAACAATCATTCCAAGTAAGTGTTTAAATTATCAACTATCCATCATTCGTTTTGGAAAACGAACTGCATCGTGATAGACTTTAGTTCTGGGTCGTTAGCTTTAAAATGACAACAGCGAGGAATCAAATTACCAATCGGTGGGTTTTTGGACGTAAATAGTCAATTGTTAAACACCTGATTATATTAGCCGCTTGTCTCGTCTATCGCTACATAGTAAGAGGATTACCCAAGCGGAAAGACTTCCGATCTTAGAGACAAAATAGGTCAGATATTTGGATGTTTTTATTTTCCGATTCATGCTGTGTAAATGTAGATGGGATCTTACCACAGAAAAAAAATTCAAAAAATTCAATTTTAATTCTACAAGTTTGAAGGAGTAGTTTCCAATGTTCATAACGTTACTACTTTTAAAAACATTAATGTCTTCAAAGAAACAAAAGTTTGATATTGTTAAATTTAGCATTAAAATGAATAAAACATCTCAAAGGATCGATTTGGAAAACATTTCTCGTCACATTCATATACACCCATAACAGAACGATATTTGTAAAATTTGTCATAAGACATAAATTCCAATCTAAAATAAAAAAAATTACAGAAAAATTTTGATTTTCACTGTGAGATTCTTAAAAATTGCCTATTTCAGAAATTAAAGGCCATTAGTATAGTAACAGAAACAATCACTCAGGTTGTCCAAACCGTAAAACTTCTAAATTTGCATACCTGTTATAACATGATGTCCTTCGAAAGTTGCTTTAATGAACAGTCCCAATCCCGCAGAAGAATCTCTGTTTACAAGATGAGCCGTTTCTAATGAAGATGGTTGTATTGTCATAGGATCGCTTGAGACAATCAATCTAAAAGTGAAAACGAAAATTAAAGAAAATTATTTTTTTGAATTCTGATTGCAATTTCAAAACTTGATACAATATTTAATACGAGTATATACTCAAAAAATGTAGAATTTTATATTTCTAAATTTGCAGTTGCCTATATAAAATACAATTCAATTACCGGTATATACATCCGACATTTTCAGGAATTTCTAAAAATTATGTTTATAAAGATTATAAATCAAGAGGTAGTGTAATTGATACAAAAGTGTGAGAACGGCAAAAAAATGTGAAATTTCCCAAATTAAAATTTGACATTGATATGATTCAGCCTCACAATGGAGCATAGCCACATTCAGTAACTGAAATAAAATGTGAAAAAAAAATCGAAAAATGAAAAACTTGATATGAAACCTAAAAACATCCAAACTATACAAACATGAACCAAAAATTTGTGAGTCATAGTTATGTTGTTAAATGAATAACGAAATTGATATGCATAACGGAAGTTTCATCACTGATACATACTACTTACATATTGCTAGCTGTTGCATATCAAAATAAAAAAGAATAGCATAAAATTCAGAACTGAAAGTATTCAAAAATGTTTTATTCTTAAATTTACAGTACTGAAGATATTTAAAAAAAACTATCAAATAAAATGACCTATCAGAGGAAAACTGACATGGGCCACTAATATTTTTCTACTATTTGTTCTATATTTTTAAAATGGTCATGTAGGCGGAAAATAGGGAAAAATTATTTTATGTGCAAGAGCATGATTTCATTTCCAAATCGTTTTTTAAATCCACTTTGTAGAATATCCTTCATCAAGCAATTTTAAAATTGAAAATAATATTCAAAATATTAATTTTAAAAAATTTAGATAATTTTTTTTTTACATGTTTTGGGGATGGCTTATAAAGAGGATTTTGCTACAAAACAATATATTTAAAATTCATTGCAGAGAAAAATTTCAAAATACAAAACTATTATGATATAGACATCACTATTGGAACCCCATTCACATACAACTGTCATATAAAAGATGGCAAGAAAGTTCCCAAAGTTGATAAAGCTTTTAAAATAGATAACTGATAAATGAAGACAACTTCAACTTACTGATTCACACATCCTTCCATTTCACCGCATATTGATAATGCTGCATCTTCAATAACACAAGCAAACACGCTCTAAAAAAAGAATAAAATAGCATTTAAAGAATAATTCAATGTAAAAATCTGTAATAATATTAAGATAAGAAATACAGACTTGACATACCGCAACCAGAAAAATTCGAAAAATTCGAAACTGCTAATTACGTTGTCAAGAATTTTAATTGTATGTTTGTCTACAAAACATTTATTAAGTGACCAACATTATCGGAGACGGAGCAGTATATAATCAGAAATGTTTTTGATTTGGATTAAGCATGATAAATAGTTTTGGGATAACTACCGCATTTATAAACATTCACCTTATTAAAAGACATTTGAAAATATTACAGAAACACATCTTTACATAGTACACGCAGTATACATCTTGTGCAGCAACTGTGATATTAAACTTGCTGTCTATATGGCAGCCCTTCGTGGCATGTTCAGAGTGAAAATTTTATCATTAATACAAAAATTACTCTTGGTGAAATTTACGAAGTAATGAAGAAAATCGAAATCGAAAATTTCCGATAATCACTATTAGGATATCGGTAAATCAAAAACAAATAAATTAAGAAAACCTCAGATATGATATTAAAATATAGTATAGTTAAAATAAAATCGTTTTCTAGCAAAACCCAAAGTAAATCTATATACTGTCTGCATTATAGATCGCCTACAGTATAATATATATGAATAAAAGATTTATTTTTGAACTGGGCGTTTCTCTTTTAGTCCTTACAATTTTCAGAATCAAACATAAGAATTATTATAGCGACAGATGGTACAGCTCCAATGAGCAAATAGTGTTATTGTATAGAAAATCAATCAAAAAAAAATTTAAATGAAAAATTTGGATGGAAATTCACTCAAAATTAAACGAAGTGGATGGCCTACATTAGAGATACTATTACAACCATTGAATTTGGCTCTTCCTGATTGACCTATTGGTCTGGTTGGGCTATAAATATATACAATAATTGAAAAGCAAAATGATACCTATTTACATTATTTGAAATTTTGCAATGCAATTTTAGATGTTTTCACTCCCATATCCTCCCTCTGGGATGAAAAATATACAATGGGGGCAAAAAATAGAGGGGGCAATAGCGCATTTTCGAAAAGTGAGAATCTTGTCTCCAAATATTAAGAGAATTCCAGATTCAACCAAGCTCATCCACCTTATTAGAAAAACACAGTGTACTATGAAATAGTCTACTTGTTTAATTGATGTTTATATGATGTACATGAAAATTCGAGAACCACTGCTTTGCACCACTAGGATAATAACCCACTAAATAATTTTCTGGCAACAATATATTCATATAGAAAGTGAAACAAACCTGTTGTACTGTTGTACTCAATTCATAACTCAGTTTAACTATGTTAGCTCGTACTCTTCTCATGTCAGGTTGACTGAAGAAAGGAGGCCTAGAGTGAATAATAATTATTATTAATAACAATGCAGGTTACTTACTATAGGATTGGATTTCATATTCAACCCAGCAAATAGGAGAGCAGGAGTCAAACACGGATGACTACAAACTCTCACATGTTCACTGTGATTATATTTACCAAACCTATACCTACCAGAGTACCGCCGAAAAAAAACTTATGCCCAAAGTTTTTTTTACAAAAAGTTCAGTTATGTGAAATTCACTACCTCGTAAATGTTTTCTAGATGTATTGACACAAACTACTTTAAGCGTCAGCCGTCAATTTGTATTTACTAACGCGCTTTTCTACACTATATTGATTTATGGTCTCAGCAGCTCTTGGCACTCTAGTGGGCACTCCAGAAGTATGTGTACCAATATGGAGGTAACTAATTTTGGTCGCCTACATCACATCAAATTGTATAAAGGAACCTATGGGCAATGGGGGAAATTTACTTGGTTAACACAGACAGTTCCCGAACTCGTAATAGAACTAAAATAAGGGAAATCGGAATAAAATTATGGCCTAACCCTAACCTGGAACACATACTACAGGAGTACCCTATAGTGGTCATCTATAACTTCAATGAGAGATCAATCCTATTTATTTTTGAGTGAACTTGCTTTGATAAAATTTCTTTTCAAAAAAAGCATAATATGAACTGACTTGATAATAACAAGGCAAACATAGAAAACATATCTAGATATGTAAAATGGAATTTGAAAACGATTAGTTCCGTCAGGCAGACTGAAGAATGAAAAGTAAAATTGGGTCTCTTGAGAATACAGGGGCCAAGTGTAGCAAACAACAGGCGCATCACAATGATTCCCATAGGAATATAACAAGTGATACATTGTAATAAAGCATTTATTTAGGAGACGAAAAACAAAATTTGACAAATATCAACATTCTAACAACATCTCTAACCACTATATCTCATAATGAAATAGGTAGCTAATTTATTATTGTATAGATGGCAGCCTTTATGATTGAATGCATAAAATATGACTTATACATATATCATTGATAATTTTTGTTTGATTTGAATTATTGAAAAACTCGGCTTATATTTATCCCTAGTACATCAATTTAATTAGGTTAATAATCCAGGATTAAGTTTATGGTTAATTTGAAATGTCAGAATAGAAACTAAGAAAGACCCTTTTCTTCAATCCAGAAAAAAGCAGTTAATGGTACTCTCGTAGTATGTGTACCAGATTAAGGTTAGGCCATAATTTTATTTCTATTTTCCTTATTTTAGTTCTATTATGAGTTTAGGGTTTCTATTGGTTTCAGTACTTTTACACAACTTGATGTAAAATAGGCAAACAAAATAAGTTACCTCCATATTGGTACACATACTTCTGGAGCGCCCAGTTAATTAATTAAGGCAAATTTATAAACTTGATGTATGGTGCCACAAAACAGAAAAGATTTGGGTTCAGTTAGTTAGATATCACATAATTCACATTATTACGATATACCAAATCATTAACCTTCTTTGTGATATTTCTTCGCCATAACATATTTACATAAGTCAATGTACTGAACTGATATCTGGGAATCATTAACTACGGTAATTCAACAAATCCGCAGTCTAGGAACCCGGACTTGAAAAAATCAATTTCGGTTTCAGATAAGCATGTGCCATATATGAAAAGTGTTTATTTAAAAATGAACATGATATCTAGAAATGTAGTTGATCGAAAAAATTGGAGAAAGGGGGCAGATTTGGTCAATGATTTGCAAACACACCTGGCCCACTGGAAATAGCCAAAATGGAATTCAATAATTCTTTAGGATTTTGAATTATCAAATATATTCTACATTGGTTAATATTCAACGGAGAAATTGTCATAAATCACCTCAAATTCATAGTAATGAAAGGTTTGTATATTCTATCTCAACTATCATGTTTAAATAAGTATATACAATAGTTGAAATAAATCTTTCTTTTATACATTATTAGAAGTTGAATGAACACTATTTTTTGTCTGACAATGAGATATCAAACGCTTAGAATGGGACATTTTCGAATGAAAAAATTCTAAATTATTACAAAAATTATGAACCCACTATAATGAATATAACCAATTTTGAATAGTTTCTGACATTCAATTCATCATGGCCATCCATGGTCATTGATATGTGTTATTTGCACAATACTGGGCACTCCAGACGTGTGTACCAGTATGGGGGTAACTAATTTTGTTTGCCAATTCTACATCAATTGGTGTAAAGCGACTGAAACATATGTGCAGGGGGTATATTCACTTGGCTAACACAGGCAGTCCCCGAACTTGTAATAAAACTGAAATAAGGAAAATCTGAATAAGATTATGGCCAAACCCTAACATAAACCCAAAACCCCTAAGAATTAATCCTGAATTGAATAAATATATCTAACCTGTCCAACCACATGACCATAAGCTTCGAACTATCTAGCACATCACAAGCCGATCGCAGCAGTTGAACGTTTGGTCCTCTACGAAGTGCTTCGGGAATATCACTGTCATGTCCACCGAGATTCCGTCTACGAGAGGTAATGCTTGATCGAAGAGCGCGGCATTTACAATTTAAATCCAGAGCACGAGATTGTAGATTTTCAGTGTCAATGTCGAAGTGCTGAAATTTAGGTTAAAAAAAGAATGAGGAATTATGATATTGAAGTTATATTTATGAAGATGTAAGTTTTGAATAATAAAAAATTATCATAAAGCTTCTTCCGAGAATACAAAGAAAGTTTTGTATATATTTCCAAAGTTCAAGAGTTATTTTAAACACATTCTAGAGATGAACAGTATAAAGTAGTCTACTTGTTTGTTTATTTACGAGAATTCGTGATCCAGATTCCAGTTTGAAATCAATCCTATTTCATGCACTTTTAAAACTTCTGCCTAATAGATAGATAGCCTAAATTCCCAATAAATCATATTTACAGAACAGCATACCAATTGTTTCAGTAGTTCTGTTGCCTCAAGGACCAACTCCTGATGTCCGATTGGTATAATTCCAAGATTATTCAAGTCTTCATAGTGGAGTGCAAGTAACTGTGCTCCTGTGATTGCTGCTTCTTCCAGATTCGGAACGTAACACTGAAGATCTTCATCCAGACCTATTAAAAAAAGGTTAAATAAACATTGAAATGTTGTCAGACATGAAAAAATGAAGCAATTCATGATAATAAAATTATTTTAACCTCGTAACGATAGTAATCAAAGTTAAAATTTCTGAGGTAACTAAAAAGCATTGATAAGTTGGCATTCTTAACAGACAAGTAGAAGCGCTCCAGAAGTGTGTGTATGGAGGTAACTAATTTTGTTCGCCTACTTTACCTGAAGATGTGTAAAGGGACTGAAACCTGTGGGCAGAGGGTATATTCACTTGGCAAACACAGACAGTCCCCGAACTCGTAATAAACTAAAATAAGGAAAATCGGAATAAAATTTTGGCCCAACCCTAACCTGGTACACACATTACAGGAGTACCGAAGTAGACATGCATAAAGTGGCACAGCCTGGAAGGTTTCAGTTACTTACCTTTAAACCAATTGACAACTTGTTTTGAATACCAATTTGCAACACTTTCAATATCAGCCATCAGGTTTTCATTGTAATAAAAGTAGATAGAACTATCACACTCCTATTTCTAATTGCAACACTAATATAGAGAAAATAAATGCAATTCAGTGATACCATTTTCGCAGAAATTAAATTTTGATACGTTATCAGAGTGCATCCATATTTGGTTAGATACTAGAACGGAAAAACTAGGTAAGGCCAAACTAAACAAATCACTTTACTAAATGGATTTTGAAATGTTTTAAAATGTGAATATTGAAGAAATCTTGAATAACGTCATGTTAATAAACAAATAAAATTGTTTTCGGTCAAATCTATGTAAATTTACGGAAAACAGTACAAAAAAAAAATTGACATAAATTTGGTTCTGATTGATTGTCTATTTCTAGAATATCAATATAATTTATCTTGAGCATTGATTACATGCTCAAAAAAATTAGACAAATTTCCAGATATAAGTTATGCTTGATAAAGTCTAGAATTTTGTATAAATTTGAACATTCAATTCATTTTGGACATCCCTGCAGAAACAGAAATGTATCTTCCCAGCAAGGAAGTCCAGACGATATAAATCTACAGGTACCGACCGGTAAATGGCAGGTGATGCCTGTTTCTACACCATATATGGATGCACCCTTTCATATACTCAAAAGCATTTGAAATATAAACATTTTAAAAACAGTAGGCCTATATCATGTTTTTTAGGAAATACAATAAACAGTAGAATTTTGGGATTTTTCTTATATGGTCAAATTTCATTATGAGTATAATAGAACATATCTTAAACACTTCTGCCGATACCTGAAACTGTACAATATTACTATTCCTATATTTTCGTATTTCAGGTTCTTGTAATGCATAACACCATAAGCATAAAGAAAAAATCAATACAGCAGCAACTAAAGTCCATAGAATGAATCATAAAGCATAAGACTGAAAGAATAAGAGGCAAAAAAACACTGTGCCAAGGTGGCAAAAAGGGCATTGATGCAATGATAACTAAAATATAGAACAGACTTTTTGTGATGCTCTCAAACAGCATTCCTGAATTCTTTTGTATGATTTGATAAATTTTCATGACGTACATGTAAAGCCAACTTAAATTAGGATTAGCAAAAATTCCGTGAAGCATAAGGATTGAATACAAATTAGACACTACTTATAAGTTTATAACAGAAGACCTTTGAAAATAAAAAACGCTGCTGAGTGCCATGGCTTACGATGATTATACTCATGGGTGGAAAAAAAAGGGACATCTTGATAAAATCTTGACACGTTGACAGCAATTTAGTTTTGTAACCATCATCAATTATTAAGCCTGAATTTCTAAGCATGATGATTTACATCTTCCTCCATTTATGTTCGAACAACTGCTTGCCTTCAGCCTTGTTTGGAGTACAGACAAAAAAAAATACTCAAAAAATGAAATATTGGCTTTGAAATTAATATTCAAATAATAATGCCATCACCATTAAGTAAGTTAAAGAAATAAGCTTCAATATTTTCTAATATAAATATATCTATAATGAAATACAATTTTAAATGAAAGAGAAAAGCAAAATGAAGGTTTTAAACAAACAGCACCATATATCATGCACAAAGAAATAATCAGTTTCAATATTAGTATAGGCTAGCATCTCGGGTGTTATTCATCGATGCAACCCTAAAATTTAATTCACGTTGAATTTCAAATCATGACTGGTATCTTATTTTATTGAAATCGCTAAAATTTATGAAAAGCATGAAAAAGTAGAATTTGCATCACTCGCAAATATCAGATTGTCATCGAAAAGACCAGTTCAAATTATAGATATTGCTAAAGATTCTCACAACTAGGGCTGGGCATTTTTGAATACCTGATGATTTCAGAATCAAATCGAATATTTTTTTCGAATCGAATCTCGAATACTTGGGACTTGGGAGATATAAGATTGTATGTAACTTTCTTATTGTATTAGGTCCTCCAGACACATAAATTACTGAAAACATAAAATCAAGCAGATTGCTGAGCGTTCAAACACAATAAAACACATTTTCATTGATATCTCACTACAGAAAAGAGTCATATGTCAGAATTGCGTTGAAAAAATATGACTTCAATAAAAAAAAATTGAAAATTTACCTCGACCATTGAAGGAAAGAAAAAAAAAAGATGGTGGCGATTGTAATAAACCGATTCTAATAATTTACTATTCGATTCAAAATGCCCAGCCCTACTCACAACTATAGCTATTTAGCAATGAACCTTATAACCATGATACCAATATTGATAATCATCTATTCTGAGTAATAAATTTCTTAAAACCCTATCTCTGACCACCAGAGGTGTATGGCAAGGACATTTCTCAAGGCTCATTACTTTTTTAATTTTTTTTTTTCATATTTGATAGCTCCAAAAGCAGTCCATATTTCATTAGCTTAACGAGTATATGGATCACAAATATTGCTTTGTCATATTCCGAGTTGCAACAAAACATACCTAAAGAAATCATCAAGAAAACAGTGTTCAATTACGCAAACGAATTTGAATTCCAAATAAACTAAAAAATACACATTAAATTGCACTGATCCGAATGATAGCATTAATATAGTATAGCACCAGAGATAACTATACCAAGAAGAGTTGTGGAGTCTTGAGTAATAGGTTCGATAATTCAGTTTTGAAATGTGTTCAGAACTATATTCAAAATTTACTTCAACCTGGAGCCAGAAGCCAGAGTCAGAATTTTCGTCCAGGCACAATAGGAGTCATTTTTTAAATTCAGAGATTGGAGTTGGGTGTATATTTCCCACAACCCAAATAAAGTGGTTAAACCAATTATAATTGGGATAAATTTACAAGATAAGATTTGTCAACCAATGATAATATCGGAAGAACACTTGTAAATTATATTCAGAATAGGGTATAGAGAACATTCTTTTGTTTTATATGTTGGTTTGATATATAAATAACTAAATCAGATTAAATAGCCTTTGTTGGTAGCACAAAATTCAAGATGATATAACCAGGGATGGCGAAAACCTAACAAGCTACTATTCTAAAGCCATTCTGAAATAATATAATATTTCTATTCTAAGTTGGCTCCAGAAGAAAATTTGTACAAATACCGTATATCCATAGGATTAGAATTTGCTACCATTCTTATTAATGATGATGAATCAAATCTAAATAAAATTTACTAAACAGATTTTATGACGTAAATTATTGTACTCAATCAAATCAATAATAGGATCAAATATATATTTGAAGAAACACTCTGTCAATCAAGCATTTAATTACATCAATTTTTCAAATTTATAAGAAACAAGGGATATTTTATGGTGTTTTAGAATATTGAATTTTGTTAAGAAAAAACAGGTATATTACGATAGGCCACCTCGTTTTGCAATATTTTTTAAATCAATTACAAACATTTTTTTTCTTTTTTTCAATTTCAGAATTCAGGAGCAAATCTTTCAGCAGAATATAAAACTAATTATGGTAACACCAGTCGGCTCACCATTATACATTATTTGATGTTCATATCTAAATAGTTTCTAGAATTTTTTTCTATAATTTAATTCTATTTTAAATATTCAAACTGATCCATGAACTGATTTTGAGTCGAATTTATCAAAATCATGCAAATGATGATAAAAGGAATTATTCACATAACTTTATAATTTGAATTTCCAAAAATATTATTTCTAAAATAATAAACTATTTTGATACGAGCATCGCAACTGACTATAAAAAACACCTGCAAAACTGTCGGCCACCAAATAAATACCTCTATACAGTAACTTTAATAATTTTCTAGACGAAAATAAATACAATATATAATACTAATAATATATTTTTTTTTAAATAGCAGTATAAGGTCCTATGTAATGCATACAAAAGCCACTAGGAATTGATGTTTTGCTCAACACACCAGGATCAATGGGTTTTTGCATTTGCTCGAGTAGAGTTAAAATTTGTGTAGTTGTGGCATTATCAGAAGATTCAGATGTAGTTCTTACTTTATCTAGATGTCCAGGTACAGGGCTACGTGTTGGTGTTGTTAAATCGTTATCCCTAGAAATATCCGACTTCGGTACAAGATCTGGCTGCTCTTGCATTAATGATGATTTTGGATCTATAATTTGTTGGTTTTCAGATTCGATCGTTGTGTAGGATTCATCTAACCTTGGTGGGGATGCAGAAAAATCAACATCCCCGTTTTGGCGATTGTTAAGCACGGCTACGATAAGTGTTTGTAACTGTTCGACTTTTCCTTGCATCGCTTCACGTTCTTGTATGATGTTCGAAATATACTTATCTTTTTCTTTGTGTCGCTGCTTCAATATCTGCCTCTGATTATGATATAATGCTATATATTCTCCAATTGTGTCGCATTCGTTCTGTAGTTGAGTATTTGCGTGTTCCATAAGTTCTAAACGATTCAACAAATCCGCCTTCTCTTTCATTACGGCAGTAAATTTTTCTTGTAGAATGGCCATTGCATCAAGTTGTACACCATTGTTTTCAATTTGATATGTAAAATGATTCTGAACATGTGATACGGTGTTATGTTCAGTATGCATATCTTCATCTGTTGCCATTGTCTCGTTTTCTGGTTCTGGTATTTTGGTAGAATCGTTTTCTGTAATTCTGTCAAGTGACGCATCATTGATTATATCTGTACTTGTACTGGCGTGTTCTATTTCTGGGTTACTTTCAGTTTGGTTAATTACTATAACAGAATTTAATTTTTCTTGTAAATTTTGGTTTTCGTTTTGCAATTGGGCTATCATATGTTGCAAGGCCTCAATTTGTGAGTTTTCAGGTGGTTGCGCAACTCCATTTTGATGAGATGATTGTGCAGCATTCAAATGCGATTGTAAATGAGAATTTTGTTCCTGCAAGCGATGCATTCCCAATTGGTACCTTTGTAATTCTTGTCTTAATTGTTCTTGTAATTCCTCACTCTGATCATACTTTAGTTGCAAGTCTTTATTTACATGTTCAAGCGAAATCACGTTGGTAGCAAGATCCATTTTGTCGTTACTCATTCGTACAAAACCATCCTGTATTTCTTCTAGTTGTTCTTTCAGTTGCTTGTTTTGTAACAATGCTCGAGAAATTGCTACTTTATCGCTCCGGGCATTATCTAACAACTGTTCATGTTCGTTTATAGATGATTTTACTTGATCAAGCTCGTTTTCAAGCTCATAAATACGAGTTTCTTTTTCTTGTACTAAATGTGACAGATATTGGTTAGTGTTCTGTTGCGCTGTAATTTCCTCTCGGAGATTATTTTGTATGGTTGCAGCTTTTTGTTTTTCTTCATTTACAGCATCATTTATGTTATCAATGTTATTTTCCGTATTATCCAGCGTTTCATTTTTCTCTTCATTCTGTTTTTCATTCAGCGTTTTCAATGATTCATGCAAATTCATGCATTGCTGATACAAATCTTGTTTTTCATTTTCAAGCAATGATATTTTTTGCTGTAAATTTTGTAAATCGTTCTCCCATTTTTTTCGTGTATCATTATATTGTGTATCCAGTTGTTCACGTTCTGCGTTCATCTGTTCGAAAGCTTGTTGGTAATCAAGACACCTAGTTTTCAGAGTTTCGTTTTCTTGTTGTATATTCCTAAGTTGAGAAGCAGCATCAGCATTATTATTCGCTGACATTTGTTGGAGTAACACATCGGCCATTTCAAAACGTTCCTTCAAGTCGACATGTGTTCTATATAATTCGTTAAATTCCACGACTTTAGTTTGTAGTTTTCCCATTAATTCAGTAGATTGCATTTTTTCGTTTTCTAATATCTGTTTCGTTTGAATCAATTCTTGATTATAATCTGAATTCTGCGATTGAAGATGAATATTATTTCTTTCAAGGTGATGATATTCGTCTGTTTTTGATTGTAAGTCTCTTACACAAGAAGCTAACTTTTCTCGCATAGTTTGCATTTCTTCAACATTTTTTTCGTGTTGAATATTTCGGTTGTGTAATTCCGATCTTAACATTAGTAATTCCTGATGTAAATCTTGCTTTTCCGAGACAAGAACGCTAATCGTTTGCATTTGAACTTGTAGCTTTTCTTGAAAAACGTTTTCATCTTCAAATTGTCTATTTTCCGATTCCGTTTTTGCTTCTAATTGTTTTTGCATCAATTGCACTTGATCTGATAAGTTGTGACAATGTCCGCGCAAGACTTCATTGTCTTGCGAAAATGACGCTAATTTGGAAGCAAGTTCTTGATTTCGGACTTCTAACGCAGATATAACGTTTTGCTGTTCAGGTTCTTCTGGCTTAGGGTGGTCAATAATTTGAAATTTTTCTTCGCTGCTGTGATTGCTACTTGCATCATCAATAAACATGGCTGCTTCAGCGGCAATTCCGTTTAATTTTGCGGAAACTTGGAGAATACTTTCTGTCGTCGCGGCAGTGCTTTCTGACAGATTATCACTATTAGCATTTCTCAATAATTCAAACTTTTCGTCAATGAATTTTTCAGATTTTTCAATTTCTAAAATATCATCAGCGTGGTTTTGAGTAGGTGTTGACGTGGGTGTGGGACGATCAGATGTTGTGGAACTAGTTTCTGAATTTTCTGCTGATTTCGGAGACTTGTTCAATCCCTTTTTCTTTTTGAATTGCCGCAATTTCTTTTTTGCGGCAGCTAATTTAGCTTCTCGATCCATAATGTTATTATATTCACGAACATAAAGTTCATTATTATATCCACTCTCTCACCATAAGTTGGGAAATTCACATAACAGTGATTTCTAGAGTTATGCAAAAAACAAAGAAATACCTATATTGTTACAGTAGTCATTAATCATTAAACAGAAACACATGTGAGACATTTGAAATCTCTGAATGACAGTGGGCTGCAGGGAGAACAGGATCTTAAATTTACTATTCAACTCGACCACTAAGAGAAATCATTGAGGCATGGGAGAATAATTCTAACCTACAAGCAGACAGGGGTAGCAAAGTAAACACTTAACTGCATAAAAAATGCCAAACAAGAATGTGAATAGAAAATAAACGCAGTAACTGCTAAAATAATGATAAACAAAATGTGGTAATGTGGATATAGAGGTCAAATTTTCACTTTCAATTTTCAAGTCTGTCTTGTGTGGAATGAAATTTCTGACAGACGCGTTTAAGTAAAGTCAAGCCTACTTAATTTACAACTGAGCAAGTATGTTCCATGCAAAAAAAAATGAAGAGAGTATATCGTTATGTCTGTATCGTGCGAGACATACGGTACTTTTATTTTAAAGAAATGAAAATTTGGGCCGTATTTTCACATAACATTTTTCTTCAGCATTATTTGAGCAGTGCGTTTACTCCACTATCAGACTATACTCACCTAGGCTAAGCCCCGATGTCGAAGAGTACTGTAGGTACCGGTACCGTATGACAGTACCGTATGTGCTGCTTTTTTTCAGACTTTTTTACCAGGGTTACCCCAACTCACACTCGTCTTGCGGTCTAATAAATACGGTAACTAACTAATCCCATACCCGACACGGAACGGTACGGTATCCTATCATATCCTGTACACAAAGTGACTCTAACATTTTATAGTCACTTTGGCTGTACACAGCCTGTTGTACAACGTAATCTAAATCTAAACGCCCTCCAGTGTATTTTCTGTATTAAAAATTGTAGGAATTTTGATTGTTCACTCACTTCAGGCACACCCCTCTGGTTCAGGGACATATGACCGGTATTGGACACAAAGTGGATCGATCGATTTCAAAGTTTAATTACTTGAAATCTCAAATTTGAAGTTCATCTGTACCGGTACTTAAGTATGGATGAAGTCACTCCTGTACTGACAGGCTATTACTTTTATCCCTATTCCAAATTTGGTCGCCTCTGTAAGTATTGGTCATTATCGACGTAATTGTTAAAAGTACGACAGCCCGAAAGTTTAATACTATCTGTATGGTTCACATTTTTGCTGAAATAGATATATTCTATCAAAGACCCTACTAGCGCCCTTGAGTGACGCATACCATATAGGCATAAGAACCGCAAATTTATCTCTTATACTTCGCCAATTCATACTATATGGTCTCACCATTCAAAGGTGCTGTATTTGCGCCTAAATTTTAATTTCATTGTTATGTATATGTTTATTTGGTGTTGTGTTGTCTCTATTTATATATATTGTCTTGTCTATAAACTCTCCTGTATAAACAGTTTTGTATACTCCACCCTTACCACTTTCACCACACCAAACGACCCATTGCCCCACCTTGCACAACTGTCTATATAAGGGACCATACTATGCATATTTAATCTAATGTTTTTTGTTTTATATTTGTTAAAAAGGGTGCATGCCGCACATTTGTGTTTTAGGCCAGTATGGTCTTGTGCATGCATCCCGTCTTACATAATAATAATCGTTCATTTATTTTTTTATCACTATTACGAGACGAATAAACATACATACATGGTGTATTTTGTTTGTTAAATTTGGCGCAAGCCTCATTTAATTTGGCTTGTGTTTTTGTGTGCGTGCTGGTGGGCAGGCACGTGAGATACTTCTCATGTTTTAAACTTTCTTATAGGTTTTGCTTGCCCTCCAGAATTCTCCATTTTTAATTTAGGTTTGTTATGGAGTTTTCGAAATAAACTATCTATCTCTGTATAGCTCGTCTGTCGATTTTTCAGAAAACGCGGTGCTCAGATACATATCTAAAGTCTAAACCCGTACCATACTGGAACAGGAACACAGGTACCGATGCGCAACTTTCGTGTCCATATTCGAACATTGCTCTTTTTGTTAATTTTTCCGTAACTGCTCCTCCGAAAACAGTTTTCTCCGTTTATAGCAAACCGTGGATGTTTCGTCGACCGTTGATCTCAAAAAGTTTTCTCTATACATGAGCATTTTCAACGAAAAGTGCCCATCATATGCCAACATTTAGTATGGGCCCTGGAGCTAAGAATCAAAATTGTACCGTATGTAATGGGCAATGGCTCTAACTGCATAGACATGTACGGTACCTTCCTGAATTACATTGTGAGACAAAGTATTGGACTTGGTGTTTTAAACACAACCCCCGTAGGTGCTGAGATTCTGAACAACCAACTATGAAAACTGCTCAGATAGAAGGTATCAATGTGCATCTGATAACAAAAAATAAATGGCAAACTAATCTCGGACAAGAGACCATGGTACGTTATATGGTAAGCCGTCTAATCAGCTGTCCTCTCCCTGTGATTATAATGTAAATTCTACCCTTTGAGTAAAATCAGCAAACTATTTTCTACTAGTATAACCACTTTATAAGCTAGCCAATAATACAGCCGGAAACTCCTGACCTGTCACATTTAGATATCACAAACTGATTCAAAACTCAGCTCCAACAGTCGTTTATTTACGAAAATCCAAAAATACTACCATCATCACGTCATAAGGACAAAACAAGCACATTGTGAAAAATCTAACAAGTCTAATGTTGACACCAGATTTTGCTATAAATGAATGTCAGATGTTACTAGACATAAAGCAGATCAATAAGCCTAAAATTGAGCAGGCTATGATTTTCATATTTACCTCAGGAGGAAAGCTGACGAGCTAGCTTAATCATATGTCGGATCACGGCCTTTGCTGAATTACAAATCCATTTCGGGTATGAGAATAGTTAAGAGGGTTTTGAAGATTCACCAATTATGTAAGGCAAAGACAATCGATCGATCAATCTACTTTTCATAACCCAGAGATATGAGAGTTTTGCCAACAGACTTTATTTAACCAGCCAAGATTCGTGGCACCGTTTAAACAAGATTTCTTCAATCACTCATTAGGACAGTTTCAAGAATGCCAGGGATTAACCGAAAACTGAATCTGCTTTATGACTGATAGCCCTTCATTTATATTTGCAATAAGTTGCCAACACATGACTGACCAAACTAGCAATAATACAATTATTTAAATGCAATGAAGGGAATGTATAAAAAACTTTTGAGCCCTTTTCTTGGAAAAAAGTAACAAAATAAACCAAAAAAATGAAGTAATAAAACGCAAAAAAGTACTGTGAATTACGTCGAAAATTGAACATAAACGCAACAAAAATGATAATGTGAATGAACAATGTATTTCCTGCTGAGACCAATATATGGTAACAAAAAAGGTTGAGTGAACAAAAAGGCAAGTAACCATCACAAAAAATCAATGATTAAGTGAACCACATACTCAACAAATGCAACCATTTTCATATAGAGAAAAACATGGATACCATCATCTGATTTTGTCTTATTCATATTTGAATGTATTACCAATATGAAAGTATTCAATGGAAAAATGAAAGTTGACAAATCTTTTTCCACGAAAGTTTTCTCACAGCCAGATCATGTGAGCCCACTCACAAGTAATGAACACTCATCTCTGAGTGAAGTCACTGAAAAGCCAAGAGCTTTTTCATGCCACAGATTTCTTTCAAAATCATTTTTTCAAGATCACATGCACTCACTCAAAGAGTATTTGAGATTCATTTTTTTTGAGTGATTCCAAAAACTACTGAAATTATTTAGCATTAGGAAGCTAAATTGGGTCAAATTATCATTTTAATGTCACAAGAAAAGTGTAAATTGTGAATTTTAAAACGACAGTGTCTATTTTTTTGATTTCCATATATTTAAGACTCAAAAAGATACGTTGTTCATATGAATATATAATTAACTGGCGAATGTAGTCCAGACGGCCAGATTCTAACGAAACGTCCAAGAAATATATTTTTATTCATCGATACACCTTAATTATCGCAAGTTAGTTTATGACAAATTTCTATGAAGGCCGAGTGATGACAAACAATAATGAGAATAATAAACAAGATATGAAAAAAATAAGGCAAAGTAACAACACAACGATTAAAATAATATTAATAAAAATAACTACCTAGAAAGGTAGAAACTGAGATAGGTAGAAAAACTATGTGTCATCATTATGTTCTATCTAATGAAAAACTAACAAACAAATAGCCTATTAGTTCATGAACTGTTAGCATTAGCTTACACAATATTATTAATCAGATATCTGCAATCAGAAACTGCAAAAAAAAAAATTAAACAGGTCCATATTTTGCAAGTTTGTATGTACTACACACAGAGTGACAAACTCTAAGATTGGGAAAACGACTCCAACCTAGATATTCGTTATTCGAGCTGGAATTGAATTTATGCAATCGCGTACTAAATATAATAAGGCCATACATGAAGTGTACCTTAGCCCTAAGAATTGGGTGCATTAGAGAGGTATACATACCCCTTATGAGTGTACCATGGTTTGGAATTTTTATAGCTGGTTTGTATGTTTACTCTATAAACTTTTTATTGTTATTGTGCGAAATAACACAGCCTCAAGTGACTAATTTGAAAATAATCGCTCTAAGACTATATAAATATCACATATTTGGTCCTGAATTTGATAGCAATAAAATACATATTCCAATCTCCAGAAAAAATAATTTATCAAACAATAGTTCTTGCAACGAACTATTTATCTGTAAACACGACAAGAGGAAATGAATGAAAAACGTTTGGTGCCGAGCATTATTAGGCAAATTTTTTGAATATTGCTCAGAAAGTTAATTTAATTTCGAAAATTAGACAGGCTGAACCGCGTGCCAAGTCTCCTGTCCTCTGCCTGTTTCAAAACAGATTTTTTTTTCAGTTCATCGTACTCGAACGTACGTTGGTCGAAACATCTGTTGGTCAAACGTTCATATACCATATCTCTTACTCTTACTGTATTGGCAATATAACATTTTGGTTTGGTGCAGAGCATTATTGGACAAATTTTTTGGAAATTGCGCAGAAAGTTTATTTACTTTCGAAAATTTAGACGAGCAGAACCATATGCCAAGTTCCATGTCCTCTGGCCATTTCAGAACAGATTTTTCGGTCCATCGAACCTGAACCTGTGTGGGTTGAAATGTCTGTGGGCCAAACGTTCATATACCATCTCCCTTACTGTATTGGCAATTTTACATTTTTCTTAACTCTATATCTCACCAATGCACCTTGTTAATAGTCAATGAATTGTGATTCAACTAATCACAGCTCAGAGATGATGTATAACGTTACAAATGCCACTCTTAATGAGATGTAAACAGGATGACTATGGCATGATATTTCGACAGTTATGGGATTAGAATGTAGTAACAAAGAATGCAAATTTTAGATAATTGTATATCGATGTCTGCAACAATTTCATTCGTAATGCGTCTAAAATCAATTTTTATTGGTGGGGTTGAGATAAGGATTGACACATGGCTGCATATTCTGAGAATACTAGTCCAAAACAAATTCATTCAAAATTGAGGCAACATTTGAAAAACAATATTTTAGGACGTATTTGGAGTAGTTAATTATTTTGTTTTGGCCACCTGGTTTACGCACCAATACCCTCACATTTCCATCCTAAAAGTATCTGTCTACCAAACTAAATTTATAGGATTTTATGATTTATGCAAATTTACCGGTCAAACTGTGGACATGACGCAATTTAGAATATATTCAATATTTGAAAAACATTATTTCAGAATGTATTTGGAATAGTTACCGATAATCATTTTGTTTCAGCCATCTGGTTTGAGCACCAATACCCTCACATTTCCATCTCAATATATCTGTTTTGTCAGAACATATTATCATGCAGACACTGATATATGCAATACCACAAAAACTCGCAATCATGTTTTCAAATATTTGCATACCTGTCATTTTACACTACATTACCAAAATAAATGACTTCCAACGAGATGTAATTTTCCCCGGCCTATAGCTGGCCTCATAAATATTGTTAAAAAAATAAACGACGGCCCTATTATCAAACATGAACTAATTCATATCGTATTTTTGTAAAAAAAAAACAAAGCAAGTAAACTTTGACAAATCTGGAACATATTATTGTTATCTTCATTGTGTATGGACACAGCACCACATCTTCATACTGGCATACAAACGGCTTTTTGAGGTAGCGAAAAAACGAGCGAGTTACATGTCATCGATGTTGAAAGCATTTTTTCCTTCAACTTCACATTTAACCTTCATAGCTGACGATAGCGACAACAACACGTCTCCGTTATTGTTTTGTTCGGGACATGGTGGTTTCCACTGAAAAAAAAAATAGTTTATCATATATGTAGTTCATGAAAATACCAAATTAAAAATAAAAAAGTAACATATTAAAACCTATAATAATAAAAACGAGAATATCGGTCAGAGACCGAAGACTTATCGATCGAAAGTTAGGGGATCCCCCAAAACAGCGCTCTTACTCCATAGTGACACCTTGTGTCCCATCACTAATTAATTAATAACTCGCTAATTAAACGACATAATTCATCCAAAATCAATAGGCTTCTGGTACGACATATGATGAATGCACATGCAAAATCTGGAGCAGATTCAATCCCGCTTTCGTGAGATATGACGTGCATCTAACAGACAGACAAATACCTATCAACATACTTACCGATTAAAATCGATAAGTAATAATATTAATGACTAAATTAATAAAAAGCATTTTGACTATTATATTTTGACCGAATAGACATAACCCATCAAAGAGATGAAAAATAGCCAAGCAAAACTGTTTAATCGCAACAAAAGACCATTTATTATGAGATGTTTTATACATTTGCTATGAACAGGACTTTGTACCACTGATATGTGAAGAAATATTTTTGAGAGAACAGGAAATTTTTCAGTTCTGCATTGCAAATCTAGTTTGAAGACGCAGCCTGTGAACCCGAAAACTTGTGATGCACACATAGATAGGTCCAACCCTCTGGGCAATCGCAACCAAGATTACTCCCACTGTATTTTGGGTTCAAGCGGTCAGTCAATCCAAGTCCATAATAAAATAACTCAATCCAAAGTAAAGCTTATTGGGTAGGTTAAGCAAACGCAGGAATTACTGTTATTCTAGGCCATAGTAGCTCGCCACCCATGAACGCATGCATAGGCATAGAACACCTATTAAAAGTAATTTAATTTTAAGAGGAATCCAAATTGTAAACACTAGGTAATCTAATTTACTGTTTTACCAGCATTTCTTTGAAAGTTAAGACGGCATCATGTGCGAAGAAGGTACCAGCAGTAACATAATTAAGACAAGTTCATTGTCATCTACTGCTAACATATAGCCTTCACTGAAGCATTTACAATCTATAGAAAAACTTATTGAATAACCAAAATTTTCTTAATAAGCCCACTTATTACCCGGCTAGAACGTCAATATTTCTTCATTGGTTTTTGCACAAATATTAGTCATTTCCATTTCTGCGCACACATACTACAAAAAATTAGAGGGAACATTGGTTGAAAGGTTCACGAATCACGAAATTTTGCGACGCCCTAGCAAAATTGCAACGACGCACTTCCATGGGATTAATTGAGTGGAATTGAAAAAAAAAAAGTTGCGCTATCGACTAAGTCCTTTTTAATTAAGCGAGGGCTTATATTAAATTTTAGGCTTGGTCTTATCCACGGGGAAACTTGGTAGAATCATCGCGCTTGCATAACAGTGCATATTCTGATCGTGAGACCCAATTTGCGGGTGATTGCATAAAAATGACGGCTTTAATCGTTAAGCTAGCGGTTTCCGAAGACGATTTGCTGAGTGCGCCTCGAAACAAATTATATATTATATTTATTCTAAATGTTTTATTGTTTCTCATTGTTGCAAATGATTTGTATATGAATCAAATTCATTTTACTGTTCTAAGTTGTTTACTTTCTATTACGTATAGGGTGTATTGTTATGTAACATAAGAGGTAAACCCGACATGCTGCAATTTCGTAGGCTGAAGTTTATTCATTTGCTGAACCGAGTTTATCAAATGAGTGATTTTTTAGCATTTTAAAGAAAAACCAGGCAGAGATAAGGAAGAAACGTTAACCTTTTGCCTCTATTCCTTAGGCCTACATGTTTAAAAACCTCAAAAGACATAAAGTACAATTAACGATGACAAAATTGTGTTTTGTTTTGAGGCAGCTTATTTTTCGTGTAGGTGCGCCATGAGTTTTTTCCCTGATAATTTGGCGTCGCACAAACCGCTGCCTTGTGCAAGTTTGATCAATAAGAGTGAACAATTCGAGATAAGGACCATCGGTGGTGGCAGTTCATCATTTAGGCCTGCATAATCATACATTGAGCCAAGGCGGGACTTGCTATGCAACAAAAAGCATTTGTACCCATTACACTGAATAATTGAGTAACGTTAATCTGAATAAATATGCGCTTGTTTTTGTTATTGAGTAGGCCTGATAAAAGTTGAGAATTAGCTGTGCCGATAAAACATCGAAAATTCATATTTCGAACTGTTTAGCATTATAAACGTGGGCAAGGGCCGAGAAAATTTTTAATATATCAAAAGGGGCCGCAAGCTCAAAAGTTTGGGAAGCCCTGCTCTAGACAATGAACTAATTATTCAATCAATGTGAAACAGTGGCCTCAACAAATATGCAGCAAGTCAATTTCAGATGGCGGAATATAAGTGATCACGTGTGAGTTAGTTTTATCATTTCTAAGTTCTTGTGACCTCACTTGCAAACAAAAACTCTTTACTACAGAAACCATCTAGAAAACTCAGGTCATTAATATATAGTTTATGGCTATAAAACCAAGTCCAGACTTGCCCATGCACGTTTTACAACTGCATTCCATGCTATTGTACTTGTTTATGTAATGTTTACTCAAGGCAAAGACTAGATTCACCTCAAGTTAAAAAAAATATTTAAAAAGACAGATTTATTGAGAGATACCATTATAAGTGGACGATTAAACGATTGTGATTTGAGAATAGTTGTTTTTATTCTCTTTAAAATTAAAGCTGTTTATTTTCAACATTTTGTTTCTGAAGGACGACCATGTTCCTTGTCTACTCAGGTATCAAACCAGCAATTTTATCACCTACAGTAGGTATATTATGATCTTACTATTGGGGAAGTCCATACGGTACTTCAAATAAAACAAAAGTTCACAATATTGAACAAAACTGTTATCAAGAATTCGGGTAATCAAGTATTATACCCTTTTTCTGTTGAATCCTAAAATTTTGTATATGGTGTGGGTATATCATCATTTGGGTCTAACAAAGTACAAGCCGAAAGTGTAAAAATACAGCCCAAATTCTTATTTTTTTTCTATATATAAGTCTGTCTCGCATGGAACGCTATACCCTATTTGGCATGGGACATATCTATTACCTGCCTAGTTGAAAATAGAGTGGATTTTATTCCAACTAAACGTGTCGTTCAATAATTTCATTGCGCACCAGACAGACTATTTTAAAAAAATAAAAGTTTCACATCACACTTTTCTGTTCTGCGTTTTTCAAGCAGTTTCGACTGTAATTTCACATGAAATTTTTTTATTGGCGTTATTTTGAAGAGTTACGACGTTTACTTCACTAGACCCCATAATTTTATGCAAAAAAACTCATTCCAGAAACTAAAAATCCCAAATATATAGTAATATGAATTCAACATTGGCGTACTGTTTGTATATATCTCCAGTTAGTAGCTACATTTTAAAACTAAATAAATAAAAAAGCATTTTTTGATAACGATAATCGACAGCATTATTCATACATTATATTTCAACTTCATTGCTTTTACAATTTTGACCAGAGCAATGCTATCAACTGAAAGTGGACAGATTTGCGATTGATGCCTGACTATTGTTGTACTATATACAAGAATACTCGTATTCACGAGTTAGAAGACATAACAATAAAAAATAACATGCAAAGTGAATCTACGCTACTTACTTTACTTACTTTAGTGAAGCTGCCATTCTTTGATATTTGAAAATGAACTTTTTGTTTATCGGGACAGCTTGATCCTATTATATATGGAGATATATCCTGAAAAACAAATGTGAATAAATTGTAAATATTATATTGTTGTATTCCTACTATGCTACGGAAATTACTTGAAGTTTCCATTACATGATAATTTTACTTATATCGGATAAGATTTACATATTCATCCCGGAAGAGAGGAAAGCCAATAAGACAGCTTAACCACATGACGAACCACGGCCTCTTGTCCAGTTACCGGTCCATGCCGGGTATGGGATTAGTTAGTCAGTTATTTGTTCTCAGAAGCATGGACTTGATGATAGAGGAAGCCGTAATTGACAAGCGGTTATCTTAACCACCTGACAGCGGTGATGAGTCCAGCAATCCTTGCATGGGATTCGAACCTGCAAACCCATGCAGGATAATCAGAGGTGCGGGAGCGAGTGTATTCCTAACGCTTAGCACATGCGTCACACAGCTGAGCCAATATAAGAAAAATTTAGAATGTATAAAAAAAAAGAGAGAATACTGCTAATTAACAATGTTAGGAACAGGCCTCGGTACCTACAGTTACTGATCATCATAACGAGTTCAAGTCCTAGTAAAATTAAAAAGTTAAGATTCTAAACTAAAGTAACAAGAAAATGGAAAAGTCAAGTCTCAGGTTCACGAACAAAGTCCAAGTCATGGTTTAGTATTCATCTCTTAATAAGCAGCAGTAAAATGCCACAAAAGACTTTATTGCCCTGGCAATAAACTAACCTCATCTTGTAAATCATACTTTAATCAGGTACTTGCTTGGACTCAAAAAGGTATATAATAAGCAATGTATACAACAGACAAGTGTGTTTTCAAACATTGAGAACACCAAGCATAAATCATATGCCATACGTTACAAGTCAAGTCTGGTAACTCTGGGAGATTATCTAGTTCAAATAGATCATTTGGTTTGGATGACTCGACTCAAAGGTGCTCAAGTTGAGTCAAGCCTTCTCAGCACTCACGTTTTGACAGCTTATCTAGATTTTTGAAATATAAATCATACCTGTTCCTTGAATGGTGTAACGCTCTCTGCTCCCTCTGGTGGCTCACGCTGGAACATATAGCTGTTGTTCGGCCTTGGGCTTGAAGCATATTTTGGACATGGGCTCTGTCCTTGTTCACCGACTGTTAAATTGAGAAATCAATATTTATGTAAATAACAATTTGTAAAATGGAATGCATTACAGCAAAATATACTAGTTGAAAAATCAAATTATCAAATCCTAAATTAATCTCCCATAATAATCTCGAATTAGTCTTACATAAATAAGGTGCTCCATCATACCGCATTCCCAGACATATTACATGATAAGAAAGTATGTCTACATATATTTCTTCAGTTTCAAATTATTATAGACATTCAAAATAAATATAGTATGTAATAAGAAGATGTACATAATAACAATCACTAAGAAAATACTTCATAGGTCATATAATCCTTTATTTCACAGGAGGGAAAATTTCGCCTAATTAAGATTTTGGCATATTCTTTCTCTAAATTTATTAGAAACCTTCATGATACTATTTATTTTAAGTTTCTATCTTTAAATAAATATTGAACAACTTTTTAACCTTACAATTTAGTTCGGATCATTTTATTGTATCGTATTTTTAATTTGAAATACGATATTTCAAGTTTTCAAATATTCAGATGTTCCACTTATTTTCATTATTTATTCTGTTCAGACTATCGTCGTTATGAATTTTCATTCATTGAAGTTTTGCAGGCCGATTGATTGACACAGTCATAGTATACCCAGCAGGATTTTTTTTTCAAGAACACCATAAGAAGTAAAGTTTATTGTACGGTAATAGCAATCATTGAGCCCTTCTCCCTAATGGTTATTTCATGGATCAAGAGATTTTACCACTTAAATCTGTAAAATGAAGGTTATTCAAAACACAATGCAGTCTTAGATACTATTTTCTGCGTAGTCTTTATATTTAGTCTTCTAAATTATTGAGCTCAAGTTACCCTAACGGAAAATTTGATAATACAAGTAGTGAAGGGTCATACAAAGAATTCCTATTTGTTATTTTCTCAATTCCATACGATCAAGGAACAGCACCCAGTATTTCCGCCCACACGTTCCGCGAAGAAAAAGACGCCCACGTAACACCGCATACAATATTTGTGGAACTTATTACCGAACTTAAAGGAAGCAATTTTTTTTTGTCCAAGTGCGCTGTGAGTTTTTTCCCTGATAGTTTGGCACAGCACGAACAAAAAGTTTGGGAACTGTGGTGTTAGTTGATCTGTATACACTGACTGTAAGAATGCTATATTATAAACCAAAATGGCAATGTTCAAAATCAAGTCTTGTTTTACATTTCACATTCTATTGTGTGGCACGGCATCTACTGGAACCACATTCCACTGTACCGAATCTAAGTTTTAAGCAAAAAATAATGATCCCAATTATTTTTATGACAAAGAATATAACAACAAATGACCCCCATTACAGAAACATTCATATTGATAATATTACGATTTTTTTAGATATTTAGAAATGATAAAATTAAAAATTATAAATAAATAATAGATAGGCAATAAATTTTCCATTGATAAAATTCTCACTTCACAAATAAACCATACTTATTCAAACATAATAAGCAAATATTTTCTGACAAAATAATCACCTTTTGTAGTTGTTGGCACTGCGAGAGTTTGGTCCGAGCTTGGTGATGGTGTGTGTCCTTCAGTGTTTTGTATCAAGTTATTATCGTGAGCAAAACCTGTGAGAAATCGCGTACAACAATATTATTATTAACCCTAAAGCTAACAACTCATATGGGAATAGGAACATTGTTAATTATTCATTTGTATTGGTTGTTGTTTCAAAGTAAATGCTTGAAGACAAAATTATGTTCGGCCATACATGAGGATAAGATAAGTTATGTATAAGCAGGTTAGGTTATCACTCATTGATGTTTGGCATGAGAAAAATTACCTTGTGGAGTTTGGGTCTCCATCGTTCGTGTTGAACTTCTTGGTAATGGAGCTCGATGACCATCAGGTGGTGTGACGCCTTGTGTATGCTGAAATAAATATAAAAAATATTATTTGAGAAATTTTCTAATCACTAATCAGTATGATCAAAAATTGACAATCGAGGATTTTTGGAAATTTTTTTATCTAATTTAAACAGTCAAAATTTTGTGTCTCTTCCAATTATTTTTGTCCGAGAGCAAATTATATTTTGGCCACGAATTCATCTTACTCAAATTTATAATCAGCGCTTTTCAAAAAAAAATTTTTATCAGAGTCAAACGATTTAAATTACATTTTTAGTATCCATGAAATTCGACATTTTATCATATTTATGTTAAATGTTCAAAGTAAAATCCCGAATATCATAGATTTTTTTAACATCGTCAACTTCAAACAAGGCTGTTCAGGCTGCTACTGAAATATTTAGTTATTTATGGCCATCCATGTATCAGACAATTGAAAAAAAATATTGTGAGTTGAAACATACAAGCGAAATGTATACTTACTCGAACAGGAGTCTCATTCAAAATGATGATCTCAATCTCTTTGTTCAATCCTTCCAAACTGTTTTGTCGTCGAGGTACCCGGCCATAGATAGGCATTGGATTCGAAATCGAACGAGACTGAGCAGTCTACAAAATGAAATCGTCTTAGATAAAAAAAATCTAACAATTGAAGCATGCGTCGGAAAAAAAAAGTTAAAAATGTACTTCATTTTCTCAATGAGTTAAAAAATTTATTAGGCATTATTGCAAAACCTGTTTCCCAAAACGATAATAAAATCATTTATTTTACCTGGGACTGAGGTAGTGCGGCATGATTCGCATGAACAGGCGACTGTCTTTCCTTCTTTTCTTGCCGAGAACTTTTTGCAATTCTTCGCATTTGCTGCTTCATCTGTGAATAAATTGAAGTTTTGAATTCTCAAATATTAGTTAATTTCCAGCTTGGCATTCAATTATTGAATGACAAATAGAAAATTAAAAACTGTGATAAAATGAATACCGGTACCGGTATAACAGAGTATTTGGGCAGTGATCCATTCAAAAATGATGCTAAACACATATTTGGCTACTGCCTTTAATATGACATTGACGGCTTTAACCCATAAAGTCAATATATGGAAAAGCAAGGAAAACGTACGGTATATATTTTTTTTATTTATAAAATTCCGCAACTTCTCAATATCATACTTTCGTGAATATCGCTTCACATTATGATGAGTTATCAGCTTAAAGAATATCTACTTCTTTGTAATAATTTATATTATTTTTTTTTTAAATCTCAATACAGTTATAAATCTCCAAATCATTTTTTATTAACTGCAACCCTTCAGGCGCGATCCATAACAGGATCGTCCAATAGACCCAATCTGTGGGTATGGGCAGAGTGTTCAGATGAATAACCTATAAACTCAGCGGTCCAGCGGAGCCAACATCATCGGGCCCGTATTCTTCTTTGTCACGACACCCATGTCAACATTCTGGAGTTTTGTAAGCCTCATTTATTATCATTGTTCTTGAATATGGCACAAGTGGTAAAGCACTTCCATATTGGTCTTGAGTACCTCTTAGCCATCCGGTAAAAAGTGCCGAAATATGTCAACATAATATATGTTATTTTTGAAAATGTATTTTTATCTTTAATATGTACATAATAAAATATCTTTACTACCCCTTTTTCATGTTCTCACTCCAAAAAAGGGCGCACCTGATGTATACGTACCAAAATGGCGGACACCGGAATGTAGTATGTGTACCAGGTTAGGGTTAGGCCATAATTTTGGGTACAAATACTATGGAAGTAACTTGGCTAGTCCTCAAAATCGTAATAGAACTAAAATAAGAAAAATTGAAATTAAATTATGGCCTAACCTTAACCTGGTACACATACTACGTTCCGGTGTCCACCATCTTGGTATGCATACTTCAGGAGTCCCCAAACAAGAAGCGGTCACTGATTTAGTGCTACCATTTTTTAAAGAACCAAAATCCTTTCAATCCTGCATCGGCTACTCAATTCATTACATCCTCGGTCGACATGTGATTTACAGTAAATAATATAACTCCAACCAGCAGTGCAAACATAATTGAAGTCCAACACCCTAACCATTATGGCATCCCACCAAAAATATTACAATTGACAGACCATATTCAAGACAATTTTAAAATACCAAAATGCTATAATAAGAACACACCCACCAATAATAACAATATATGCCAAAATGTGGCTTGGATTCAAACTGATGGAAAAGATTAAAAAAACAAAAATTCTGACACTTTCATATTCTTAAACAATCCAGAGAAAATAGATACCGGTAACTTTTATTCAAAAATAGAAATGTTCATTTCACCTTTGTAACTTCCACATCAGATTGTCTGTTCGATAGACTTTTACTGTTTTTTGAATATTGAAGACAAGCTTCTGAATTCCAGTCATGAGGAGTCTGAATAGATAAAGTGAAAGATAAGTAGTTGATAATGATAATATAATAAAATATGACTCCTGCATAGAATATGATAAATATATTGGTTTTTGTTAAGATATTTCCCAGAAATATGAATCGAATACCAACAGAGATTATCTGTGAATATCTTGTTTATCCACTTCAGGCATATGTTGGTGAACAACAGTGAAAACAATCACAAAACTAATTACAACAAATAGGTAAATTGCCATAACAGTGTGAAATTTCTTAAAATATTATGAACTTATGATATAGGATTTTCATAATTCTCCCAGGGAAGAAAGATGATCAGACAACTTGATCCTATGGGAAACCAGACCATGTTCAGGTATGTAGAGTATGGTAATTAACCAGTTATACAGTTTTGGTTTTCATTTTTATTGCTTATTCGTGTCTTTCAGTCAAAAAAAAGCTCTGGACAGTCCTGGACTATGATCGAAGGATCAGAATCTTTCTGGCTCAGCCTCGCTTACCCAATTTGCTACACCCTGGGTAAGGTGGTTGACATGGGAACGCAACGAAGCTGTGTAATCTGTCATGCCAATATGGGTTAAGTCCAGTGCTTTTGTCACTAGGCAATCATATGCATGGTCTTGATGATGATCACAAACGTATCCAATAGTCATCCAAATTTATTCCATTGGCCAATGTTGTGTGAAACTCATAAAAATAACTAAAAACCTATTTTTAGCAAATTTGGATGGCTTAATTTACTGTATACCAAGTGTGGCCAACATGTCGATCACGGTCGATTGCCACGTCTAGAGTGGTCGATTGTGTATAATTTGAAGCCAACTTTATTAACATGCCAAAAAAATGTAAGACAAGCCGCCTGAAGTACACAAAAGCGTAACAAATACAAGTTTGTCACTATCAACGTTTAGAAACAAACAGACCAAGATGTTTTGAGCGACGAATAATTCTACAATCTATATTTCACTTTGTCATCAACTTCTTCATCATCGCAAAGTTTTTGTCTACTCTTGAGTGCTATAAATTTTGTTCGCAACAGTAGCAGTGACATTTTAATGCTAATTTTGATTAAGACATAGCAAGCCAGGAATTGTTAGTACTCATTACCAAAATTCATTATCCATCAGTCAATCACATTGTATGATATAAATTTCGTCTATTTCATTCGAAAACAGGTTAGTCACCCCTGCTCTATAGAGCTGTGCTTTGTAACTAAATTATGTTTATGCCAATTTTTTTGTGAAACTGAAAAATATCATGTTATTACTACAAAGTAGCCGTATAACGTAGTCATTCCTAAATATATAGTCAAATCAGAAAAACAATAAGGAAATAAATAAAAATTATATATAAAAAAGAAAAAGAGCATTTTGCGTGTAAAAAGAAGAAATAAACTGATAAAGAGAAATGGGTTGTTGCTTTCAATGAGCAGGAAATAATAGGTGAATACTTTATAAAAGAATGCAACGTAATTGAAATATTTACTATTGACAGCACCACCTTGAAACAATTGCAACAGAAAAACCAGATGTTGCAGAAACGTTTTATAATTTTGTGTGGTACATGCACGATCATACCATAATTCAGTGTAATTTTATATAATTTTATAATAGATACCGGTTATAACCAGTATTATCTGGTTTGTTTTACACGAAGAATGAATAATTTCAATTGTTGTTTAGATTTAAAGGTAACAGTGGATATTAAATAAAAAATCACTTATCGAAAAAGGCCTCAGTGTCAGTATAATTTTATCTAAATGCAAAACAGTATGAAGAATAGATACCGGTTATAACCAGTGTTATCTGGGTTGTTTTACACAAAGAATGAATAATTTCAATTGTTGTTTAAATTTAAAGAAAACAGTCGAATACTAAATAAAAAATCTCTTATCAAAAAAGGTCTCAGTGTCAGTATGATTTATCTAAATGCAAAACAGTATGGAGAATAGATACCGGTTATAACCAGCGTTTTCTGGTTTGTTTTACACCTAGAATGAATAATTTCAATTGTTGTTTAGATTTAAAGATAACAGTCGAATATCCAAAAAAGCCTCAGTGCAAAAATACCCGGATTTCTGATGAACCTACATAGATAAATTAGATTTCAAAGATTTTGAACTCGTTAGACAAGGATAAATAAATATGGTATTGTTTTTTATTTTCATTTTCTATAGGTATCAGCCTAACAGAAATTGAATGACCATCATTTTTTAGTCTGATCATCAATTGTGTAAAATGACTTTGCTTTAAATGAATATTCATCTAATTAGGTAGCTTGAATTTGATATTTTTATTTAAAATTGAACAGAATTTTTCTTAGTCTTCATTAAGTATAGCATATATTATTTCATAGGCCACATCCCACATGGAAAAAATTTATCAGTCAGAGCGGTGTATAATAATTCGGAAATAGGTGTCAAGTGAATACAAAAGGATCGACCAGACCGTAACCACAGCTCAAAGCATTTCTCAAGGAACACGCTGGATTTCCATTAGTCCTATATAATCCTTCAAGTGCTGTGTTACATACCAATAAAGATACAATTTCAAGCTTCATTCATTGAGGCATGCAGTGGTCAAATTGACGCTACCATTTTTTGACATCATTATCATAAACAGGATAGTGAAATGATCGTATTCAAAAGTCCTCGGGCACTATTCAACACACAACTTAACATTCAAAATAAGTAGTCGAAAAAAATGAGAACATTTTCAATTGGTATTCAGTATATTCATTCGTCTACGTTGTCATTATATACCATATTATGAAATAGTAGGCGACGTTAATTTACAAGCGTCATTTGAAAGACATGACCATGTTTTATTAATATGAAGATTGCGATAATTTTGTCTACATTTTACAATATTATATTAATAGAATTGTGGCAATCATACAAGATGCTTCAAATCCAAATAATCAAGGGTTTTACCAATTTTAGAATAAAAATTGAAAAAATTGACCTTTTTCTTCAAATTTTTTATACATTGATATTTTTATTACTCTTATTAATGAAGAATTTATGATAATGAGTTAATTGAAATAAAACTAAAAATTATATAAACTGGAAAAAAAATTTAAGATCATTTATCAGATTTTCCATATTATATCGTATCAGACAAGGTCTACTGGGCTTTTGGAAGTAACAGAACGTCTACCAAATTGGGCGCTCCCGAAGTATGTACACATGGCGCACAACCTGAACCCTAAACCTGGTACACATATTATGTTCAGGTTGTGCGCCATCTTGTTGCACATAGTTGTGGAGGTTCCAAAATTGTCAACTTCTGAGCTAAGGTTGAATAATAGACACTTCTCAAAACCAGAATATCCACCCTGTGATACCAAAATGCTGCAATTCTATAAATCTTACATCTGTAGATCATGTCTACCAACCTGTGTTGACTTTGTGCTTGTACCAGAGTTGCTCGGAGTAATAAATGAATTAGAGGTCAATTCTCGAGGCCATTGTCCAGTGAGGTACGTGCCGGTCAGGGCAGCGGGTACTGAGTCGTGTGAAGAAGTTCGACATACTCTCGGTGACGGACTACGTCGATTGGTCACTGAAAAAAAATGAAAATTTTATTAGAAATTTTGAATTCTGCTCTAAATAAGACTAACTCGAAGGTACGAACCGATTGGGTATAGCAAATATATTATACATATTGTGAGACGGTTGGTATTGAAATACTCATATTGAAATAACATTTTTAAATATGAGATATTAAATATATTCCAGATTGAGTCACGTACAACAAAAAGCACATGGAAGTCGTCATATCCCCCATGAATTTGAATTTGGAAACACAGGAAAGTATCACGAGAAATTAAGCCATATCTGTTTTTTTTGTTTTGAATGAATTTCAATAAAGAACGATATACCTAACATGAAAAACAATATTCAACAAAGCAAACACATAAAAATAATTTGCCACCCTCAAATCTGTTTTCAAAAGTCAGTCTTCAAAGCAATAAAGCCTTTTCGATTATAGTTCAGTCTAGGCATGCCTTCAAACAGGCCGATGAAATTCAATAGGCATTCCAAACATTCAGAGAAGCGAAAATAATTATACAATCCATTTCTACATAGTGATGAATAAAAGAAATGCACTCGGTTATGGGAATAGATTTCACTACTCTTTATTCATGATTATTATTTATTACTATACCAAAATTATGTGGTTCTTCTCTTTTTTAAAACATATTTGGCTATGTATTTTTATGTACATCCCGTGCATGGTGAATGTTTTAAAATATACTCGGCCATGTAATTTTATCTACGCATCACACTTGGCGAATGGCCGTGAAAATCCTGTTTGTATAATGAGGCCATTGAATGTATAAAACCATTATCATAAGTAATAGGATATCAACCAGATGGACCAAATTCAAGTTTATCGTTATGAGAGTAGACAGTTTGACTCTTTATGAGAATAAATTTGATCATTATGATTTAGAAATGGGGTCGGATATATGGCACCAATCACCGTTCAAATAGTTCAACAGTAAAAAGCTATTGAGTTGCCATATAGACAACAGCTTTGACCTTTAAGGGAAAGAGGGTTTAGGACTCAAAATCTTTTATGAGTTGTGAATAGTAACATTATTATTCATAAAGCGTCATTTCGAGAAAAAATTGCTTTTTTTTTTTATAGCATAAATCAGCTTTCTCAGCAAAACCTTGGAGGTTTGATCTCGTGTATTAAAGTAAAGATTTCCAAAAAATTTCTATAAACTCTAATAATAATAATTTGCACTCAGTTGCTTTTATCATGAAAATTGAAATTATGACACATCCTCATTCTCTTAATATTAGTAAAAAACTATACTGACAAATTATCTAGCTGTATGCAACTTTTCTCAGAGATTAGACAGACGTCTATCCTTTACTTCTGAGTTAGTTAGTGTACACCACCTTCTAAAATTCTTCAAATAAAAAGTTGTGCGTGGAATGTAAGAGAATAACCTTCAAAATACAATCCCAAAAAAAATTCAATATGACCAAATACATAATGCTACCTATAAATATAATTCCCTTCACATATATTTATCACTAGTCAAGTCATTAGCAATATAATAAATGACGGTTCATTTTATTTTAACGAGTTCAAATTTGGTTCAATTCTATGATTTGAATCACATCCTTACAAAATTGATGATGATATAACATTCTTGTAGTATTTAAGGTCAACAAACTTAAACAACCACCTTGGGATCCCTGTGATGGTTTCAATTAACGGGTTCTAAACACATTGGCATTTGAGATTACCTCATGCATAAATGTAAGCAAGGTATTGTTTTTTCTTAAAGGGATTTACGCTATACAAAAATAATCCTTTGCGTTATAAAAACCATTGCTTTTCAACAGAGTGGGAAAGTCAAGATAAAAGCATTTCATGGCAGCAATAGCATGACAGCTTGAATAGTCAGATACTAAATGCTCAAATCAACAAATTTTAAATAAAACTATATAAAAATATTGCTCAAATCAATAATATACCATATTATTCAACATATCACATAAACTTTTTAGACATTTCTGTGTATAGTCATGTCAAAAATTAGCAAATTTTCTCAATGCTATTATTATTGCAACACCACATATTATATACACACTATAATTTTTGATAAATTTCTTAGGGTATATTGCTAGGAATGTTATTACTTTTCATTATTTTCAAATCAATGTCTAAAATAGTGGTTGTACATAGTTTTTTCAATAATATAATGCACTATTTTGAAACCAAAATTGAAGCCAAATTAGTTATATATGATATTTCAATTTTAGAAATAATTTGAATTTCAAAAATTCCCATTTTGATAGATTGAATTATCAAAGTGTAATAAAAAGAGCTTCATTTACTTTCTGAAAACTGTAGAAAAAGTAGAAAACTAAATAAATCACTGTTTATGTTAACTTTCCCCCTCTTTTATAACAAACCTATTGAATACAAATTTACTTGTTCAACATTACCCGATTTGAAGATATTATTTTAAAATGTATCCAGAATTGTAAAAGTATTCGGTTCTGGCAATCCCTCTTGAATTTGTACTTTTATTATAGAAACATCAGAAAGGCCTAATATTACCAAGTTCATGTTTTGAGTGAAGATTAATTAATGGAATGATTGATTAAACTAATCCGATTCACAATCTCGGCTTCCGACTAGACAATTGTTGATGGTTCATCATATTATGATTCAGCCACGTTATAGGCTTCCCTTTTACAGAAAAAATTGAAATCATAATCAGTGGTAATCTTCAGTAAAATAAATAAATTAAAAAATTAAAATATTTTTTCGAAACCGCATGACCTAAATTTGATTTATTGTTAAAATAAACTTCATTTGTGGTATAATATTGATTCATTTAATTTCAATAAAGAAAAATTTTGCATGCATTATATTATTTGTCTATTCAATTCGGCAGACATCTTTGATTAAACTTCAAAATAAAGAAATTCATAACCCATTTACATAAATTCATGCGAAGCAGCCGAGAAATGGCCAAAATCAAATAGTTAATTACTATGAATGTTTTTTAGAATAATATTTTAGAATGCAGAATATCAAAATATTACAAATTGAGTCATGTTTTGTATAGGTCGTTAATGTATTCAATGAGTCGATTCAAATATTTAATTCAATTTGAAAATTCCAGGCAAAGCCATAAGCACTGATTGGAAAGGAAAGAAAGCTACTAAATCGTGCAATACCATTGAGACATTTCAACTGATGAGAGATGAATAAATTAAATGGATAATAGCAGAAAATAACACAATTCTGAGGGCTTATTAATGGTGCTCTGCTGATAAAACGGATTCAATTTTAGCGAATGTCATTTTAACAATATCTCATTCAGTTTTCACCACCAGATAAATGATATTAATATTAAGGAGCTGTTTAAAATATCAATAGTCTCGCTTTTGTTTACTTTTTCTGGTTTTGTTCAGGATGTTATACTAACAAAATTTGCACTCCCATCACATCTTTTGTTTTGCTATGATAAGGAAGTTGATATGGAGATATTTAATTGAGTAAAGCCAGGCATGAGAACAGTTTAAATGAATAAACATTATTATAATTTTCCGAGGACTCATCATCATGTGTATATACGAAACCTGTTAGCCCCACAAAATTTGAAAATGTTGGTTCATCAATCAAAAAAAGATATTTTCTAGAATTCAAATAGGAAAACTGCTTTTTGTAAAAATTTTACATTTTTTTGGTGATAACTTGATATATGTCATAATTTGATACGCAAAATATTAGTTTTCAATTTTTCTAACTTTTATTACAAAATCACAAACCTTGTTCAATAAAATTTGCGAATATATTAAATTTATACCGAGTGAAAATATAATCCATTAAAAACAGTACTGGTCCTAAAATTACCAAGAAAAAATTTTGAACCAAATTTTAGATGAGAATATATGTGTAAATGTGTGATACCATGTGTATTGCATCAATGGCTGGTTAAGCGTGGCGACTGCGTGGCTAGTATTGGTATTGGCTATGATTGAAATACAAAAAAACGAGGGAAAGAACCCAGAACAAGCCCACTAAATGCTGAAGGTGAAGTGAGTTACCAAATAGCAGTGTTATCAATGAGTTACTCATTGTATGGAGTGAATCAAATTTGCATTGAAAATATTCCAAATCCCATTTTGTATAGTCAGTAATGCTTTCTCGAATTTAAACTTCCGTGATTTCACAAATGGTAAACACAGCTCCACAGTGATAATAAAATAAAAATATATTGATACCCAGAAATGCTGTGAATCATGCGTACGTTTTATCACATTTTATGCCAATATTAACCATTTGAATCATTTTGCGTTTGATAATGTGCATCGATTCTTGCATGGTAGAATAGAATATCTGGATCGAAAGCTGACTACCATTATCTTTCACATAAAGAGCAAACAAGTTTTGCTTTGATATGTTCTGCGGGATTGTATTTATATACAAAAATACTGTTTAAAATTAATAGCAATAATAATAATTATATTTAGAATGAAAATTTTGAGACAGATGAGGAATTTCTACTCCTATGGCAATTTATAATAAAGGGCTCCATTCCATATCAAAATGTTGCATACACAAGTAAGCTGAGCTTGTCTTGGGATATTTAGCACAATATAGAGACATCAATTGGTACAATTTAGTGCATATTGCAAGACTTTTTATTTATTCAGAGGCATTCAAATTTTGATCAATTTTTTCCAGGATATAAAATCAAAAATATAACTATACTAATAATAAATCTTTTGAACTTATGAAGATCAAACGCACTGAGATTTAGAATTTCATTTGTGTATGGAACATTATAGTAGTCTTCTTATAGTATTACTGTGTTTATTAACTTACCACAGACAGGTTGTGGGTCATAAAGATTCCAATTCCATGTTAATAACAGATAAAATTAACAATTTTCCTTTCAAAGCTTGAGATTAAATAAATACCGAACTAGCTTATTAACCTAGATACCACAACCACAAATTCAGTTTTTTTGAAAATCTAATGTTCACAATGTTTCAAAACAAGATCTTAAGTGCTCACTT